TAACCCAATGATCACAAAGCCTTAATCTTAATATTATGATTCACTTCATCATTCTTTTTCATCTTTTTAAATGTTTCCCAGATTTAAAATCACACAATATGAAATGAGGGTAGTCGGTTTATCATCTCAGGTGGGCTCAGCGCCATCATATGGTTTTTCTCCATCAGCTTCAGGACCAGGACACAGGAATGGTCAAATCCTCCTCCAGGAATGATGGTTCCAGAATCATAGTTGAGTACACTGTAGTTCTTTCTGCTGTGTGATCGGGGTCCCCAAGCCACCTCTCTGGAATTTCATTTCACCACATAGTAAACATGAATTCTCTAGGTTCCTTTCAAGTTGCTATCTTAATCAGTTTTTGTAACTACTTTCAACATTTATTGCCCGATTTGGGTCAGTGGACTTTTGTGCCTCATCCCAGGTTGTACCTAATTTCCTTTGCCACTTGATTAGATTCAACCAGTGTCCTTACTGCCTGAGTGAATTCTGCATGCTTTCCACATTTTTCCCGTCTGACTCTCAGCCACATGTCTGGAGTTATTTTACAAACAAATTACGCTTCCCCATTAGTTAGCATGAGTATGCCAAGTGACAAAAAGCAAAAGAAAGGAATTTACTATTTCTCATGGCTGGCTCTCCCAGGGGTGCTTCTGGCTTTCAGTACGGCTGGATAAGGGCGCTCAAGCAATGTCAAAGGCACACTTCCATCCCTCTCAGCTCTGCTTCCCTCTGTGCCGGCTTCCTTCTCAGGCAAGTGAGAATCAAGTAGCCAGTGGCAGCTCTAGGCTGTATTGCATTTTTCTTCATTTTTGCTTTTTTTGTATGTGTGCTTCATTCTTCTCAGCGTTTCCTGTGTAGTCATATAAGTTTGGGGAATGCTCCTTTAGGCAAAGTTATAGTGATCTTTACTGGACTTCACAGCTGTTAAAATGCTGAGGTACTGTTTACAGTGTGAATCTCCAGGAAAGCAGGAGATTCCACATTCCCTTCTTAGGGCAACATTCTTATCACAGAGCATCTGGTGGAACTGGTTTCCCTCAGAATACATCTGCAAACTCACTGGCCTAATCTTGGTGGCTCATGATCGTTTGTACCCCGAATGGGAAAAGGACAAGTTAGAACTAAGCGACTTTATGTCAAGATGAACTTGCTAGTATCCCAGAGATCCGAAAGCAAAGGAGACGTGGCTGGTTTTCCAGCTGCAGGGGCAGCTTCGGTTTCTGACCACAGACAGCTCTGGCAAATATCGACGCTGCCCTTGCTCATCATGGCCTTCCCTCGCGTCACTCCCTTCATCCGCATCATAAGTGACTCCCACTCTCACCCATGGATTAGATCCCTGGCTTCCCCTCTTCTGGGTGGCTCAGTTACAAAGGCTTCCTGTGAACTCAGGGTAAGCCCAACAGTCCTCCAGGCACTGACATGGGAAGAATCCTGTGTATCAAGGGCCACATGCCCCTCTGGAATATTATCTTGGTGTTGAAAGGACACAGGGGAAGAACGGTTACAATTTCAAAGCACAAAATCTAGGACTTGGATTCACGAGCATCTGTTACAACTGCTCTCCTTCCTCCCTGCCAGCCACGGTCCTCTCCCACCATTCCCCTTTCTTCTTCATCAAATTATGAGAAATTTTAGATACATTAAATTCCTAACCCCAAAGAGCAGGTGCAAGAAAAGACCCATTTAATCACTAGAACAAATTTGAGTCCTTTTCCATCTGTGATGCCACGCTTGCCCCATCAGATCCTCCTGTGGTTACCAGCCTAGGCGAAGCAGGCACGGAAGCTGTGACCCTGCAAAGAATCAGTGGGCAGGGAGCCAGGCTTAGAATCCTCTACTGGTGGCAAGTTTGCACCAGAAACTTGTTCTGTCTCGCCTCTGCACGTTGAGTTCATCAGGAGGTATTTAAGGAGCATGGAGTATGTCTCTGGAGATGGAAGGGACGTGGCCCACTGAATGAACTTGACATTGCTGCCACATTGCCCATCAGTCCTCACGGCCTCGGTTTCTTCATTGTGAAACACCCTAAGAGTGACTATGAGAGTATGCGCAAATGTTGAATAGTTTGGCATGTGGCACAGGCTCAGTGAACAGCCGTTGTTGCTACAGAAGGCAGCATGACAAGACTAGAAGGAGCGCATATTCTGCAATTAGATATTTTGCTTTTTAAACCCAGTTCCAACACCGAATGGCATCGGTCAGTGTACTTACTCTTTCTGCCTCTCTTCCTTCATTTGTAAAATGGACAGGATGATACCTACCTTGCAGGTATGATATGAGGACTGGAGAAATCTATAACAATAGATTTAAAGTACCCAGCACAATGCCTGATCCATGATAAGCACTTAGTTGTTATCGCTAAGCAGGCCCCTGCATATATTTGGAAGATAGGACAACCCTTGGTATAGAGAATAGCTAGAAAACTGCCTAAGAGTGTATAGAAGCAAATACAAATGTGTGACACTATGTAGGAATTCAAAGTAGGAGATGATGTGGGTGGGCTGGAGTATTTGGAGAAAACCTTAAAGAAAGAATTTGGAACAGGATGGAGGGCTGGGCACAAGAAGTAGAATTACAGGAGTGAAGTGTGCAGAGTTCCAGAGCTGCTGGACCCTTGTGGATTCATCCACAATAAGCCCCTTTTGAGCCCTCGTTCTCCCTGCCTCATCTTCCCTCCTTGGGACCACCCTCACATTCCCCCACATTTCTATGCAATGTTCCAGATTGGGTTTTGGAAGCCAAATAGTGTTGAAGGAGAAGGTGATGAAAACAGGTTTTTAATAAGCCTTTGTCTTCCTGCCTGATCAGCAGAGCTCAGGATGTACAGGCAGGTATCTTCCAAGCTGCTGGAATGAGCTAGAACTTTGGGGTTATGTGTGTGTGTGGCAGATGTGCTCTTGGCTTTCAAATCTCAGCCACTCAGCATTTCCCAGGTTCCACGCTGCCACTTTGTAGGGCTTTCAGCAAGACAGTGGAAGACTGAGTGCTAGAATAATGAGGTTAAGTCAATGGTTTGGTATCAGACCTGCCACTCCTGCTGAGTGGCCTTGAACCAGGCTGCCTGGCCTCCCAAGCCTGGCTTCCTCCTGAGAAAGTGGGCTGTGTCACATCTGGTGTGTGCTGAGAATTGACATAATACAAAACTGTCTGCAGTCACAGTAAAGAGGGTAGTTGGTTCTGGAATCAGAATGGCTGGATCAGGATCCACTCTGCCTCTTCCTAGCCCTCTGACCTTGTACAGGGTATCTATTTTTTTCTAAGCCTCACTTTCTCTACCTGTGCAATAGAAAAACAATAATACTTACCCTTTCCCCCTATAGGTCAATTAGAGTAGTGTCACACTGATCTTGGAAGCTTGCTTTATTGTCTACTCGACTTCTCACTTCTATGAGTTTTGATCAGCAAGTTTTGTTGTTGTTGTTGTTGTCGTTGTTTTGAGACAGAGTCTTACTCTGTTGCCCAGGCTGGAGTGCAGTGGTATGATCTCAGCTCACTGCAATCTCTGCCTTCCAGGTTCAAGCAATCATCCTGCCTCAGCTTCCCAAGTAGCTGGGATTGTAGACATGTGCCACCATACCTGGCTAATTTTGTTGTACTTTTAGTAGAGATGGTGTTTCCCCATGTTGGCCAGGCTGGTCTCGAACTCCTGACCTCAGGTGATCCACCCACCTTGGCCTCCCAAAGTGCTGGGATTACAGGTGTGAGCCACCATGCCCAGCCCTCGATTAGCAAGTGTTTATTGACCACTTGCTACGTATCTGCTACCCGATAGCAAACAAATGAGTAAATGCCACAGGGTGACATGACAGAGTGTGACAGGCTTGATGGGTAGTGAGGTTGTTTTTCTGAGAAGGTAATACTTCAGCTGAGATCTGAAAGATGAGAGGAGGCAGGGACAAGCATTCAGAAAGAGGGACAAGCAGCACAAAGCCTCGAAGAGAGCAGCCTTGGCTTGAAAGGAACAGAAGTGCATGTGATCAGAGCCAATCGCAGTGGAGAGGGGTACAAAACAGGACTGGGGTAGGAGGCAAGCTCAGAGGGTCTTGAGAGGCCATATAGAGAGTTTGGACTCTTAATTATCTGAGAAGCAACTCACGGGTATTAAGCAGTAGAGTGACAGGATATTCTGACTGCTGCGGGGGGGATGGACAATTAGGGAGCAGAAGCAGACCACAGAGACCACCTGGCCTTTTAGCAGTAACCCAGGCACCGTCGACAGCACCATGAACTACAGGGTGGCAGTGGGGGCAGAGAACTGCACGTTTGGATACGTTTTGGAAGCAAGGTGATAGGACCGGGTGCTAGATTAAACGTGGTGGTGGTATTGGCAGGTGGGAAGATGGTAAAGAAGAAAAATGAAAGAAAGAACCATTGCTAGGAGATTGGACTTAGGCAGCTTGGGACTGACCTCATTCGGTTGGAGGGTTGGGAAATGAAGAACATCTATTTTAGATGTCTTTGGGGATATTATTAGAGTTAGAGCTGCTAACCAAGTTGACAGGTTTCTCCTGACTGTTGCCACTCTCCCTCCCTCGGCGTTTCATTCTGGGAGTGAAGTCTGCAGAAGTCATACAGCAGCTCTGCCCTCTGACCCCGACAGGTGCCTGCTCCGGAGTTCTTCCCTGCATGCTTTTAGCTCTAGTCTCCAGACTCACTGCCCCTACTCTGCCACTAGGCCTGGGAAGGAACAAATTGGTTTCCATAAAGTTCCCAGGATGAAGTTGAGGATGGGGTAGGACATGGGTAGTGTCTGTAGCCATCTCTGCTATGGAAGCACTTAGTTTGCGGAAGGTACCTGTCAGCCTCTTCACCCAGCTTCCAATCCCAGACAGCAACAACTGACATGGAGATGAGTCACATCTGAGGCAAAAGAGCTTTGTCCAGGGCTTCGTGGCAAAGATTGGATCTTTTCGGGGATAGTGTGTGTTTGTCTGTCATCAGCCTGAACTGGAACAGCCTGAGGTTTTGGTGCTCAGGATGTGTGTTTGTCTTGGCAGCTGGGACGACAGCAGCTCCGTCAGCAGTGGCATCAGCGACACCATAGACAACCTCAGCACTGATGACATCAACACCAGCTCCTCCATCAGCTCTTATGCCAACACACCTGCCTCCTCTCGAAAAAACCTGGATGTGCAGGTGAGGAACATAGGCCCTCCCAGGCTCCTCCAGCAGCCCCTGGCAGCAGGGAACCTCGGGCTTGTGGGATAAGAGGGCAATCTGGGGCAAGCAGAATCTCCAAGTTGATGAGATGAGGCCCAGCCTCCTGCTGCCTCTGCTCTCACCTCCTGACCCTGACCTCTGTCCACAAGGGAGGGGTCAGGCAGGGGGTGGTGGACACGGGAGCAGGGAGCCTTCACCACCCTCACTGTGTGGGCTTGTGAAATCACTCTTCCTCCCTGGACCTTGGTCTCATAATTTGTTTAAAAACAACAGAAAAGGATGTTGGACTTTAGCAGTTTTCGGCCCGGAGTGTGTGTCTCTTATTTGCCGCAGCGAGCCACTGCTATCCGGGGGCACGTCTCATCCCTCTAGGAGGATGGGGTGGAAATGAAGATTGAGAACCCCGGACCGGAAGGCCAGGATATCCTGACCTGTGGTTGAGAACTCTCAGTGTCTGGGTTACATTCCCCTGCTGACGTGTTTTATTTGGCCCACAGTATTACCCTTCTTTTAAACTAGATTCCCTTTCAAATTTTTAGAATTACATTATTTCACATGAAAATGTCTTTCTGGTTGCTCTTGAGAAAAACAACGATATTGCTTCCTTGAGCCTACATTCTCCATGTGGTGGCAATCAACAGATGTCCCAGTATCCAACCCCCTTAGACCAGCCACTGCTGCTCCAGTGTGCACAGCTGCTACCTGCTCGCCAGCTGTAATCCTTAAATTACCTGCCTGACCCCAAGGCACTGGAGTTTTCCATTCCTACTTTAAGCCTTCAGATTTCACATTTCAAATGTGGTATAGTTTCATGTGGACGTGTTCACTGACCCTCAGACCATTCCTTCATGATTGGCAAGAGGTGGTTCTGAAAGGCCCATTTTACTAGTGAAAAACTAAAGTGCCATCCTCACAGCTTGTCCCCAGTTTGGGACTGACCAGCAAGAGGACTGGCCAGCTGTGGTGGCAGTGGCGTAGTAGGCTGGAATTTTTTTCATGATTGATCCCTCCCACTTGTAGGTACCCCTCCCCCGTCTTTGGCGAACCCTTGGGAAAATCTGTTTGGGACAAAGTCTCAGAGCAACCTTGCGGGGGGCAAAACTAGCACTGCCCCGACTTTCACTCCCTTTCATAGCCTCTTCCTTTCTCAACTGTGCTTTACTTTGTACAGATAGGAGCTGATTTGGAAATCGATTTTCTTTTAAAGGTGTCTCTTTGACAACAGGGCTAAAAAAAAGGATGTATCAGAGTGGGGGAGTAATTCTGTCCCACAGAAATGGAAACGTTTACTGCCTGATGAAATACATTCGGTGTTGCCCCTGGGATTCCCAGTTACTTCTTGCATTCTTCTTTTGAGCCAGACTTTCTGATTATTGTTCAGAAACCCAAGCTAGTGATGGTGGGTCGTGGTGGTTGTTTTGAGAAACAAAAACTCCCCATATGACTAGAAAGGGGGTCATGAGTAAGGCTCTGTATCTTAATCTGAGCAGTGGTTATGTAAGTATGTCAATTTTCTAAAATGTATTCAAGCTATGTATTTAAGATTTGTGTACTTTACTGTACGAAAAGTAAACAAACAAAACCTAAGCCACACTTCCCAAACCGATCACTGTTTGATCAGTGATTAGATGCAAGTCAGAAGTGCCAAGCCAGGCTATGTTCCTGCCACCTACCATACGCCAATTGTTTACAATAGACACCAGTTTTCCTTTTCTTGTGAACACTAATTTTTTTTTTCCTGAGGCTCATTGTATATTCAAGATAAGAACAACCAGACTGTCCTTAGATACTAAGGAGGGAACCAAGGAATTGCTCACCTGCATCTATGTATTCAGGAGGCAGGCTATTTATTAGAGAGAGAGAGATCTGTGAGGTTCCCTTTTTGACTTACAAGGTAGGAGAGGCTTGCTCCTGAGATGCAGCTGGAGCCAGTAAAACACTGTATTGGAAGAATGTCCTTGTCTTTGTTCCCTTCCTGCAAAGCTGGAGTTGAAATCTCTGCTTCCACACTGATAAACACCTCGGATTTGTACATGATTTCCTAGCTGATACAGTTGAATTTGGCTAATGCCAAGGCCTCAGCTCTTTAGACCAGCTTTTTGCTTTCATCTTGTAAATGTCACATCAGAAAAGGTTGCAGGATTCTGCACAAACATGCCTTTTGATCAAGATCAGAAGTTATTTTAAGGGATGTAAATGGTTTACTATTCATTGGGTAGGTTTGTTTTTCCTATAAAACTACCTGAGTTTAAAATATTGAAATGAAAACTAAAAAAAGTAGGTCTTAGAGTAAACTAAATACAGATTACACCAATAGTTACTAAGATTTCTAATGCAATGGTTTCTTTAAATGGATTTTTAGTGACATTCCCTTTGTTCCTGTCCAGGGAGCATCTCAAAATATTTGAATCAGCATAATTCACAGGCTCCCACCCTCCTCCCTCATATCACACTGAGGAATGCTAAGGGCCATTACTCCTGTCTGAGCAGCATCAGGCAATGGGAAGATGTGTGTTGCACCCTTCCCAAGAGCTGCGCCTTCTGTGCTCTGCCTCATTTGGGTTCCTGTCACATATTGGTTTACCCTGGAACAGGGGGGCAGCACACAGTCTGCCAGGCAAGACATGGGGAGGCAGGGAGAAGTGGCTCAGTGTGTCCAGCAAATTGAGGACAGGTTGCCTGCCTAGGTTTTTGCTGTTTGAAAAGCCTCTGAGAAATAACTAAAGCATCCCAGGAACAGAGAAGTTATTGTCTGGAAAACCTAAGAAACAGCCTCATGTAGCTGATTGAAAGAAGAGGAGACGGATCATTGGGAATGGAGATTCCCTTTGTCTGTGAGGGACTCCGCTATCACTGGGGACATTGAGGAGCAATGGAGAATGCCTCCTACAGAGCACAGGTGCCCAGCTGTCCAGCATCAGCTCCTGTGCCCACTGTTTCCTCGGGGCCAGGCAGAGAATCCCCTGCTTCAGGCCCAAGAGCCTCTTGAGCAAATCCTCCAGGAGAGCTGGTGAGTCTGGTTGGCCAAGCCGATTGCAGTGTCAGGGAGTAGGTGCAGACTTGGAAGCCAGATGATCTTGAGTTGTATCCTCACTCTTTGACATCCTTGGATGAACTAATCACTCTCTCCAAGCCTCTGCCTCCTCATCCATAACATGGTGCTAATTAGATGCATCTCCGAGGGTGAGCGTGAAAATAACAGGGAAATGCTTTATCAGCACATGCTTCTCTAGGTGCCTGAGACTGGATGGTTGCTCAGAAGTTACTTTCTTTCCTTCCTCCTTCCCTCCATTTCTCTTATCTCTCCCTCCCTTCCCCCCTCCTCTCCTTCCCTTCCCCCCTCCTCTCCTTCCCTTCCTCCCTTCGCAGCCCCTGCCACCTGGGTTGCTGTTCCTCTGCCTCCAGACTCCATTCATGTCAGTAACTAAAGGTTGACTATGTTCTTAATGTATTTTGTTTGTGGTCTCAAAGCAACTCATCTTATTTGGCAGTATTTTATTTTGAGGACAGATGTTGGTGGCAAAGGGTTTTAACAAACACAGGCGACTCCCTCACATATTCATCTGTGCATTCAGTATTTTCTCTCAGTTCTGTGGAAGTCACCGTCCCAGGTGCTGAGGAGCAAAGATGCACACATCAAGATTTTCTCTCATTTTCAATGCCTGTGAAATCTTTAATAACATATGGGGAGGAAAAGATAATTCCATGTCAGTTTATTTTTTGCTACTCAGGGAAATAAAATTCTGAATTATGTGGCAAAGATTCCTGTCTTGTGTGGCCTTGAATGACCCTAGAGCTCTCTAGATATTAGCATGGATGTAGGGATGGGGTTTGGCTGGGGGTAAGGAGGGGTGCCCCTTTCTGCTCACCCGCTGGGTAAGTTACTTTTCCTCTTCAGCCCTGTATTTTCCTGATGTGTAAAATGTGGATAATAACAGAGCCTGAGAGGATAAGATGAGTTCAGGATGTATGGGGAGGGACACAGTGCCTGGCAGGATGACTGGCAGGCGATGGTGTTGATGCTGATAATTATCTGTATGGTCACTGAGGCTCAAACTTGAGCCAGCTCAGCATCTAGATCTGCAGGGGATACGGCACAGGGAGGGAATATCCCTGCCTTCCAAAGGCCTGTGGCCGAGTAGCAGAAGAGACAAGTACCTGTTCTCCCTAATTCTAGACAAAAGCGGGATAAATGATGAAGATAGACAACAGAGTGCTGGGGATTTTCAGAGGCAGGAAAGTTGGTAATGAAAAGAACCACTGTTTATTGAGTCCTCCCACACTGAGTTCATTGAGTCCACCATCAATGCTGTAAGAGACCTATTTATTATCATCCGTGTTTTATACATGAGGTAATAAGTTCAGATAAGTGAGGCAATGTCCTCCAAGGTCATGCACAGCAAATGAGTGGCAGCACCCAGCACTTGAACCCAGATCTGTCAGACCCAAAGCCCACACTCTTCCCCCACATCATGCTCCTCAGGCCTCACCTCTTGCTCTCAGAAGATCGGCCTCACTTCTGAAGTTCTTTGTGCATGGCTTCTTTCCTCACCTTCCCACATGGATATCAAATGACTATATCGACTTCCAAGAACAGGCAGAAGATAACCCTTCAGAAAGGAGGTCCATTGAGATGGGAACAACTGGCAGAGGCACGGAGGGGAAGGCAGGATAGAACTCTTCGTACATCCCAATGTGGATGTCCTGCTGGCTGGCCCCGCTGTTGTGAGCTCTGGGAACAGAGAGGCTGCGACTTCCTCATTTTCAATCCTAAGGGGTGCCACCTTATAGTCTGGCACATAGATCATGAAGGATTCAGAGTGGAGCTGGGAAGGTGACCACCCTGGACCTAGCTAGGGGGATGTGATGACTGGATGATTGTTCTTTCCAGAGAGAGAAAGTCAAGCCACATTCCCAGGCCAGGGGCATGTGCGCTCTCCCTGCCACTGATGGAATTGGAGTTGTATGGGTCCCACCCAGAGACTAGGCTAGAGCTGCTCTAGAAGCTCTGGGGTTGGGGAGTCTGCCCGTATGGAAGGAGAATCTTCTGGGTATAGATATTAGGTGCTACTGAGTATACACAAATGTATCGTATACCTGGACTTATCCTCAGGGAGGGCAGTGTGGCATGGTGGTTAAAATGTGAGCTTTGCAGTTAGACTCCCTGAAATCCCTGCATCTCTACTTCCTCACTGTGTGATCTTGGGAAATTTTCTTTTCACTCTGTGCCTCAGTTTTGTCATGTGAAATTGAGACTATTAGCTGTAATTTCCTCATAGGTTTTTGATAAGGATTAAATTTAATGATACATATCAAGCACTTTAGCTTAGTGCCTGGGACATAGTAAGTACTTAATAAATTGTAGTTGTTAATGCTACTAGTATTAGCACCATTACAATTTGATTGGGGGGGAAATAAGTATAGGAACATTAAAAGAATAAATAATGCAGTAACCCAGGATGTGGCATGTGCTAAATTTTCAGTACCTCTTAGAGCATATTAGAATATGTTAAAATGTACTTGAATGTAAGCTCCATGAGGTTAATGATTTATACTTACTCATTGCAGTATTCCTAGTGCGAATCAGCTTTCCTGGCATGTAGTGGCACCCAATAAATATTTGTGAAGTGAATGTTCCAAAGCCAAGTTATTTTCTGCCTCAGGGCCTTTACACATGTGGTTCCCTCTCCCTGGTATGCTCTGCCCCAAACCCTTCTTTTACTAAGTAAGTTTCTTCTCTTTCTTTAGGGTACTTCTTTTTGAGCTGATCACTGTCGCCTGCCCACCTCATTGTCATCTAAATTAGGTCAACATCTATATTTCTTTCTCAGACTCTTTGTCCTTTTCCTTATAATAGTCTTCGTAATCTACAATTACACCCTTGTTGGTATTTATTTATTCAATCTCTGCTGCGTTTAACTGAATCGTAAGCTCCACCATGGGTGGGAAATCAGTCTTACCCCCAGATTCTCTGACCCTCCGTGGTGCCTGGCAGACAGCAAGCATGGAGTAAATTCTGGTTGGATTAATGTACTGAAAGTGTTTAGAGGAAGGAAACTGACCTGCGGTAGTTGGGACAAAGAATGGGCAACTTTAATTTCTGTGAGACTGAGATAAAGGTATAAGAGTACTTGGTACTTAACCCTTTCTGATTAAATAGAGGCTGAGATCGGATAAGATAATTTTGTTAATGTCTGTTGTGGCCTGAAAAGCCTGTGTTCCTTGGCTGGTTCCTTGGCTCACTCATTCGCTCTTCAAGCTTTGAGTGAGCTCCTGCCCTGGGCCCACATGTAGGAACTCCCCTCTCTCTGTCCCTTGCCACAGCTGAATGATGAGCTTCTCATAGTCAGGAAGTGTGTGCTTGTCCTCCTCATATCTCTGATGACTAATACTTAGCTAGAAAAAAACAAATGAAAGAACTCATAAGGTGTCTGTAATGGACAAGTGGAATTCATAAGGGGAGAAGGCGTTGGGGTGGTGTGGGGGAGGCAGTTGAACTTGGGCTGCCTATCTGTTTTTAGCTTTTATCCCATTCAGCCATTGTATTCCATGGAGGAAGGCATTTGTTCCATTCTTGGATGACAGACGTTAGGCAGATTCTTGCCAGGTGTTCATTTTAATTTCCTATCTTGCCTACTCTCGGTAGTTAAGCATTGCAAATACGGGACTGGTATCTTAGTATACCCACCCTGAAAGCGCTTCTGACCTCCCTTCCCCATTTACTGTGCTGACATCCTCCAACTGGCCTCAAACCCCAGGAGGCCTCCAAAGCATTCTGGTCAGCTTTATGCCTTTTAGCTGCAGGAGATCATTAACGTCACACTTCTGTCCCCTTCTGGGTTTCATGGCCAGCAGGTCAGGGCTCTTCCAAAGAAAGCTGGCTAATTATATCCCTTGTCAGAACAAAATCCCACAAGGGGAGCAAAGCAGTGGTGTATAAATAATGCTGGGATCGGAGCAGGCACCATTGGCTCTCCACATTTGGGGAAGTACCATTTGAGGATGTGCTTCCCCTCTGCTCCTGGCTCTCCCTGATTTGAGTAGAACCAGCAGCCACCCTTGCTCACTTACTCCCTTGCTTGGTGTGTTAGATCCAAAGATCTCACTGCGGTGGAGTGATGGGAAGAAGGCAGAACAAAGGGAAACGGGCCAGGAGACTGGATGCTGGTTAGAGATCAGCATCCAGAGTTGGAGAGGCTTGTTCAAGTGGCAGAAAATAGGTGGTGGCTGAATTCCCACTGCATCTCCATCTGCTCTGCCCCTTCCCCTTGATAGGGCGCTTTCCTTCTTTTTTCCTGGGCCCCTTTTCCTCTCTTCCCTGACTCCTTTCTTTTGCTTTTCTTTTTGTCTTTTTTGAGACAGAGTCTAGCTCTGTCACCCAGGCTGGGGTACAGTAGTGCAATCATGGCTCACTGCAGCCTCCACCTCCCTGGGGTGATCCTCCCACCTCAGCCACCGGAGTAGCTAGAACTATAGGTGTGTGCCACCACACTCAGCTACTTTTTCTATTTTTTGTAGAGACGGGGTTTTGCATGTTGCCCAGGCTGGTCTTAAACTCGTGGGATCAAGCGATCCTCCCACCTCAGCCTCCCAAAATGTTGAGATTATAGGCATGAGCCACTGTGCCCGGCCACCTCATTCCATTCTAAGGATACATTGATATTATTTACTTTCCTCGGATCAAAAAAAAAAAAAAAAAAATCAGGCTTTCTGACAAGATAACCAGAGTACAAAAGTCCAAACATCTTTAAAGTAATGATTATTTTTCCCTTAACTACTCCAGTGTTTTGGCATTTTTGCCTTTGGAGTGAGGGGCTCCCCAGCCTGGGACTTGGGAAGGACTAATTCAGAGAGTCTCTGTCCACAGACTGATGCTGAGAAGCACTCACAGGTGGAGAGGAATTCACTGTGGTCTGGTGATGATGTCAAGAAATCAGACGGAGGCTCAGACAGCGGCATAAAAATGGAGCCAGGTTCCAAGTGGAGGCGGAATCCTTCTGACGTGTCTGACGAGTCCGACAAAAGCACGTCCGGCAAGAAGAATCCTGTCATCTCCCAGACAGGCTCATGGCGGCGAGGCATGACAGCTCAGGTGGGCATCACCATGCCAAGGACGAAGCCGTCAGCACCAGCAGGCGCACTGAAGACCCCAGGAACTGGTAAGAGGCCGGAGCTGTCTTGGCCCTACAGTTGTCATTTGGAAAACCAAAGCCATAGTTAACTCTAGCAAGGACTTGACATTATATATTTTGTCTCAGGATTTATACTCTGCTAACAACAAGCTTCCATAAACTTTCACATCCCTACCTTTTTCTAAGTGGAAGTAAGTATGGGAGCCTCTTAAGCTCTGAAGACGGTTCGGCTGCTGAGACGTATTGAATTGGTTTAACTAGACACTGGGTGAGTTAATGCAGCCAGTTCAGGCTACTAAACAGCATGGATTTATGAGCTGTGGGTATGGTGAGTTGACGTTGTTCCTGACTTAGGGGATATTTATAAACAAGGGCAGGGGTATCCCCCTGGACATGTTAGGGACAGCCCTTTAATGGACAGAGGGTGAAAGGTCAAAAAAGGCAGGGGGTTATTTCCCCCCAGACATATCAGTGATTGGCTGGCTTTGCTTTATCCCGGGTAAATTTAGACTGCTTTGCGAATGAGTAAAATTATTGACATTTCCTAAAAGGTTCACAGTACATTAGGAGACTATATTATTTTTATAAAAAGCTCTTTCCTCTGCCTCCCCAAGGGAAAAGTGAACCAGCTCTTCAGAGGAGGGGGGCATCTTAAACAGACGAGATGGATGAGCTGGGCTCTTGGCTTGCAGGCTAATCTTGCTGATCTCTCTCTTAGGAAAAACAGACGATGCAAAGGTGTCTGAGAAAGGACGGCTTTCTCCTAAAGCCTCCCAGGTGAAGCGCTCCCCATCAGATGCAGGCCGGAGCAGTGGTGACGAATCCAAAAAGCCCCTCCCCAGCAGCTCTAGGACACCCACTGCCAATGCCAACAGCTTTGGGTTCAAGAAGCAGAGTGGTTCCGCCGCCGGTCTGGCCATGATCACAGCCAGTGGGGCCACTGTCACCAGCAGGTCAGCCACACTGGGCAAAATCCCAAAGTCGTCTGCACTCATCAGTCGGTCTGCTGGTCGGAAGTCAAGCATGGACGGGGCTCAGAATCAGGATGACGGGTATCTGGCCCTCAGCTCCCGGACAAACCTTCAGTACCGGAGTTTGCCGAGGCCCAGTAAGTCCACCAGCCGGAATGGGGCTGGGAACAGGTCTAGCACCAGCAGCATAGATTCCAACATCAGCAGCAAGTCCGCAGGCCTGCCAGTGCCCAAACTGAGGGAGCCTTCCAAAACAGCCCTAGGCAGCTCTCTACCAGGTCTGGTCAACCAAACAGATAAGGAGAAAGGCATCTCATCCGACAACGAGAGTGTGGCTTCCTGTAACTCGGTGAAAGTGAACCCGGCAGCCCAGCCTGTGTCCAGCCCGGCTCAGGCTGGTCTCCAGCCTGGAGCCAAGTACCCAGATGTGGCCTCTCCCACACTCCGCAGGTAAGTGAGTACATTAATGGTGCTGAGCAGAACCAGAATACAGGGAATGGATTTAGTAATTTCCTGTTTCTTAGTTGAAGCACCCTCTGTTTTTCTCCACTTTAGTCCTCCGGTAAAGCTGTTTAGGCAGATCCTGCCGACGGTTTTGCAGTTGACTATTTTCCCATGTTGGGATGAAAAAGTTAGGCCTCTGGAATCAATCATCTTGGAATCAAATCTTAGTTCCATTTTAATTAGCTGCCATATAACCTTTCTTAACAATTCTGCCTTAGTTTCCTCACCTGTAAAATGGGGATGATGATACCTTTTTGTCAGGGTTTTTGTAAAGATGCATCTTTGTAGTCATGTCTGGTCGTAGTATGCACTCAATAGAAGATAGCTACCACTGGGCACAGTGGCTCATGTCTGTAATCCCAGCACTTTGGGAGGCTGAGGCAGGCGGTTCACGAGGTCAGGAGTTCGAGACCAGCCTGGCCAATATGGTGAAACCCCATCTCTACTAAAAATACAAAAAAAGTAGCCGGGCATGGTGGTGTGCACCTGTAGTCCCAGCTACTCAGGAGGCTGAGGCAGAAGAATCACTTGAACCCGGGAGGCAGAGGTTGCAGTGAGCCAAGATCATACCACTGCACTCTAGCCTGGCGACGAGTGAGACTCCATCTCAAAAAAAAAGAAAAGAAAAGAAAAAGTTAGCTACCATCTTGATACACCCTTGGACCTGGGTGGGTAGCTCAGGGGAGCAGATACTTTTTTTTCTTGTGTTAATAATTCTGCAGCTGAGATTCCTCATTATGGCAAGCAGTGATCTTGACCAGCTCCTTCCTTTACTCACAAACCCCAGTGTCCCCACATACACTTTTACACTACTCCAGAATTCCAAGTCAGTCTGAAATTTTAACTTCTCCCTCCCTACCACATACACACACACACACACACACACCCACCCACCTCTTAAAGAAGAAATGTTTCTGAAAAAGAGAAATTGATTTCCTCTTACCTTAAATAGACATCATTTCCCCACATTTTCACACTGGGTGGAAGCTCTAGACATAAAAAAATTATTCACTCGTTTTAAGTTTCTTTTAAATTTATTCAACTTTTGCCTGTTTGTATTATCTTATTATAATATCCATTGGACCATTCTCAAACTACAACTGCTAGGTTACAGTTCATCCTACTTTCCCAGGAAATTTCTTATAAGAAAGAATAAGTCCCAAGGAAAGAAAATCAAGCAGTGAGAAAATAAAAATTATATGCACACGTACATATTTGGGGATGAACAGGAATGTTTGAAAAGACTTCAGAAGAAGCATTCTACATGAAAGGTATAATGAAGCAGTTCACTGTTCTTTGTCCAGACTTGATTATTAGAGTTTCAGTAATGATTTTTTTTTCCGGGGGTAAGTCTCTTGGGCTGTTCTTTGTTGTTTTAACAGATTGCCTTGTAAATGAAAATTTTCTCTGTTTCTTGCCTCAAGTATTATATGTAATATTCACTCGTTGGTATTATAGATTTCCTTTACTAACTACAAAGGCATTTTACTAGACCCTTAGGCTAGTATAATAGAATGCTTGAAAATGCATGCAGCTCCTAGGGCTCTACATTGAACACCTTTCGGCCAATTCCTGGTAAATTACATTTATTCCTAAATCGTTGAGGTATTCACAGTTCTCTTGATGTGTATTAGTATGGAGAAGAAAAATCTTTGGTGAAATGTGATAGATAACTCTCTTCAAATGATTTGAAGGACTAACAGACCGAAGATTAGACTTTTGTATAGAGTCATGCATAGCAGGATGAGGAGCAATATGCAAAAGTCAGAAAAAAAAAAGTGGATGAGATTAGGGTTTTCCAATAATTGGAAGTGCTTGGCAATGGAGCAAGTTGCCCTTTGAAGTAACGAGATCCCTGTCATCACTGGAAGTATGTAAGCATTCTAAAGCCAAGATTCTACATTAGGATATTTCATTCCCTGATTGTCACCAGACACAAAGTGCTTCCCTTCTGCCACCGCCACACACTGTAGTAAGGATTGATTGATTGATTGTCTTTACAATACTTGAGATTTATAGGACTGTTTGGAGAGGACAGAGATCAAACTGTCACCACTTTGAGCACCCAAGGCAACCTGCGTATCAGAAATATGTAGTAGTTTTGTCACTTGTGAGATACTTACTCCACACAGGTTTTAGTGAGTGTAATAGAGCCCACATTACTAGAATGTGGACAATTCTCTGACTTTAAGATAATTTCAACATTCTACCAGAGAGCTCTCTGCCAGTGGAAGAGGGGGCATTTATGTCATTCCTTATAGTCTGATGGCACATTTTTGGCCACGAGCAGGGGAGGTGACATAGAATGACATTTCTATGTGTCTGTCACAGAGACACAGTTCACACCCAGTTGTCTGGTCTGATGTCTTGTGAACCCAACAAGATTTCCATGTATGTCACTGGATAAGTAAGCTCTCTGGCTTCAAAATATACATCTTTCCAGTTGCGCTTTCTATTGTGGATAAATCTCTGAAGATACTTTTCCCAGGCCCCTCCAGATCTAGATTCATGCTCTTGATTCTATGTATTGTGCTCAGAGGTCAAGAAACCAAATCCCTTAGAGTTGAGCTGTCATAAACTGTGTGCCTGCTTTATGCCTGGGGCCGTGGAGACAGAGATGATGAAGGCAACCATCTTCCTGGGCCAGGGCAATTTTCTAGTTAGTCTATTTATTGAAAGAAAGAGAAGCAAGATCTTGGCCCAGTGTAATGTGAATAGGCCTGTAGAAAATTATTACCCATGGCTCTTTGGCTCAGATGGAGTCGGAGTCTCCGCTGCAGCTTAGAACTTGAAGACGGCAGCCTGTGATAAACTAGTATCTAGGCCCACTTTATGGCCAACCTTTCCCTGAAGTACCTTTAGCCATTTCAGTAGGAATGGCTGTGCTTCCTTCCCCAGGAATTCTCACCAACTCCTCTGCTCTACCCTTCTTTAATAGTCCGGTGCCCCTTGGCACTGCGTGTTCAACTTGCACAACCCTTTGTCTCTTCACAGACTCTTTGGTGGGAAGGCTACCAAGCAAGTGCCCATCGCCACAGCTGAAAACATGAAAAATTCGGTGGTCATCTCCAATCCTCATGCCACCATGACTCAGCAAGGTAACCTAGACTCCCCGTCAGGCAGTGGTGTCCTGAGCAGCGGGAGCAGCAGTCCTCTCTACAGCAAGAATGTGGACCTCAACCAGTCTCCGCTAGCCTCCAGCCCCAGCTCAGCCCACTCGGCCCCTTCCAACAGCCTCACCTGGGGCACCAACGCCAGCAGCTCCTCCGCAGTTAGCAAGGATGGCCTGGGCTTTCAGTCTGTCAGCAGCCTCCACACCAGCTGTGAGTCCATCGACATCTCCCTCAGCAGTGGAGGGGGCCCCAGCCACAATTCTTCCACTGGCCTCATCACCTCCTCCAAGGACGACTCCTTGACTCCCTTTGTCAGAACCAACAGTGTGAAGACCACACTGTCAGAAAGGTTGGTGCTGTGCCTCTGGCTGCCTTTCTCAGAAAGACACCCTTCCAAAAGCAAAAAGATTAGCTGAGGAATCCCAAATGTCGAATAGCCTTTGCCTGTGAGATTTCTTTTTCTAATTACTGCTGTGTTTCATGGGGAAGCCAGTTTGGGATGGAATCAAGCTTGGCTCTGCTCCCTGTTATCTTCTCTGTGGTTATTCTTGGTGCTTGGAGCTGCTCAGTCTCTCGGGGGCAGATTTATGCTACCATTTGAAATGGCATTCAGCTTTTGAAATCCTTCAGTTTTATCCTGTTCGTTCATCAACAGCTTCTTTTCCCTCCCCTTGTAATTGTGCAAGCAGAGCGGGTGACTGGGTGCAGCCATGGAGCGTGGAGTAGGACGCTCTTTAGACAGCTGGGTAGATTTGTTGTCATCGTGGCAAACACCCTCCTCCTGGACTGATAGGAAATCAGGAAATTAAAAGTGTTCTCAGAGTCCTGGATTTCACTGCAGCAGGGATAAAGGTGTCCAGTTTCTACATATAGGGAAGAAAGCGAGGATCAGCATGGGGAATGAGAAAAATGTATATAACAACACATCTCCTTTCCTCCAAGCTAATGTTCCTTCTCTTGTTTTCTACCTGCCTGGACTTCTAGCCCTCTCTCTTCCCCTGCTGCTAGCCCTAAGTTCTGCAGAAGTACTCTGCCCAGGAAACAGGACAGGTAATGACATTGCAGGCCGGGGACCCACCGAGCCTCTAGGTTCTTCTGCCCATTCGTTGTCAAGCCAGATGTCTTGTGCGAGGCTGTTGGCCTAAGGCCCCTGCTTGTGTTTGTGGTTCTAGTGTACTCTGTGACACATGGACATGCCAGTGAGAGTCTATTCCTCTGTCTGCTAAAGCCCAGGGAGAGGTGGAGTTGGGCTGGCCCCTTCATTCCCATTTTGGGAAGGCAACCTCAAACCCTGCCACTTGATCTGGGGCAGCAGAAGCTCTCGCTTGCATCTCTTGTGGCCTCCTGTGGCATGTTCCTGCTTTTCAGCTTCCTTCCCATTCCTTTTGCCACCCCCACCCCCAAGCCCAGAATTGACTTGCCACCCACTGTGTAGCTTGGCCCTCACCTTTGTCTGCCCCTCCCCATGCAGCTGCCTCTTTTCCCTTTCAGAATCCTTTGCTGAAGTTTGGCTCATTATGTCTTGCAGACTGCTGTGTTCTGTGTGCCCATTTCCTGCGATGATAATGAAAAAGAATGTGTAGAGTGTTAAGACTTTACGAATGTACACGCTTGCGTTTGCCCCCAGCTGTGGGTGGGCCTCAGAGATGGATACTGACCTTAATGTTGTGGGGGAGTGATGGCTTGGCCAAACAAAACAAGCAGATGTTGTCTCCTGCCAGGAAAAAAAAAAAAAAAAAAAACCTTCACCCCATTGACAGTGAAAACTTTGTTTTTGTCAGCTCACGAACCAAGCCTTTAAACCGTTGGTCTTTAGAGATCCAAATGCTTTGACTTTATCAGCCAGCAAGTTGTAACATGCCCCACCCAGGACTCAGCTCCTAGCTATGCCTGGGCCGCAGAAATAGAGAGGGACCTGGAATTCACTTCGTTACAGATGAATTCCAAATATGCAGACTGCTGGCCTCTTGAAACCTCCGGCAAGTCCCTTCTCCCACTTGAAGTCATTGCCAGTGGCATTTAGTGGGTGGGCCAGAGTTAGGGGTGCAGGGAAGTGGGCATCCCTCTCTCCGAGAAGCCGTGTTGGTGCAGAGTGCTCCTGGGCAGCAGAAGGCACAGGACCTCTGCTTTGAGGTGGGGCAACCCCTGAGTTTTGCTTTGAATCTGTGGAAAAGGAGGAGCAATTGGGGTTAAGGGACTCAGGCTTCCTGGTAACCTGGGGTAAAGTATGCGCTGGTGTCAGCTCAGGCTGAGGACTGGGTTTCTTTTGTTTTCCACGGATGCGGATGTGTTGCATTGCATGCCTAGCTGGATAAGGCACTTCCTGGTGATGTGCGCCTCTCTCTCCAGGGCCCTTCAGCCTCCTCCCTAGCTTTCCCTCTTCCTGCCTTCTGTGTGCTGCTGTGAAGTTCTTATTTTTGTTTTAACTTTCCTACAGTGACCCGCACCTTGATAGGAACACTTTGCCTAAGAAAGGACTCAGGTATCTGTGTTTCCCCCCTTGCATCTGTGCCATCTGTTGTGGCTTTGGAGCTTGGCTGTGTGACTCCTTCATGGCTGGTGGGGGTTTGGACTGGGCCGGGGTCCCCGCTTTGACCACCACAGCAGGACCTTTTGGATGACGGCTCCCCTTGCACCCTCTCGTTCTCACTCCCCATTTGTCAGCTTACTTGCTTGAACAAGGGCTGTGCTTTTTCAGGCTTACTGTGGTAAAACCATCTCATGAAAAACATCCCTGGGCAAGCCCAGGGAGCAGTCATTGCTACTTCTGGGGCCAATGGGTTTAATTTCTGAGCACCTCACCATGACCATTCTGTTCATATGGCTGTCTTCCAAGAGAAAGGACATGACTTATAGCATACTGATTTGTAAGCTGGGACAAGAGCGCAAAAGGAAAGGAGTATTTTCCCCCAATTTGAAAATATTTAACTTTTCTGCCCATACAAAATTGCTAGACAGATAGTTTGCACTTGTCTAAATATTCTCATGGAAAATTGGTCCACTTTCAATGCCCAACAAGACCTGGGTGTGATCATTTTTTGGTGGATAATAAAGAAAAGACTCCCAGGAAGGACTGTCTTTCCATTCCTGGTAAGTGGTGGCTCAGGTTCATTTTCGATGCTAGTCCTGGCAAAACAAGATGCTATAAGTCACCATTGCTCACACCATCTATATCACTTTGCCAATCAGAGAAACTTCAGTTTGCTAATGCCTTCCCCGTGATCTTGCTGTCTGATGGTTGCAGCCGTCATTTCTCCTGCTTTCTAAACACCACGTGCCTTGTAGCATCAGCTTCACCCTGCACTAAGCATTAAGTGCTTTCGCATAAAATGGAACTTGGAATGAAATGTTTCATTGCTGTCATGTATGTCTGTAGTTAATAACCTGCAGCTCTTAAGACTGAGAGCATTCTGAACAGTAATGTGAGGTAGGTATCAATGCTTCCTTTCAATGGGAGCCTCTGAGTAAAGCCAATGCTAAGAATCTAAGAAGGAAAGTATTAAAATCTCCCAACAGTCGTCCTGCAGGAGGGAGTTGAGCAGTGTGGCCTTAGAGGGGGCCTTGGCAAGGCCTTTTGTACTTACCAGTTTCAGTCGTGCCTATGAGCTGCTTGTCAGCAACCATGCCAGGTGCTTAACTCATGGCCACTCTCACTGTGAGTTTGACTTTGATGCCCCACTGGTGCCCTGAGAGGAAGCTAACTTCTAAATGTTAACATTTTGAAATGGTGGGTATATTTCTGTAGCAGATCTAGCCTATCAAAATTATGTAGCTCTGGTTTTTTAAAAATTCAGAATAGAGATACATGACAGGCTATTTTCAGGCAATTGATGTGTCCTGGAAAGTTGCATGTCTGTCAGATATAGTAAAAACATTAAGGAAGAAGCATTTCTGTGCTCCCTCTCACTCTGACTCTTCCTTGTCTAGCTCACCCACTCCATACACATGAACATCCAGCACGAACACACTGACAACATCTTTCCTTAAGCCCAAAGAATCCCTCTGTTGACATAATTAGTAGTCACTCCATAATACATAAGTCCGAGGATACCCTGGCCACTTGGCACTCAGAAATTTCAGATGCAGGCCAGATGCAGTGGCTCATGCCTGTAATCCCAGCACTTTGGGAGGCCAAGGTAGGTGGATCACTTGAGGTCAGGAGTTCGAGACCAGCCTGGCCAACATGACAAAACCCTGTCTCTACTAAAAATACAAAAAATTAGCTGGGCATGGTAGCACATGCCTATAGTCCCAGCTGCTCGGGAGGCTGAGGTGGGAGAATCACTTGAACCCAAGAGGCAGTGGTTGCAGTGAGCTAAGATTGTGCCACCTCGCTCCAGCCTGGGCAATAGAGCAAGACTATATCTCGAAAAAAAAAAAAAGAAAGAAAAAAATTTCAGATGCTACTTATGGGCATAATGAAAAGAGCATGCATTTTAACAATCAAACATGGATTGAAATCTCAACTCTGTGACTACTAGCAGGGTCCTTACCTTCCCTGAATGTAAAATGGGAATAATGGCATCTATGTTGCTGAGTAGATCTGAGGCTTTGATAAAGATAATGTGCATGAAGACACCTAACACGTTATAGGTGTTCAATAAATCATCACCATATACATTTCAGAATAAATGAGGGTGGACCACGTAACTTCTGAAGACCCTCTCCTATAAAACCCAATGATTTGGGGTTGCTTTTATGAAGATTTGTTTATGCTCTATTACAGCAACTACTATAAACATTAATGTCTTCAAACCTTGCTTTGTATGTCTGCTTTTTCATATGCTGTGATTCATGGTCATTTATTTGTGCTATAGAATGGCAGATGCCATGAGTTGTCTAATTAAAACTCCCTCAAAGCACTAACAGCAACTCATTTTGTTGCTTCAGTCCTGTCAAGGTGGGGGCTTTGACATGACACTGTCATGAAGCAACATGTTACAGATACGCCCAGTGACGGCTCTTCTGAGCATTTACCAATCTTCTTCTCTTTATGTGTTCCCTCCAAACTAAAAGGAATAGTCATTTTCCCCAAACACAGGCAAATAGAAAAAAGGTTTTGAGAAACTTCGTAAGTTTCCGGGTGTGTAGTGATCTGATTTTCAAAAAATCATCTTTGGATATATGTTTTCTTTTTAATATATTTACCATCAACTCCACAGAGTTCATTTTAATAAGCGTTGTTCATAGTTAATTCTGGCTTGATTTCTGTCTGTTCAGGTATACTCCCACCTCCCAGCTTCGCACGCAAGAAGATGCAAAAGAATGGTTACGGTCCCACTCTGCAGGAGGCCTGCAGGACACCGCTTCCAATTCCCCCTTTTCCTCTGGCTCCAGCGTGACTTCTCCCTCTGGTACAAGATTCAACTTTTCCCAGCTTGGTGAGTAGCCGCTTGTCATTAGCTGTATTGATCAGCTCCATAGGACAGTGTTTATCTTATATATAATATATATTTTTATTTCAATAGTTTTTGGGGAACAGGTAGTTTTTGGTTACATGGATAAGTTCTTTAGTGGTGATTTCTGAGATTTTGGTGCACCCATCACTTGAGTTATCTTATATTGTGAAACAGCCATATAGTCACATCCTGCTCAGTGTCTGATTAGCTCTCAGCAATATAGTTTGATTACAGGAGATTGATAGCAAAATAAATAGAGAAAATAGTAAAGTTTTTGATACTCTAATCAATAATTTTCTTTATTTGGTTGATATTGGTAGGGCTATGGCAAAGAACATGTTATTGCATTCTTAAAAAGAATACATTCTCTTTCTAAGACCTCTGAAGAAATAGATTTTATTGCATATCCCATGTTAGGTCATCCTCATTACTTTATTAAGTTGGAAATAAAAGTTAAGTTTTGATTGAATAGGTATTCTTAACAATGCCTACTTCTGACATAATGCTTTGACTGGCACAGTGGGGAAAGAAAAAGAATTTATGTCACAGTCCCTGCTGACATGTCAATGGAATTCTTTTTCAGGAAGACAAACACATCAATGCACACCTGTATAATAGGGTAAAAGAGAACAATCCAAAGCTTTATATGAAACCGTGTAAAAGCTGAATATAATTAGATAGCAAGTATTAGACACATTTAGAAAAAGGAAAGATTAGTGCTGGCTGGAGTTACAGGCAGAGGTTATGTTAAGGTGGCAGGGTAGGAGCTGAGCCTTGAAGGACTGATAGCGGGTGAGAAATCTTTTCTAATCTCTTCTCACTCTTTAGAGAGGCAGCCTTTTCTGAATATAGTGAATAACAAATTCAGAGTCTTTAAGATAGAGGTGGCTTGTAGTCAAGTGAGGTTTAACTCTTCATTTCTGATCGACTAAATGAGTACCTCTGAAAATATTGCACATGACTCAAATGGACAGGATTTTCATAAGAAAGCTAGTTTTAGCTGAGACAAATGTACCTTCCTTGCATTAAAACTCTTTATACACCATTATTAAATGTCCCCCATCTGAGGCAATGGGACCTGTGTTCATACTGTTCTTTCCCAGCCGTAACTCTTTGAGGCAAGAGATTCTTGTCATGCACAAATGCTTCCCATCTGATCAAAAGCCTGGTTGGGCTATTTTGGGCTTTTGGCTTTAGAGAAAATCATTCCAGATGAGCCTGAGGAGTAATTAGCTCATGCCTGGAAGGTGACACTGGCCTGTCTGAACATGCCAAGTTGGAAAGCTGAGGCCCAGAGCCTTGCTTTGGAGCTGACCCGCCTTTCCACTCTTATTTTTAGCTCCCAGTGTGTAACTCAAATGCTGATGGGACTACCTTTTAGAAAACAGACAGGAGAAGAGTTGGCAGGAACACATATGGCTAACAATAAGCAGTCTTCTTTTTGTCCCCAACCAGGATTTGAACAGAGACATGAATGTCTAACCTTTTCATTCTATTCCTTTTATTCCAGCGAGTCCCACCACTGTCACCCAGATGAGCTTGTCCAACCCGACCATGCTGAGGACCCACAGCCTCTCCAATGCTGATGGGCAGTATGATCCATACACTGACAGCCGCTTCCGGAATAGCTCCATGTCCCTGGATGAGAAGAGCAGAACCATGAGCCGTTCGGGCTCATTCCGGGATGGGTTTGAAGAAGGTAAGGAAGGAAACTTACCATCTCCCAGGTTACTCACTGTAGTTAAGGGTCCTCTATGCTAAGTTCACTTCATTAACCTGAGCTCCCACCTGTAAGTGCTCCCACCTCTCCCACCTACTCTGGCGGTCAGGGATGGGGATCTCTGAAGAGTAAGGTCTGGCCTGACCCTTAATTAACCTTCCAGGCCTTTAAGGAAGAGACTGCTTAAAAATCTCTGGTGAACCATAGAGCTGACTGAGTTCCACTTTAGGCTTCTCCCTCCTGGACTTGGGCCACAGCTTCTTGGCATGCGCCTCTACCTTGAGGCTCAGCCACCGGCTAACCATCTTGGCAGAGAGAACTACTGCAGAGTTCATTTCCCTGTGTTGACACACCCATGTAGTTCTGGGGGCCGGGCGGCCATGCCTCTCTGCTCTGCTCCAGAATTTTTCATCCCTTTTCTCAAGCACTGGGTTTTTACATGTATTGTTTTCAGTTATGCCCTTTTCTTTCTTTGGTTGCTAACTGTGAATATTTGGGGTTGGATTTTTATGTTTGGTTCATTTTCATCAGAATCATGGGAGAAAAGTTCTGTGGACAACTTTGTCAGCCGTTTTCACAGCTCACTTCATTTCTCTCTTCCTTTATTCCATCACCCAAGGTATGAGTTAGGGGAGTAAGCAGTCAAAATTCTATGGAAGATATCACCCCCACCCCATGAAGATGGGGCTGATAGGACATTGGCAGCAATGCTCATCAACCGAGGATTAAGAATAGGAGTCAGACTAGCAGAGTTTAAATTCCAGCTCCACTGCTTTTTAGGGATATGATTTGGAGCAAGTTGCTTCACCTCTCTATGCCTCTGTTTTTTCACGGATAAAATAGGAGTGAGTAATAATAGTATTCAGCTCATGGAATTATGAGAATTAAATGAGATAATACATATAAATGTTAACACAATAATGTTATTACATGTCATGGCCTGTAATAACACAGCCATAAAGCTATAATAACATAGCTGTAAAAACACAGCTTCAGCATTGACTTCCTGGCAGCTCAAAGTCCCCTGCCAGAGAATGGGGAATCTTGGAGCAAATGGAGCCTAGTCTGAGGACTATACATCTAGTTGTCCCTTTGTTGCCATTGACAAAACAGAATGCGGAGGGTAAGTTAGAGGTGCTTCCCAGTCCCCGTATGAGTAGGGAAAAAGGGCCAGCATCCTCCTAGCATGAAAGAACAAACAAACCTGTAATTGTTTAGGAAGTTTCAAGTCAAAAAGGGAGAGAAACACAAGACACAGGATTCTGTTTTTGCCTAATGTTCTTTTTAACAGAAGTTTTAAAGAATGTAATTTACAGAGCAGTTGCCCCCTGGTTTATTTTCTTGGTAACTTAATACTTTCCACCCTGATTTATGTATCATTTGCATACCATGACATTCAGTGAACAGGTACAAGTCTGTAAATCCATATATGGGAAGCTGCTAGGACGAAGGATTAAGGAGGGGAGAAGCCTGAGTCACTGAGGGGCATTTGTGAGATTTAAGTGCTACAAATTAATGCTATAACTGCTCAGAACAGTGATAGTAGAGAATATATTGTGATCCTAAGGTGAAGGAAGAGGCAGTTTGTCTCGAACTTCCTTCTAGTCAGTGTACCGGCCAAGCATCGCCTCGGAGCATTCCCCAACCTCCCCGGGAAGGATTTGCATATGGAGTTTGTCCTGCACTGTATTTCTCTTCTCTACCATGTGCGTTCCTGAGTGAACCACGTCCAATACTGAAACTTGTCCAAACAAGCACACTTCACCTCATAAAGGTCCAGGACCATTACAGTATCGTCATCAGATAGCTTTTATTTATTCCATCTGGAATCAAGCTGGTGGACAGCACAACTGTGGAATATCTGGAATGTCAAAATGACATTGATAAAAAGTGCTTGCCCACAAGCAGTGTCTAGACTTTTGTAAACCTAATGATTCATGGTGACATGGAACTGAAGCACAGAGGTAAAAGTCAAATTTTAGGGGAATGGGTAGGGTCTGCTGTCAATACACTGTGAATATGTAACATTATCATCTTTTGGAAGATAGGGCATCAGATTGATTTTATTCCTTCTAAGGATATTACATTCAAAAACAAAATGGAGCTTGTGTAATTAGGTTTTTAACTCCTTTCGATGAAATTCTTTTTCTTTTGAATTTATTAACTCCCAGTGTTGCAGGAGCAGTTGGAAGAAAATTGACATTTCATGTTTGGACCAAACAGAACTTCTTGTAATAATCAGTTAGGTGTATTATACGCCATAAAGCAGAATAGAAATTTAGGAAGAAGTAGTGCAAGTATTTATGTGAGGTTTTTGTGCAATTTAATTAGCACTTTCCACTTTGAAATTTTAGGAATTATAAATATGTAGATTAGGTACAGACATGGCCCAGATGCAGCCTTTCAAAGGTATTTCAGGTAAATTGCTTTCTATCAGATGCATTATGTGATCTTAAAGTCAACTTTAATAGCATACATTTAAGGGGATGCTTGAGGCATTTTTAAAATGGATACTAGAGGAAAAAAAAATCCCATGACTTCACCAATCATCACTAAGATCTAATGCAATGAAAAACACAGAAACCCTCTTCTATCAGTTTATATGGAATCCCCAGGAGCAGAGAAGCTTATTAACCAAGAAAGCTTGTATTGCAGCTTACTTGTGTTTCTAGCCCCTGAATTGCAGAAGTGGTTCAAATCCTGGCACCTCTACTGTTAGCAATGTGACTCTGAGAAAGGACTTGACCTGCTCAGCCTGTTTCCTATTCACCGAAATGTGAAAAATAATTGTACATGCTTTGGAAAATTGAAGTGAAGATTAAGTGAGATAAATCTTGGAAAGCATTTAACAAATAACTTTGAAAGGGGAGTATTGTAAGTGCTCACTCAATGGTAGCTATTGTTATAATTGTCACATAGCCTTCTCTCCAAGGGCCATTATCATCCTCATTTTTTTTAATGGCCAAATTGAGGCAAAAGTGACTTGAAGACTTTATGCAGCCACAATGATGCCTTAAGCCTCTTGATTCCAGTCCCTCTTTCTTTCCACTCAATCCTACCTTGATATTTGACTCAGCTGGGTTTTTAAAAAAAAAAAAAAAAAAAAAAGCCTGTGCGAGGCGAGCTCTGGCAGTCCATTAGCCATCAGAACTGCATTTCATTCTTCTGACTCTTTCCACAGTACCCAATTGTGGAATGAGAAATAGATCATGATGCCTAGATCCACATTCTCTTTCTGCTCCTGACTAGCTATGTGTCTGGCCACATCACTTAACCATTCTGAGATTTAATGTACTCTGTTGTTGATTAAAGGTGGAAAAGTCCTGCCTAGTCTGGGATTGTTACCTGCAGATTCTCTGTGAGAGTCAGAGGCACTTGATTGCTTTATTGGCTGAAATATGCCTAGTTGTTTCATTCTATCTAGTGTTTTCACTCCTACTAAAGCATCTTTCTTCTCAAACATTCCTAGCTTGTGCCCACGTGTAGATTGCATGAAGGGACTAGGACACCATTCTAAAAGACACCAAAAGGCTCTTTTGAAAAAAACAAACGAATGGAAAAGAAAATCAGAAACCGTTAAAACAGATCACTTGAAGGCAGAGCGATCTCCTGACTTCTATCAGCAGATCCTGTTCTTGAATTGCTGTGTGACCTTAAGCAAGTCATTTAACCTCTCCAAGTTTCAGATTTCTCAATGGCAGAAATGGCCTAGATATTCTATGTGGTTCCTTGTAGCTGAAAAAATGTGGAGGTATAGCTATAGGGAGGAAAACTACATAGGCTGCTTTAGCTGTTTAGCCTCCGTAACTCCCATAGACATTTTGTTGTCCAAAAATAACCACATTACATAACCCAGGCTCTGACTTGGCTCAAGTCCCTTGAGGGAGGCCCAACTGCAATGGTACAGGTAAGCCACATTCAGTTTTGGGTTGACTCTGAAAATTAAGGAATCTGTCTCTTTGGAACGCAGTCTTGCTGTTGCTAATTACAAAGTGAGAGGAGTTAATTATGGAGAAAAAGAATTACCTCTACCTTAAGCCTGCCAGATGTGATCTTCTCTGCCTGTGGCCCCATGCTTGCACTGAGTTGTTGCTAAAACTGTGTCAGTAAGTTTATATGTGTGAGATGTAGAAATAGAAAAGAAAAAACTTCCATTTTCCAGCAGCCAGAGACCATATAGCAGCCCTGTGCTGGTCTCTGGCAGGCCAGTCATGCAAGTGTGCATAGCTATGTGTTACCCACATCTCTTCACCCAACTTTACCTCCAACATAATTCCTCCACTACTGTCTGTGTCATAAGCTGAATTAACTTACCTCAGTGGAACATTAGGCCACTAAGTTGGAACATTAAGGCCTATGTTAATGTGTGGACATATTAACACTGAAAGCCATTATTGGCCATTAACACCTTAACCTGATTTTTTATGGGCATGAGTCAGGTTAGTCATGGATGAAGAAAGCATGGAGGAAAAGATCTAGAATGCAGGGCATTGCTAAGGAGGGTGGATGTATGTGATGATAGAGGGACAGCTTAGAGCATTAGGGAGCTGCTAAGAGAGAAGAGAGCTGGAATAGCAAGCCAAGAGTTACGTGGGCTCAGAGGGAGGAGGAAGCCCACCCAGGTGGCAGTCAGGGGAATGAGGAAAGGTCCCATAGAGAAGATGTCATTTGAGCAGATCTGTTTGGGATAGACAGTATTTAGATGCAGCCTAAATGAAGAGAACTGCATGGGCAGAGACACTGAGGCAGGAAAGTACTGTCTAGGGCAAGCTTGGGAGAGCAGTGCAGGATTCATAGTGTGACAAGAACATATAAGGGAAGAAGGAGAGGTCAGGGATGATTTACTGGAAAGATGACAGAGAGGAGCCTGAGTGTTAGGCTGAGCTACTTATCAGCTATCTTGTTGGCATGTAGCTTCTGCTGACTGCTAATCCAAGGTGAGTTCACTTCGTGGGTGGTAGATGAATGCCATTTAGTAGACGTGGAAGTTACCCCCGTGCCTCCCACTTTAGACTACAGGTCATAACTTGGTGTGGGAGTCGAGCCATTCCACCCATGGCCAGGAAAGCTGTGCCCAGTTAAAAGTCCTATGATGCCTTAGCAGGAATATTTCTTTTCTTCAAACAAGTTGTTCAGAAGTTACCAAGAAAATAAAGAACCTGCTTCCCACAAAAGAAGGCAGTTAGAATACCCAAGTCCTAGAAAAGACTATGCTGTTAAATTAGAACAAATAATAAGATGCCTCCACTGGCTGGGGGCAGGAGGGGTGCTAAGGACATACAAGTTGGTTCTAGTCAAAAGTACCAGTTTGAAACAGAAAAGAAGACACTACTTGCTTGTCACTTTGTAGACATGGTAGAAATTAAATAAAGAATCTATATTTCGATGAATAGGTTTTTGGTTTTTTTTTTTTTTTTTGAGACGGAGTCTCGCTCTGTCGCCCAGGCTGGAGTGCAGTGGCCGGATCTCAGCTCACTGCAAGCTCCGCCTCCCGGGTTTATGCCATTCTCCTGCCTCAGCCTCCCGAGTAGCTGGGACTACAGGCGCCCGCCACCTCGCCCGGCTAGTTTTTTTGTATTTTTAGTAGAGACGGGGTTTCACCATGTTAGCCAGGATGGTCTCGATCTCCTGACCTTGTGATCCGCCCGTCTCGGCCTCCCAAAGTGCTGGGATTACAGGCTTGAGCCACCGCGCCCGGCCTGATGAATATGTTTTCTAAACAAATATTCTGCTATATGGTCATCTAGAATAAACTTACTGTGGCCAACAGCCTCTTAGGTTCAAAATAATCAGCTCATTTTTTTTGCATATACAACTGACAGATGCCAACAGGGTAAAAAAAAAAAGTATGTGGAACACAGTCTTAACCCTAAAGGAATACATTAGAAAAAAGAGTGAAGCAAAATATGCTGGAACGGTAACAGATTGCCTCCGGGCAATGCAATTGTGAGTCACTGCAGGTTGTGACAGTGAATATGCTTCTTAACACTTCTCTGTACTTGAAAATTTTTGTTCAGTAATCATATATTATTTTGACAGTTAAGAGAAAAAGTATTCAGAAGGTTGAAGGAAAAAATGCGGTAATAGAAAAGTGACATCCTTAGCAAACTCATACTTAATTGTCACTGACCTATCACCAAACCAGGAAAGGTTGGGTCCAGATGAGATTAAGTCATTCCAAGCCTGGAGTGTCCTATATTGCTGATTGTTTCCTCCTCTTTCCCCTTTTTGGTACCATAACAGCCATCTATCAATTCACCCTTTTTTTTTTCTTTTAATAGTTCATGGATCCTCACTCTCCTTGGTTTCCAGTACGTCGTCAATTTATTCTACAGTGAGTATAAATCAATGCTGTGTGGCTGTGATCATGAGATCATGAGGCTGGGGTTCCTTTATTAAATGTGTCAAGAATAAAATATATGCATCTATCCTACGGAAAGCATTTCCATTATAAGGGGATCAATTAATTAGGGAACAAGATTTAAAATTCACAGACAGCTATTAATTATATTATACCAACCCCAAAATCCAGAACTGGCTGCCTTGTTAAAGTGGCATTGTGCTTTAGGTGATAACTATTTAGAATGTGTGAGAAGCCTTGGCCACCTGCTGAGGGACTTGGAAAAGAAAGGCCTTGAGCAATTTCTTAACACTTTGTCTGCCTCAGTTTTTGTTTCTTTCTTTCTTTCTTTCTTTCTTTCTTTCTTTCTTTCTTTCTTTCTTTCTTTCTTCCTTTCTTCCTTTCTTCCTTTCTTCCTTCCTTCCTTCCTTTCTTTCTTTCTTTCTCTTTCTTTCTTTCTTTCCTTCTTTCCTTCTTTCCTTCCTTCTTTCCTTCCTTCTTTCCTTCCTTCTTTCCTTCCTTCTTTCTTTCCTTCTTTCTTTCCTCCTTTCTTTCCTCCTTTCTTTCCTCCTTTCTTTCCTCCTTTCCTTTCCTCCTTTCCTTTCCTCCTTTCCTCTCCTTTCCTCTCCTTTCCTTCCTTTTCCTTTTCCTTTTCCTTTTCCTTTTCCTTTCCTTTTCCTTTTCCTTTTCCTTTTCCTTTCCTCTTTCCTCTTTCCTCTTTCCTTTCCTTTCGTCTTTGCCCAGGCTGGAGTGCAGTGGTGTGATCTTAGCTCACAGCAACCTCCACCTCCTGAGTTCAAGTGATTCTCCTGCCTCAGCTTCCTGAGTAGCTGGGACTACAGGCACGTGTCACTATGCCCAGCTAATTTTTGTATTTTTAGTAGAGACAGAGTTTCAACATATTGGCCAGGCTGGTCTCAACCTCCTGACCTTGTGATCTACCCACCCTGGCCTCCCAAAGTGCCAGGATTATAGGAGTGAGCCATTGTGCCTGACCAGCCTCAGTTTCTTTATCTGTAAAGTAGAAATAATAGCAGTCCCTACCTTATAGAGGTGTAATGAGGATTAAATGTTATGAAGATTACATTTCACTACAATATAAACTCTTTCTAGACAAGCACATTTTTGTTTTTATTCCTAGTGCCTAGAATAGTACCTAGCACATAATAGGTATTTTTAAAGTAGGTTTGAAAGAAATGGGAAAATGAATCTAAAACAATGAATATTGTACACACAGCTCAGAGCAAGCACTCCTAAATGCTAGATGTCATCCATGAGAAAGGTTTACTGAATGAAAGCCAAATATAATCAAATACATTTGGATCTTCAGTACTACTAGATTTATTCAGTAGTACTTACTTTTTATAGCTGTACACTATTTATTTTATTTTATTTTAGACAGACTCTCGCTCTGTCACCCAGGCTGGAGTACAGTGGCACAATCTTGGCTCACTGCAACCTCTGCCTCCTGGGTTCAAACAATTCTCCTGCCTCAGCCTCCTGAGTAGCTGGAATTACAGGCATGCACCACCACACCTGGCTAATTTTTTTTACGTTTTTAGTAGAGACAGGATTTCACCATATCAGCCAGGCTGGTCTCGAACTTCTGACCTCAAGTGATCCACCCATCTCAGCCTCCCAGAGTGTTAGGATTACAGGCGTGAGCCACCACACATGGCCAGAGCTGTATGCTATTTACTTTAAAAATAGTAATTTGGGAATGTCTACAGGAAAAAAAAAAAAAAATCTCTTTGTTAGTTGTGAATTGGAAATTCTTTAGCCCTTAATCCCATGGAAGCAAATGTTTTAATAATTTAGATTTTGATAATGCCCGGTTTCTGGTCTATATAGCAGGATACACTGTGTATAGCTCCTGGAAAATAAGGCCACCCCAGAATCAAGTTAAAGATACCAAGGCCTAACTGTTCTTTCTTAGGCCTGTAGTGAGCAAATGAACTTCAGTGATTGCTGATATCGTCTGTTTTGAAGGACCTAGAAACTCTTGCTTCTACTCTTCCTAACCACCTCACCCCTCCAACTCTAAAATTCCTCTTTCCTCAGCTAGTCATCTTGTTTGAAATTTCATCACCAAGTCCTAGCTTTCCTTTTAAAGGCTTTATACAGAAAAACCTTGGAGAGAGGTTTTTTAAGCCATGATCTACTAAGAAAGCATAGAGATCGTCTTTCCGCTGTCAGCCAGTAGATAAACTATGTCCTTTCTTCTAGAATGAAACTGTGGGATATGGGTACCAAGGTTGGTACTTTAAACCTAAATTCATTTCTTCAACAGTATTTTCTGGCACCATAGATATGCCTGGCTCTAGACTAACACCTAGGATATAATTTAGGATATAATTTATAAATTAGGATATAATTTATAATTCCTGCTACTGAAGGAGGAAGCCGTAGGCACCAGAGGGACACGGGACTCTAGCTTCACAGGACTGGTGCAGAGAAGCTGTAGCGGATAGTTCAGTGCCCAGCCCCGTGTTTCCCCTGTGGCATTCCCAGGGGTTCTTGCCAACACAGAGGGGAGTGGGCCTTTCAGAAAAGTAAAACCTGGGAGACTGGCCAGCATTAACCAGCCTTGGAGGGAAAGAGCATAAGCTTCTCAACCTGTGTGTCTTCAGATCTAGGAAACTGTCACATGCAGTTCCTGGGGGCAGCCCCTTCATGCCAACCACTAGAATTCCTTCCAGTAAAAAACTCTCTTTTAGTAGCTATTGTTCTGGGTATGGGGACATGAAGATAGTGTTTTCATGAAATTTGAAATTGTCTTTTCTGAGCTGATATAAATTCAACAAATTAGCAAAGACCTAATAATAATACTTTTTAATTCCATTTTTTATCTGGATAACAAGAGCCCTGAGGTGTAATCATAGAGTTCGTCTCACCATGTGACTTTGGACAAATCACCTAGTTATTCAGAGTGTCTCCCCAGTTTTGCCCTTGGCATCAGGAAACTGAGCAAGGTGATCTTCTGAGGCCCCTACAATCTCTGACATTCCATGAGTCATGGAATCAAAGGCTTCCATTTACTGTCCTCACATATGCCTTCTCTGAGAATATAGGTTACTTTTGCAGACTTAAAAAAAATAGCCTATCAGTTGAATGTTTTTATGCTGGTGCAGCCTACTAATTTCAAGAACAACTGCAAGTCTGGCGAGACTGCTACCACCCAGCCCTGAGGTGTGGTCCCTTATCTATTATTACCTTCTTGGTGATAATGAAATTCTGAAATACATGCTCCAGGCACCTTTGTAAATGTTAAGGTGAATAAAATTCTTGTTTGTTGTCTGAAAAGAGATCTTTGAAATGTTAAGTTGCCACAGACCCAGACCAAGGAACCTGCTTAATAGCTGAGAGTTTTGAAGGCTCTTACTGGATGACAGTAGGTTCTTTCCTTGAAATCTCTATAATGAATATTCAAGAATGCTCATTCTGCATGAAATTTGCCTGCAATTTTAATTATCAGTGAAAGAAAAGATTACAGAGTGCTAAATGATTGTCATGGAAAAGTTATGGCTAGCTCTTAGAGTAGAGAAAATCTCAAAGGCCACCTCTGGCCTTAGACTTGCTTTCTTGTTTGGTAGGGAATACTTGAGTTCCCAGGAGAGCTGCTGGATGGATGGAGGCTAGCAGCTTCACATAGTGTTACCAGATCTGCAGAACTGCAGCAACAGGGACAAGATACAAAGCACATGCTTTCTCTAGGCTGCTGTTGATAATGGGGGCCCAACCCCAGAGACAGGTGGGCACAGTGACAGACAGTGGCAGAGGCATGGGGAAGGGCTATTAGGGCCTGTCTATGGAAGTGTTTCAAAGTAGGACTGGTCCTATGTTTGATGGTTAAGCCTGCTAACAGGCCTCTACCAGCCTTCCAAATGTTAGATAGTGGTGACATTCTCACCATTAACTTGTACCCTTTGGATTGAACTTGGGGCTTCTTTCTGGAAATCCCCCATGAGAATGTAGCTATAGTAAAAGTGCAGGAGAATGTGCATAGGCTCTGGAGCCAGACTACTTTAGATCCAGTCTCAACTCTGCCACTTACCAGCTGTGACCCTAGGCAAATTACTGAACCTTCCTGTGCCTCAGTTTCCTCATACACAAAACAGAAAGCAATAGTATTAGTACCTCCTCAAAGAGTTGTTATAAGGATTAGATGAATAATGAATGTAAAGTGCTTGGAACAGTCTCTGGCACATGATAAGCATTCAATAAATACTAGCTGTTATTACCAGAATGCAGGCAACACAAGGTCAGGGACTTGGTCGTGTTCACAGCTTTATCTTAGGTTCTTAAAAACAGTGCCTGGCACACAGTAGGAAATCAGTAAATATTTGATAGGTGTGATAGTGAGGATGGATGGACAGACAGACAAAGATGAATGAATATTACCTGGGAGGGAAGAGTGAGCTCTGAGGACATCTTCCAACCTTCTCCTGAAAGCATTTCTTAGATAAGGAGGTTGCTCAGTGTGACTTTATACAAGACACTTAACCTCTCTGAACCTCAGAAGGAATACAAACAAACCTACCTAATGGAGTTTCTGCAAGGATTAAATGACTTGGCTCCATGTATTTAAAAATTGGTTGCTACTATTAGGAGCCAACCTAGAGGAGGGGGCTTGTGGGCAGGATAAGGAGGGAGGACAATGGGGAGCACAGGGTGAAGGGAGATCAGACAGGAAGCAGCTGCCCACCTATTCCAGCTGATGGATGTGCTCTGTGAGTTCTAATGAATCATACCCACATTGTATTGTGAACTAATGGAGACGTTGACATCAGGGTCAGATGCTGATTTTTTAAAAATAATGGGCTTATCCCTAGTAAAATTGGATTAGGACACTTAGGGAGGACCCCAAAGACAGAATAGAGTTCTTACTGATGTTCACTCACCTACCTGGTTCCCAAGTCACTCTTCCCTCCCTGGGGAAATTAGAGCAATGGGTAGAGAGAAGGTCGAACACTCAACATTTCCAAGAAGGAGGAGGGATCCTCTTTATGAGCCCCTGTGGGAACTAGAGGAGAGGGAAAGAAAGGTTCCTCCTGCAGTGGGTTCCGCAATTCATGTGGGCTCCCACTATGGGAGGAGAGAGGGTCTTATAGTTTCTGGCTAGCAGGTACCTGTGTCACCACAGACACAGAGCCAGCACGGAAGGGACAAAGAGGGAAGCCAGTAAGAGGGGCAACAGAGTTCACCCTTACTCCACAGGGGTCACAGGTAATTGGGGTCCTTGAAATGGGACAGCATGAGGATGAAGGCCACATTTATCCCCACAACCTGTGGAGTTACTGGGCTGGCTAATAGGGGCTCCCAAACGCCCCTCACTTTGAGGTCTTTCTACCCTGGTGCTCCCACTGCAGTGTCCTAGGGAAGTGAGAGGAGGGCAGAAAATGGGGCAGAATTAACCCAGGAGCAGTCTTCTTTGCTCCCTAGAGTAAACTAAGGCTCAAGCTGGGAATACCATGGCAAAAACTCCAGGCGAATGACTAATATGGGAGACTGACTTAGTTTCCTAGTTGAAAGAAGATAGCCTTTTGAAGTTGGTTTCCATTTTAACGGCATGCTGTGGTCGGGCAGGTTGCTTTCTGTCTGGCTTGAACACATTTATCAATGGGCTCAGACTGGGTGGTGAACTCCTGGGCAGCAAGCCTTGCCTCAGAAGCACCTTAGTACCTTTTGATACCTCAGGCTCTGCCTTCTGAGCTTCAGTCTTCACCTGATCACAGCTGTGCATCAGAGCTCCTATACAGACAGGGCTGATGGGGATGGTGGATGGAGCACCTCTGCCTCTACTCTGATCCTCTATCTGAAGTTGCCAGAGTTGCCAGAGAAAATACAAAGCACTCAATATGAAATTTAGATTAACAACTAAATTTTTTTAGTATAAATATGTCCCTAATATTGCATGGGACATATTAGACCCTTTATTTTATTTTATATTATATTTTGTTTTATTTTTTGAGACGGGAGCCTCTGTTGCCCAGGCCAGAGTGCAGCACTGAGATCTCGGCTCACTGCAATCTCCACCTCCTGGGTTCAAGCCATTCTCCTGCCTCAGCCTCCCGAGTAGCTGGGATTACGGGTGCATGCCATCACACCCGGCTAATTTTTTGTGTGTGTTTTTAGTAGAGATGGGTTTCACCATATTGGCCAGGCTGGTCTTCAACTCCTGACCTCAAGTGATCCACCAACCTCAGCCTCCCAAAGTACTGGGATGTCAGGTATGAGCTACTGTGCCCAGCCCTAGACTTTTTTTTTTTTTTAAGCTATTCAAATTTAACAAGGCCTCCTGTATTTTTATTTACTACATCTGACTCATGGCCTTCTCCTCACATATCTTCTCCTGAGCACCTTACCTATCCCCATCCCCTGGGGAGCAGGGTGGCTCCTCACCACCAAAATGTGGCGTGGTGTTCTCATTCTTCCTAATTTTTAAAAATCATAAGCTGTTTGTATTTGGCCTTTCTGATGGGTCCATTTAACTGAACCAGTTTTTCCAGAGAAATACACCAGAAAAGAGACGAATAAATCTTCCAGACGGCTGCAACTATCTGAATATGGTGTTCCCGATGGGCTGGACATCACTATTCTTTGTTCCTTAACTGGTCTAATTTCCTTTATGTTTTCTTTGCAGCCAGAAGAAAAATGCCAGTCAGAGGTAAGGAACAGCTTTCTGGTTGGACTTCCTCTTTAACTATTGTCAATCATTTGACCCTGCTCACCTTGGAAATGGACTCCCAAAGCATGTAACCCTCTCCCTTGCCATCTTCAGATTCGCAAACTGCGGCGGGAACTGGATGCCTCCCAGGAGAAAGTTTCAGCTTTGACCACCCAGCTGACAGCAAATGTAAGTACAGACATAGGGCAGTAGCATCGGGACAGGAAGCACCATCCTTGCCTTGCACCATCCCTAGCACCATAGGGCAGTAGCATCGGGACAGGAACCACCATCCTGTTCACCATCCTTCTGAACAGCCTCAAGTCCTCCTGTGCTGAACAAATAGAAGTAGCACATTCTAAAGAAAAAGACACAGGCTTTAGCATCATGGGTGTGAATGTCAGTTTGGACACTTACTGGCTCTGTGACTTTGGGTAAGTTCTTGAATCTCAGCCTGCATGTCCTCATCTGTGTAACGAGGTTGATAGTATTTACCTCTCAGTATTGGCCCATGGTCAATGCTTGCAATGTACGAAGTGCTTATTAAAATGTTAATTTCTCTTCCTCTTTCTGAAAATTTTGATTTTAAGGGTGGGAAAAAAAGCAAAAAGGAAAGAAGCGGGAAGAAAAGAAATGTAGGGCTTCCCAATATGTAGGTAGCTGCTCTGTCATTGTAATACACACAATTATGTGTTTAGGAGATGCTGCCAACCAGCATTCAACTCAACAACTGTTTGAGTGCCAGCTATGCCCCGGGCACCATGGGTTCAACAGCAGAGCAAGCACAGTGACTGACATCTTAACATTCAGTCTCTGGGACAGCAGAGAAACAAAACAAACAATTTTGCTATAACATGATAACTGTTAAGATAAAGGGAGGAGGTGGTAGTGGGAATATCTAGGGGGAGCACCTAGCTCACTCTTGGTGAGGGATGAAAAAGGGGACAGCTCATCAGATATTGAAAATAAGAAAAAATTTTTTAAAGGGGGACAGGAAGGACTTCCTGGAGGACGTGACATCTAATGGATGCTATGTAGGGGAGAATGCATAGGGATGACAGCATTCTAACCAAAGAGAATTATTTGCAGAAAGGTTAAGGAGAAAGATCTTGGTGTATTTCAAACTCTCAGTAGGTTGGTGTAATTAGTGTCTGTGGCTTGGATGTGGAGGAGAGGTAAGGGTGGAGAGGGGACACAAGCAGGGAGTAAGAAGGCATCGAAGAAAGCCAAGAGTCAGATCACAGGGTCTGAGCTGTTGGTGAGCATCCGGGCTTCCTCCTGAAGTTAGTAGAGACCTCTCAGTGAGTTTTAAGTAAGCAGTGGGTGGGCTGGTTTGCACTTTAGACAGAGGATCAGAGTAGAGGCAGAGGTGCTCTGTCCGCTATCCCCATCAGCCCCGTCTGTATAGGAGCTCTGATGCACAGCTGTGATCAGGTGAAGACTGAAGCTCAGAAGGCAGAGCCTGAGGTATCAAAAGGTACTTAGGTGCTTCTGAGGCAAGGCTTGCTGCCCAGGAGTTCACCACCCAGTCTGAGCCCATTGATAAATGTGTTCAAGCCAGACAGAAAGCAACCTGCCTGACCGCAGCATGCCATTAAAATGGAAACCAACTTCAAAAGGCTGTCTTCCTTCAACTAGGAAACTGAGTCAGTCTCCCACATTAGTCATTTGCCTGGAGTTTTTACCATGGTATTCCCAGCTTGAGCCTTAGTTTACTCAGGGGAACCATTTCTCTTTAAGGGTGGCATGTGGCATACCTAGTACAGTACTTGACCTTAGTTATCAGCTCAGTAACTGGTAGCTGCCCCCATTAATATGTAGTCTCCCAAGTTCTCTTTCTTTTCTGGAAATCTTTGATTTTTTAAAGAAAAACCCCTAACATGCGAGACCGCAATGTGTTTCGTAACCTTTTATTTTCTTTACCTCTTCTACCACCAGTAATGCTATCAAAAGAACTCTAAAAACTGACGTGAGAACTTAATTCTGAGGCGTAGGTCCTATTCAGAAAAACAGTATTCTATAGGTAGGTTCTATTCCACGGACAGATTCTTCATCTGGATAACCAGGTGTGTAGATTTGGATCCAGAACAAACTCTAGACCCAGCAAGTCAGGGTCTTCTGGGTGTAATCCAAACGTGTGGTCTGACAGCAAACCCTGTCAATCCACAGTGATTCTGAGCTACTCTCCTAGTTTAAGAGTTACAGATGCCAATTGTTGCCTTTACTAGTCAACGAATAGTAGTTAACTTACTTTCCAGTGAACTTGGGTTAATCGCTCCAGTGACCTCGTGCTGCCACAGGAGCCTTACCTTGGGCTGTTTGGAACTCTGCTTTCTGTTCTAAAAGAGTCAGAGTGAGATCCCTTATATTATTCCAGAAGAGTGTTTTGTTCCTCATAAAAGGCACTGAATCCAGTATTGTTTTAAAGTAAATATTTAGTCTTACCGCACACTGATGGAAGGGTGAACATGTTTTATTGTCTGCCATCTTTCTCGCAAACCAAGCTGTGTTTGTTTTTCTAGGACAAACTACTCAAAGCCACCTTATCTGAGTGTTTTTATACCACTTGTGTTTGTTTTCCCTGGGAATGTGAGCATGGCACTTGATGAGTAGGCTGTTGTGTGTGGCTCTGAACCAGGCTTGGAACTGCCTCCACAGCTTGTATTTTCATAGTTGTGCTAATGACACAAAGGCAACCCTTTTGCTTAACAGAAAAATGGGATCCTCTGGATCTCTACAGCAAATGTGTTTTCTTTTTAAGCTTGCAATAAGAATAAGAAGCAACCTTCTCAATAGCAGTCTTCATGGAGTCAGGTTTAAAAAAATTTTTTTTTTTATTATACTTTAAGTTCTGGGATACATGTGCAGAATGTGCAGGTTTGTTACAATAGGTATACACGTGCCATGGTGGTATGCTGCACCCATCAACCTGTCATCTATATTAGGTATTTCTCCTAATACTATCCCTCCCCTAAGTCCCCGCCCCAACCCCCTGACAGGCCCTGGTGTGTGATGTTCCCCTCCATGTATTCATGTGTTCTCATTGTTCAACTCCCACTTATGAGTGAGAACATCCAGTGTTTGGTTTTCTGTTCTTGTGTTAGTTTGCTGAGAATGATGGTTTCCAGCTTCATCCATGTCCCTGAAAAGGACATGAACTCATCCTTCTTTTATGACTGTATAGTATTCCATGGTGTATATGTGCCACATTTCTGTATCCACTTTATCATTAATGGACATTTGGGTTGTTTCCAAGTTTTTACTATTGTGAACAGTGCCACAGTAAACATACATGTGCATGTGTCTTTAGTAAAATGATTTAAAATCCTTTGGGTATATACCCAGTAATGGGATCACTGGGTCAAATGGTATTTCTAGTTCTAGATACTTGAGGAATTGCCACACTGTCTTACATAATGGTTGAACTAATTTACACTCTCACCAACAGTATAAAAGCGTTCCTATTTCTCCACATCCTCTCCAGCATCTGTTGTTTCCTGACTTTTTAATGACTGCCATTCTAACTGACATGAGATGGTATCTCATGTGGTTTTGATTTGCGTTTCTCCATATGTTTGTTGGCTATGTGTCTTCTTTTGAGAAGTGTCTGTTCATATCCTTCGCCCACTTTTTGATGGGGTTGTTTGTTTTTTCTTGTAAATTTGTTTAAGTTCTTTGTAAATTGTTTAAGTTCTGGATATTAGCTCTTTGTCAGATGGATAGATTGCAAAAATTTTCTTCCATTTTGTAGGTTGCCTGTTCACTCTGATTATAGTTTCTTTTGCTGTGCAGAAGCTCTTTAATTAGATCCCTTTTGTCTATTTTGGCTTTTGTTGCCATTGCTTTTGATGTTTTAGTCATGAAGTCTTTGCCCATGCCTATGTCCTGAATGATATTGGGTAGGTTTTCTTCTAAGGTTTTTATGGTTTTAGATTTTAGGTTTAATTCTTTAATCTATCTTGAGTTAATTTTTGTATGAGGTGTAAGGAAGGGATCCAGTTTCAGCTTTCTGCCTATGGCTAGCCAGTTTTCCCAACACCATTTGTTAAATAGGGAATCCTTTCCCAATTGCTTGTTTTTGTCAGGTTTTGTCAAAGATCAGATGGTTATAGATGTGTGCATTATTTCTGAGGCCTCTGTTCTGTCCCATTGGTCTATATATCTGTTTTGGTACCAGTAGCATGCTGTTTTTGTTGCTGTAGCCTTGTAGTATAGTTTGAAGTCAGTGTAATGCCTCTAGCTTTGTTCTTTTTGCTTAAGATTGTCTTGGCTATGCAGGCTCTTTTTTGGTTTCATATGAAATTTAAAATAGTTTTTTTACAATTCTGTGAAGAAAGTTGTTGGTAGCTTGATGGGGATAACATTGAATCTATAAATTACTTTGGGCAGTATGGCCATTTTCATGATAGTGATTCTTCCTATCCGTGAGCATGGAATGTTTTTCCATTTGTTTGTGTCCTTTTTTATTTCCTTGAGCAGTGATTTGTAGTTCTTCTTGAAGAGATCCTTCTCATCCCTTGTAAGTTGTATTCCTAGGTATTTTATTCTCTTTGTAGCAATTGTGAATGGGAGTTCACTCATGATTTGGCTCTCTGTTTGTCTGTGTATAGGAATACTTGTGATTTTTGCACACTGATTTTGTATCGTGAGACTTTGCTAAAGTTGTTTATCAGGTTAAGGAGATTTTGGGCTGAGATGATCTGGTTTTGTAAATATACAATCATGTCATCTGCAAACAGAGACAATTTGACTTCCTCTTTTCCCAATTGAATACCCTTTATTTCCTTCTCTTGCCTGATTGCCTTGGCCAGAACTTCCAATACTGTGTTGAATAGGAGTGGTGAGAGAGGGCATCCTTGTCTTGTGCCAGTTTTCAAAGGGAGTGCTTCCATTTTTGCCCATTCAGTGTGATATTGGCTGTGGGTTTGTCATAAATAGCTCTTATTATTTTCAGGTAAATTCCATCAATACCTTGTTTATTAAGAGTTTTTAGCATGAAGGGCTGTTGAATTTTGTCAAGGGCTTATTCTGCATCTATTGAGATAATAGTGTGGTTTTTGTCATTGGTTCTGTTTATGTGATGGATTACATTTATCGATTTGCGTATGTTGAACCAGCCTTGCGTCCTAGGGATGAAGCCAACTTGATCTTGGTGGATAAGCTTTTTGATGTGCTGCTGGATTCGGTTTGCCAGTATGTTACTGAGGATTTTCACATTGATGTTCATCAAGGATATTGACCTGAAATTTTCTTTTTTTGTTTTGTCTCTCCAGATTTTGGTATCAGGATGATGCTGGCCTCATAAAATGAGTTAGAGAGGATTCCCTCTTTTTCTATTATTTGGAATAGTTTCGGAAGGAATAGTACCAGATCCTCTTTGTACCTCTGGTAAAATTTGACTGTGAAGCCATCTAGTTCTGGACTTTTTTGTGGTTGGTAGGCTATTAATTCCTGCCTCAATGTCAGAACTTCTTATTGGTCTATTCAGGGATTCAACTTCTTCCTGGTTTAGTCTTGGGAGGGTGTATGTGTCTAGGAATTTATCCATTTCTTCTAGATTTTCTAGTTTATGTAGAGGTGTTTATAGTATTCTCTGATGGTAGTTTGTATTTCTGTGGGTTCGGTGGTGATATCCCCTTATCATTTCTTATTGCATCTTATTTGATTCTTCTCTCTTTTCTTCTTTATTAGTCTGGCTAGTGATCTATCTATTTTGTTGATCTTTTCAAAAAACCAGCTCCTGGATTCATTGATTTTTTTGAAGAGTTTTTTGTGTCTCTGTCTCCTTCAGCTCTGCTCTGATCTTAGTTATTTCTTGCCTTCCGCTAGCTTTTGAATTTGTTTGCCCTTGCTTCTCTAGTTCTTTCAATTGTGATGTTAGGGTGTCAATTTTAGATCTTTCCTGCTTTCTCTTGTGGGCATTTAGTGCTATAAATTTCCCTCTACATACTGCTTTAAATGTGTCCCAGATATTCTAGTATGTTGTGTCTTTGTTCTCATTGGTTTCAAAGAACATCTTTATTTCTGCCTTAATTTCTTTATGTACCCCGTAGTCATTCAGGAGCAGGTTGTTCAGTTTCCATGTAGTTGTGTGGTTTTGAGTGAGTTTCTTATTCCTGAGTTCTAATTTGATTGCACTGTGGTCTGAGAGACTGTTATGATTTCTGTTCTTTTGCATTTGCTGAGGAGTGTTTTACTTCCAATTATGTGGTCAATTTTAGAATAAGTGCAATGTGGTGCTGAGAAGAATGTATTTTCTGTTGATGTGGGGTGGAGAATTCTGTAGATGTCTATTAGGTCTGCTTGGTCCAGAATTGAGCTCAAGTCCTGGATATCCTTGTTAATTTTCTGTTTCGTTGATCTGTGTTATATTGACAGTGGGGTATTAAAGTCTCCCACTATTATTGTGTAGGAGTCTAAGTCTCTTTGTAGGTCTCTACAGACTTGCTTTATGAATCTGGTGCTCCTGTGTTGGGTGCATATATATTTAGGATAGTGAGCTCTTCTTGTTGCATTGATCTACCATTATGTAATGGCCTTCTTTGTCTCTTTTGATCTTTGTTGGTTTAAAGTCTGTTTTATCAGAGACTAGGATTGCAACTCTGCTTTTTTTTATTATTATTATTGGGGCATTTAGCCTGTTTACAATAGGAATGCCCATAACTGGAGTCATGGATGACAATCAGATGCAGAACTGAAATCAATGGAAATCCAGTCATTTACACTTAGCTTTGCCATTCATTTGCAATGAGGTTAGCAAATGTTCTTTTAGACATCCAGGCCCTGGCCTGTTTCCTTTGTCAACTATGTGACTGTCTTAAATTGATTGGCTTTGGTTTTGCCACACTTTCCAGGGCAAAGTAAAGCATATCTCTTTATTTTACAACGCAGAGGCACTGTCTCCATGTTTTTGTTTTTTGTTTTGTTTTGTTTTGTTTTTTGAGACAGAGTCTCGTCCCGTTTTGTCACCCAGGCTGGAGTGCAGTGGTGCGATCTCAGTTCACTGCAAGCTCCGCCTCTGGGGTTCACGCCATTCTCCTGTCTCAGCCTCCCGAGTAGCTGGGACTACAGGCGCCCACCACCATGCCCAGCTAGTTTCTTTTCTTTTCTTTTTTTTTTGTGTGTGTGTGTGTGTTTTTAGTAGAGACAGGGTTTCACCAAGTTAGCCAGGATAGTCTCGATTTCCTGACCTCAGGATCCGCCCGCTTTGGCCTCACAAAGTGCTGGGATTACAGGCGTGAGCCACCATGCCTGGCCTGTCTCCATTTTTAATAGAGAGAGGGAGTGCAATCAGAGAGAAGCTAACTATTCCACTTAACATTTCTGCTACAAATAGAAATGCTCCCTGCCAGCGGTTGATTCTAGAGATGTCTTAGCCTCCGCCATCCCTCTTTGATGAAGTCTAATAACAGGCCTCTCTTTACCCCTCACATCTTTCCTTAGATTGAAATGTCACTGTGCCTCCTCACAGTGCACAGCAATAGCTTCTGATGCTTATCCAGCGTTGATACCTCACTGTGTGCGTCAGTCATCTCCTCCTCTCAAATTTCACAGCATGATCAAATTTCACCTCTGTCATGCATCCTCTGCCCTTCTCATCCCTCTTGTAGCCCACTGTGTTTCTACTCCCCGTCTCTACCCCTGTGTTCTCAGGTACTTTCACTCCTCTCATAGTTTGTCACTTTCTCATTCCCAAACCTCCTTATTTCCCCACAAGTGTCCATGCGTTCCTGTGTTTTGCACTACCTGAACAGTTCATAGACCATTTTCACCGGTCTTGTTTCATCTAGGTGAAAATAACCCTGGGGGGAAAATAGATATTGGTACCATTTCATAGATGAAGCTGAGGCTAGTAGGATTAGGCGATTTGCTCAGTGTTATGGGTATTCAGAAGGAACTACAGGGAGAGCTGAAGACCTCTAACTCTAAATCCTGTTCCATTCCCCTGTCCTATACACTTCCTCCTTCATCTAAGTGCTTTTCTTTTCAGTCCTTTAATCACTCATCCAACATACATGATTGAGTGGCTGTTTTTGTACCAGCAGTGTGGATACAGTAAGGAGCAAGATAGACATGGTGTCAGCCCTCATCAAGTGCACTATCTGGTGATCCTTCTCATCTGCTGCCCAAATGCCTCTCACTCTTGGACATGCCACTATTCCATTATACAAGTAGAGATTGGAGATTAGAAGATCCTAGCTGCCTAGTGGATTCTTCAGTCTATTGCTGTAAATTTCTTAGCATGACTGTTTGAAAAAACTCCATTCTGTATTTTTGGTTTTAATAACATTACCAGGATTCTTATTCAATCAACTAATATATCACCTACTACTCTGTGTCACAGGCAAAAGCTTAGTGTTGGGGCACAAAGTTACCTCTTACCCTTGAAGAGAGTTGCAGAGGAAGTGGCAGTCAGGAAAATGCCACATTTTCCGATTCATAAACTTACTCTTTTTTCGTATTTTAACATCTCTGAAAATTAGATGCTATTTTACTTATAACTGGAAGCATTTTTAAAAATTCTTAGAAATTATTTCTAAGATGTAATGGTACATCTTATGTCATATTCTAACAGAAGTGTATAAAACTACATGAAAGCCTATGGGAAAGTGGTAACCCCCTGGAGGAACTGGGAAACATTTCTCCAAGGAGGTAGCAGATGGGCCTTTCAGTGGCTTTTTATTAACCAGGATTATAACAAGCAAACTATGCCAACCATTTTGTTTGTTCATTCTACTAACATGCTTAATATGAGCCTCTACTGTGAGCTTAGCACTTGGTGAACAGAAGATCATCCTGTTCAGAAGGATGTAGTACAGAAGGCAGACATACATTACCAATTACAAGACTGCATGTATTTTTAATTGTGATATCTCAAAGTATATATCAGAAGTACAATTTGCCTGTGAGAGTGCATATGAGGGTGTCTTGAAGCTACAAGCCGAGAACTTTTTAGACAGACAGGTAAAAATTATTAGGCAAGGAATGGGAGAAAGGATTGAGACGAAGAGCATTTCAGGTAGACGGGAAAAGATGTACAAGGGCCCTAAGGTGGGAAGGAGCACAGGGTGTTTGAGCAAGTAGAATACTGAAGTGACTGGATCCCAAAGAGTGGTGAGGAGTGGGATTCAAGAGGAGGCTGAAGAAGTAGCCTAGATCAAGTGGACCCACAGGATTTTCATCTTTAAGAGCCAGGCACCTTCTAAGCACTCTTGACTTGCAAGGTAGTATAACTGAGACTGTGTCTTCCCCTCCAGGCTCACCTTGTGGCAGCCTTTGAACAGAGTCTTGGTAACATGACAATCAGACTCCAGAGTCTGACCATGACAGCCGAGCAGAAGGTAAGGCAGAAAGGATACTTTTACCCTCCCTACTTGGAGTTAACAACATACTTGAAAATACTGTTCTTTCATTTCAGATTCTTGTATGGATGTTAATGTACTTCTTGAACTGTTAAAGTTTAATTGTAAGGAGTCCAAGCTGTTGAGTGAAAATATGACAGATTGAGTGATAATGGCATCAGTGATAGATCTTGTAGTTATAATCCTCTTCTTATGTGTTTGTTCATGCGTGTTGATCCATCTGAAAGGTTTTGTTGAGCTACTCCATTCCCTCCCCTCCTGTGTTGAAGCTAAGTTGTACTTCAGTTGAACTCTGTACAGAATTATTTTAGACTGACCGATAATTTTTTCTGTTCCCTAGGATTCAGAACTGAATGAGTTAAGAAAAACCATTGAGCTGCTAAAGAAACAGAACGCAGCTGCCCAGGCTGCCATTAATGGAGTAATTAACACACCTGAGCTCAACTGCAAAGGTAAAATAAGGGAAACAGCCTTTAGCCAGAAGACCTGCCTGCCCTTAGGCGCCCTCCCCTGACATCTTATGATGCAACCTCCTTACTAGAAGACAGTGTCTGCATAATTTAGCTCCATGTCAGGCGGGCAGGACCTGGAAGGCAAACACCTTTAATCAAGTCACTTCTGGCCTCTATGAAGATGGCTATGGTAGTTCATCCTCTTATCTGATATATCTGAAAAATGGAAGAAAGCATGTTTCTATTGGCAGAGCGTTAAAGTGTTTTACAACCCTTAATTTCACTAGCACTTTAATATTTACATGCTGATATATGGGGTAAGCTGAACTGAGTTCCTACCTTATTTGCCCAAGAAAAGATTTCTTTTTTTTTTCTGAGACAGAGTCTTGCTCTGTCACCCAGGCTGAAGCGCAGTGGTGCAATCTTGGCTCACTGCAACCTCTGCTTCCCAGGTTCAAGCAATTCTCTTGCCTCAGCCTACCAAGTTACTGGGATTACAGACATGTGCCACCATGCCTGGCTAATTTATGTATTCTTAGTAGAGACAGGTCTTGCCATGTTGGCTGGGCTGGTCTTGAACTCCTGGCCTCAAGGGATCAGCCCACCTCGGCCTCCCAAAGTGCTGGGATTACAAGCATGAGCCACCATGCCCAGCCCAGGAAAACATTTCTAAGTGAATTATTTTGTCCTTGTGTATCTTGGGGTAATATAGGAGTGCAGGTGAGTTAGCTCTCATAATAATAATAACAGTAATAGTAATCATAGAAGTAATATGGAGAGCTAGGATTTATGGAACACTTACTATGTTCTAAGTGCAGTGCTAAGTGTTTCAGTGATTTCATTATCTGGTTTTCTTTCTACAACAATCTTGTGAGTGTGATTCTGTTCTTCCCTCATTGTTCTGATGAGGACACTAGTGTTCATAGATGAGAGTCACTTTCTTTTTCTTTTCTTGAAACGGAGTCTCACTCTGTTGCCCAGGCTGGAGTGCAATGGCATAATCTCTGCTCACTGTAACCTCTGCCTCCCGCGTTCAAGTGATTCTCCTGCCTCAGCCTCCTGAGAAGCTGGGACTACAGGCATGTGCCACCACGCCTGGCTAGTTTTTGTATTTTTAGTAGAGATAGGGTTTCACCATGTTGGCCAGGCTGGTCTCGAACTTCTGACGTCAAGTGATCTGCCTGCCTTGGCTTCCTAAAGTGCTGAGATTACAGGCATTGAGCCACTATACCTGGCCTAGAGTCATTTTTTGAGGTCAGGGATTAGGGAGAAACTGAAGTGGAGCTAGAACCTGATGAGTCGGTTTGCCCCTACAACCAGTGTTCTCAAAGACCAGCCTTTAGGTGTAGTTCTGTCCCCATGAGAGAAACTATCTGCAGACTTTATGTCAGATATCATACATTTTCAATGTCTGTGTTATTTCGTGTATTGGGCCTCCTGAAAAAGTGATAATAGCTTTGAAATGGGAAGGATTTACAAATCAGTTGGCTGGACAGAGTCAAGGAAAAAGAATATCCAGATGGAGGAATATCCAGACAGAGTCAAGGAAAAAGAATACCCACGTGGAAGGGCCCTAGATGAGGCAGGCATAGCACTTCCAAAGGGCTGCAAGAAGGCCGCTGTGACAGGATCCCAGAGAGCAGGAGAGGGAGGGGGCTAGCAATGAAGGTGCCGACTGCTCAATTCACAAGCACATTTCCACACCTATCTAAAGCTTAAGAGCTGGTGTTGGGGAAATTCTCCCTACACCTCCCTTGACTTCTGTTTTGTAAAGTGGGGAGAGATAGACCTCATTTAACCAAAGAGGGCAATGCAGTCACCTATTCAAGGATCTTAGAAACAACTGTAGGGAACAGAGTTGATGTCTATGTGGAAAACACCTAGTAGTCCTCAGGTGGGTGGGTTTTGCTTAAAGGGCAAAATCCTGAGATAAAGAATAGGGCTCAGATTGGCAGCTGCTGATACACCCTGCCTTGGTCTCCAGGAAATGGCACTGCCCAGTCTGCAGACCTCCGCATCCGCAGGCAGCACTCCTCAGACAGCGTCTCTAGCATCAACAGCGCCACCAGCCACTCCAGCGTGGGCAGCAACATAGAGAGTGACTCAAAGAAGAAGAAGAGGAAGAACTGGGTGAGTGCACACCCACTCTCCTGGGGACTGACGGACAGAGTCAGTTGCAGAACTGGCTGCTGCATCCCCCCCAGATAAAGTCCAGCCCAGCTACTATCTGTGGAACATAGCCCTTTGGGAGTAGATCCCAGGAAATGTTTTGTGGATGGGTTTTTACTAAAATCAGTATTATACTCAGCAAAACACTAGCGTCTACAACATCCCTACCACCTTGTATTTTTTTTTCTCTTTCATGAGACTTTTCATAAAGTACTCATCTTTCATTTCATGTATGTGTCGTTTCCTCCTCATTATATGTTGACCACAAAGTTTCAGGTACTACAGCAAAGTTATTCTTAAATGGTTTCTTCATAGGTCCAAAGTATTTTTTTGAGCATATTGCTAGTTATCCCATCTTTAGCCGTAAGTCTTTATCTATTTATTTACAAAAATGCCAAGGGATAGTATCAAACCAACCCTCTCTTTGAAAGCTTTTTGACCATGTCCTATAAAGAAAAGTTTACTAATGTCAGTGTTAGAAGTTAGCAAGTAGTTCTAAATCAGGGGTTGTACCTCAAATAGCAAGTTACAGAATCAGTCTCTATTATAGTGTTTCTCCATGTATTCATAATCCCAATGAGTTATTTGAATTTCTCTACAGTGGTGCCTTGAGTGGTTCTTTCCACTCTCCTGGAAAAATTCCACCCCCACTCTCCATCCAGTTTTTTAGTTCTTCTTTAAGGCTACAGAACTCTGACTGAGATTTGCTATCCCTTGTCTTCAGTGCAAGAATATTCCAAGTTGATCTGGAGTTGACCAGTGGCCCCTGGTCCCCATTTGTGCTGACAGCATCCTGTTTCACTAGTAACTTCAGTGTCCTCATTCATTCCGTACACTTCTCATTCATTTTGTGTTATCTTGGATGGGTGGCGAGGTCTAGTGATACAGATGTCAGGGATTTAGTAATTTTGGTTGTCAATGACTTGCATTGGAAGCAAGCTAAAAAGCCAGTTTAGTGTGACCCTCTCATTATTCTGATTAAATTTTCTTGTTTAAGTTACTAATGGCTTTTAGTCAACTTATTTGTTATGACTAAACACAGATAGGATTTATTCATATTGCTGTCTCTAATATGCAATTGATAAACATGGTCTGCTTTGATTTTCAAAGTGACAAGAGAGATATTTTCTGTGACAAATAGTGGTTATTCCATTTTCTTCAAGAAATAAAGCTTGCTTATGTTGCTTTAAGACAACTCCTGGTTATCAGTCAAATCAGGGAAGATGGATAATTGGCATCCTCAGCTAATCCCAAAGCTTAACTCTGTCTGATCTTCGGAATCTCCTCTTCCACCTGGCTTTTCACCAGAGGTAGAGGCAAGGATTTCAGTTGGTGGCTTGTGTCCCTAATCCTTCTGTTTCTGTGACTGCTCTCTGGAAATATGATCAGAAGTAGGAAATGGGAGAGAAATGGATCTAGATTTGCCTACAAGCTGGACATGCGGTTTATTATAGGTGAAACCTGTTGATGGGAGAAAAATCTCATCAATTTTTAGAATGGCCTGTTTCCTGAATTTTTCAATGGCTAAGAAAACCCCTGGAATGTATTTTCACCAGGAAAAAAGACTTTAGGAAAAGGAAATTACTTTTAAAAGGGCTTTTTTCAAGATGAAACATTAGTTTTTGGCCTAGAAAAATCTGATTATGGCGTTCAGAAAGGACATTGCATTTTAATTCTTTATGTTCTCATTAAAATGTTTAGGTCTCCATTTCCTGCAACAGAGGAGGGGGAAAAGAATTTTCAGATCCATCTCGTGATTTGGGGAAACTGTAATATACTAGTTCCTTTTCCCCCTATATGGTTAATATATTTCTTTAAAATAACCATTTTCTGAGTAACAAGTGAGACGGCTAATTTGCTGCTTATTCGATTATCTTCTTATATACACAAATAGCAGAAACTCTTAAGTGGATAGGTTAAGGAGCTATGCAGCCATCCAGGGCCAGTGTAACAGTGAAGCTAGAATTGCTCAAAAAAGAAGACATCCTCTCCAAAAAGTTAAGGCACAGAGAGGTGACTGACAAGAGAAAAGAAGAGAATGAGAAGCACAGGAAGGTGGGAGGCAGCCATTTCAGCCAGACAGGGCAAAGCTGGAAGAACTGGAATTGTAGAGGACTCCCCAACCTGCTATTCCCTTTCAGAAGGAAGGAACATGACCCCAATGCTTTTAAAGATTTGTGCTCCTACTGGAAACCTCCCCTGTGTGTGGTGTTTATTATTAGCCTTGTTGTGTCTGAAAGTCCAAAGCTTTCCCTGTCACTGGCTTTCTCTGTTAAAAAATTGTCTTTTTTCCTCCCCCTTCCCCATTTTTGCTTGCGTTTTCTCTGGCAGGTCAATGAGGTAAGCAAGACCGACTTTAATATCAGATACCAAGCTAACCCATCCATTGATACGACTAACCTCATCCACATCCCTCACCGTGTCCGAGCATCCTGCTTTGTTGCTGTGTAACCTCATCTTCCCAACATCCATCTGCTGAGCCAGGCTCTGTCTTGCTGTTGGCATCTAGTCTTGAACCAAGAGTAGGCATGGAATGTTACCCACAGGTGCAGTCCCTCAAGCTGGCAACACCAGATAACTCTTCTTCCCTTAATGCACTGATTCAAAAGAGCTCTTGGGAACTTCTTCCATTGGTGGGGGAAAAACATGGGAGAATTAATCGCTTTTTTGTGTGCATGTCTCTGTTTTGCCAAGGCCTAAGCATTGGTTGCCCCCGTTGCGAGACTGACAGTCTTATATATTCAGTTACGCAGCTCCTTCAAGCAAGCTTTCGGGAAGAAGAAGTCCCCCAAATCTGCGTCCTCTCATTCAGACATTGAGGAGATGACGGATTCTTCTTTGCCTTCCTCACCAAAGTTACCACACAACGGGTCCACAGGTTCCACCCCACTGCTGAGGAATTCTCACTCCAACTCTCTGTAAGTCTGTCTGTCTAGTCAGATAACATCTTTGGCCCCTGAGAACCCTCTCCAATAGGAATGGCTAGGAGTCCTGTTATGACACATCTGCTCCTTGGGATCCTTTATGCTTTGCTTTAATAGGACTGTGCATGTTCTTTCAATGCTTTAGGCCTGGGAAAGTTGAAAGAGAAAGGAAACTTAGGTTTTCGTTCTGGTGATGTCAATGTCTGTAACTAGCTGGTTGGCCTTAAGCAAGTTACTTAAGTTCTCTTTGTTTCCATACCTTTATGGAAGGTCAATTTGGGATACTGGTTTCTGTGTTTGTATCCCAGCCCTAAGAATTGAACAAGATAAATTGATATAAGGAGCTTGCTTCCTGCAGCAGTAAGAAAGGCTGGCCCTGCCCAGTAGGGCTGAATTTCTTTTGAGACCATGGTATACCAGGTCTAGAATTAAAGAACTAGAGCACAGGTAGTCTGCAAGGAAAGTTATCAGCGAGATGAGACAGTGCCTGGGAGAAGAGGGAAGTCATGGCCAGGGTCAGGACAGCCACTGAGATAGGGTTAGAGAAAGAAGTTTGGTTGTATAAATTTCAGTTTCCTCACTAGTAAAAATAGGGTTCATTATATCTACTTCACTGGATTCTTGGGAGGGTCAAGTTAAATACTATGCATGAAGGACCTTTTCCATCCTGTTCCTTCTTTCTTCATTCTCAGGGGGCCAGGTCTGTGGAGCTGACCCTAAGTCCACTTAACCAGCCAGCCCACTGAAGATAGCATAAGTGTCCTAAGGCCCTGCCTTAGCAGCTTACCAGAAGGGTAGAGGGAATACAGGCAAAATCAGCCTATTCAGAGGCCAGGTCTTTGTAGCACACCAACTGCATGGAAGTGGAAGAGAGGAAACAGAGGATAGTAGGGTTATGACCTTTTTTTTGTTTTGTTTTTGTTTTTGAGATGGAGTCTTGCTCTGTTGCCCAGGCTGGAGTGCAGTGGCGTGATCTCGGCTCACTGCAACTTCTGCTGCCTGGGTTCAAGCAATTCTCCTGTCTCAGCCTTCCGAGTAGCTGGGACTACAGGTGCATGCCACCACGCCTGGCTAATTTTTGTAGTTTTAGTGGAGACGAGATTTCACCATATTGGTCAATCTGGTCTCGAACTCCTGACCTCAGGTGATCCACCTGCCTCGGCCTCCCAAAGTGCTGGGATTACAGGCATGAGCCACCACACCCAACCGGGGTTATGACTTTTAAGCAACCTCACCCATTATTGAAACATGGCCCTGTCAGGGTCTCCACTTTACTGAGTTAGATGATCAATTCCTGTTTTTTTGGGGAGCACCCTAGTAAGAGGTAGCCACAGGGATGTGTACTTCCTACTGTTATGGGTGAGGGTAAAACTGAATGGAGGAAGGAAAAAGGACACTGAGGGACTGGACTTCGGTTTATCCCTGTAGTGCCCAGCCCAGTGGTCTGTGTTATTTTGAGTGAAGAATTAGACAAATGACTGAGAGGGTGTGTCCTCCTCCATCTGCAGAGTGCCTAAGGAAGGAGTAAAGAACAAGTTGCCTGTGACTGTCACACATGCCATCATCCCAAAGCATCCCAACTCAGTTGTCTCCTGACCAGGAGAAAAAGGAATTCATCATGTCTTCTTTATTTATTGGTTTAAACTTTTTATATAGCAACCTGAGCAGAGCACTATTCCAGATGTTCTGAAGAGACCAAAAAGATATTAACCAAGCCAAGTGCAGTTACTCTCACCTGTAATCCCAGCGCTTTGGGAGGCCAAGAAGGGAGGATTGCTTGAGGCCAAGAGTTGGCAACCAGCCTGGTCAACATAGTGAGACTCTGTCTCTACAGAAAAAGTTTTTTTAATCAGTCAGGCATGGTGTTGCATGCTTGTAGTCCCAGCTACTTGGGAGGCTGAGGTAGGAGGGTCACTTGAGCCCAGGAATTTGAGGCTGCAGTGAACTCTGATCACCCTGCACTCCAGCCTGGGTGACAGAGTGAGACCATGTCTCTATTTAAAAGAAAAAAAAAAAAGTTGAACAGATTCTCCACCCCTGAGAAGAGTAAATACTAGTGGAGACATGACATAGTATAGTTCATTCCACTCCTGAACTTTCACTCTGAAGGCCCCATTCTCAGTTGTGGTTACGACAGAGTACAAGACAAAGTTCCTACTCATGGACCCTGTATACCAAGAGAGGAGATGAATGTTAAACAAATAAATCCTGAATAAACTAGGAAAATTAGAGAGTTCTAAGGGCTAATGCTGTGAATTAAAACAGTGCTGAGATACAGAGTGCCTTGGCAGCAACTTTAGATGGGGTGGTCAGGAAAGAGCCCTCTGAGTAGGTGACATTTCAGCTGAATCTGCATGCCGGGGGAGCCACTGGGTTAGTTTCAGCGGGTAACATTAGCTGCTGTAACAAACTCAGCCCGACGCTCAGCAGCTTTACATATGACTGTGTATTTCTTGCTCACTCCAAACCCAATGCAGATAGTCCTAGTCGGCAGGTGGCCTGTCCTCTAGTGATGTAGACAATAAGGCCCCCGCCATCCACAGGGCCCAGTCCTCTGCTCAGTGTTCTGTGTCCAGCCAGTGGGCGTGGGGGTGTGGGGAGTACAGAGGAGCCTGCAGGAGGGTTTTTAAGGACCAGGCCTGGAAGAGGCTTACGTCACCTCTTCCCACAGTCCACTGACCAGGACTCAAAGCCATGCCACCTGCAGGGGAGGAAGTGAAGGAGGAAATGGGCTTTCGTGAACACACAGCAGCCTCTGCCCCCGCAGCCTCCCAGTGAGCAGGGCAGTCTTCCTGACCCAGGAAATAAATAACACAAGGAGCCTAATGTAGAAACAGGTTTGATGTGTCTGAAGAGAGAGAGGGATGGACAGTGTGACTTCCCACATATGCGAAGAGGCCACAGACATAGTGAGGGCCTAGAACATGCAAGGCTTTGAAGTGAATTCGCATCTGATTTCATGTATAATAGGTGGGTGTGGTGGAGTTTGAAACAGGAATATGAGATAATCTGAATTTACAAAGATCAGTCTCTGTTCCGTATGTAAGGAATATGGGGAAGGGAGATCACTAGGGCCTCCTAGCCACACTGGCCCACTGTTCTTTGAACATTCCAATCACACTCTCCACCTCAAGTCCTGTGCCCTTCCTGTGTCCTCTGCCTGGTACACTCTTCCCGCAGATATTTATTTCCTTAGGTCTCTGCTCAGTGTGACTTAATGAATAAGGCCTTGCCCATTCACTTGCATAAACCAACATTCCGCCACGACCCAGTGCTCCCCATGGTCCCTTTGCCCTTGCTTCATTTTTCCCCGTTGCACATGTTGCCCCCGGACACCTGACATAGAGGTTTTCCTTGATTATTTGTTCTCTGTCCCCAACCCCAACCCCAGATCTACAGTAGAAGCTCCGTGGAGGTAGGTACTCTGTTGGTTTTGCAGGCACTCAAATATTTGGTGGAATGAAGGAGCGACTGATGACAGTGGTGAGTCCTGGATGGATTTAGGATATATTCTTGAAGAAAAGTTAACAGCGTATGGTGATAGATCAGATGTGAGTGCAAGGGAAAGAGGAGAGCCATCCTGGGATATTCCTAGATTTACAGCTTGAGTACCTGGGATGAGTGGGAGACACAGATGAGGGCAGAGTGAGGAGTCGGAGCACTACTTTGGTTACATTAAATTCGAGATGCCCAGCAGACATCCATATCCAGGTCAACCAGCCTGGACTTCCTAGAGGTATAGATTTGGGTGACACAGACTCGTTGGTGGTGTTGAAAGCTGGATAACTGGAAGAGTTCTCCAAGGGGTTGAATGAAGACAAAGATGATCAGAGGGCACGAGGACAAGAGGTCAAGAGGACTGAGCTCTAGTGCACTCTGATATTTTAAGTTCAGAAAGAGGGAGTTAAAGACGCCGGCCAGCAAGGTGGGAGGAAACCCGGGAGCAGAGAGGAGAAATGGTTGCTGGAGGGAGTAGGAACAGGGCCAGATGCTGCTGGGCGGCCAAGTAAGATGAGCAGAGAGAGGAGGCGATGCACTCAGCTGTGCAGGACCACGACAGAACTATCCTCCAAGCCATTTTCCCCAGAGGAATCGGGCGGGGTTGACTCCTGGCTCCCCAGCCCTTTTCTTACATTCCACAGCATCCGTGCACACTGGAGATGTTTGTTTTTGGTCTCGTTTTCCAAAGGGTAGGCTGAGAGCAAATGCTTATTTCCAACCTTGAAGGGTTTGTAAGAATGTGCAAATCTAGATGTGAGAGGGAGTTCAAAGACAAAAGCAAAGGCAGAGGAGTTGGGCTTAGGAAATTCCCCAATCTGTGGGCGAAAGGAATGGTAGTTGTGGTAAGGCAACGTTTTCCCACACTCGAGGCATTTTAAAATTAGGTATGCCACCAGCCCTGACTGTGGACAAGACAGTGGAAAAAGGCTTGAATCACAGTTAAGGGACTGAGTAGGAAAAAACACACATGAGATTGCTTCGGTAAGCAGTATATGAAGTGGACAAGCATGTATTGAGCGCCTAGTGGGTATAGTTCAGGAACACAGGCTCTAGAGCTAAGCAGTCCTGCCAGGTTTGAACCTGCCTCTATCATTTTTAAATAGTGCAGTCTTGGACCTGTTTGTCTCCATGTCTCTGCCTCCCCATTTTAAAACTGGAGATAATTACAGTACCTCTTCATGGAGTGAGTAATGTACAAAGGAAATGGAATAATATACTTCAAATGCCTAGCCCATTTGTTTAGGTATTCCATAAGCATTTGTTAGGTACCCATTATGTCAATGTGATCAGATGCCAGAAATGATGCAGAGAATAACTCTGGTCCCCAAGGAGCTGGCAGCCAAGCAGAGGTAACATGTTAAGTGAAATGAAATCATCAGTGATATAGCCTAAGTCTAGTCAGGGAAGGACCTAGGGGAAAAGGCTCTGTCTTGGGCATTAGGATTAGGGACTAAAGCTTAGTTAAGGCTGCTGCAAAACAATGTGTTTTCTTTCTTTCTTTTTTTTTTTTTTTGAGACAGAGTTTCGCTCTTGCGTCCCAGGCTGGAGTGCAGTGGTGCGATCTTGGCTCACTGCAACCTCCACCTCTCAAGTTCAAGCAATTCTCCTGCCTCAGCCTCCCGAGTAGCTGGGATTACAAGTCCCTGCCACCACAGCTACACCACCCAGCTAATTTGTGTATTTTTAGTAGAGACAGGGTTTCACCATGTTCGCCAGGCTTGTGTCGAACTCCTAACCTCAGCTGATCCACCTGCCTCAGCCTCCCAAAGTGCTGGGATTATAGGCATGAGTCACCACGCCCGGCCAAGAATGTGTTTTCAACATCATGTCTACATTATAGGACATCTCATGAGGCCTCATTGTGTGTTTCTGAGAGCTGGTTGATTCTGGAGGAGCACAGGGGACAAAGTCCTCCCAACACAGACTTTCTTCATTTCAGTTTGCTGCCATTTATATAGTCAAGGGTTTGAGCCAAGCTCTGCAAAGTAACCCATGTGATATGTTCCACAAAGTGAGTGCCAAGAAGGTATTTTCTCTCTTGCTGAGCGCTTTCTGGGAAAAGGGTGCCGATCGGGTGAAGATGACTTGAGCAAGGTGCCTTGTCGTGGACTGCTGGACAGACAAGCCTCACATGGTGTGAGCCAGAACAGACTGTTCTCTGCAGTGAATCTGAGCCTTCAAGATTTGTGTAGGACATGATTTGGCTAAGACAGGAGATAACAGTGGAATTTTGTTCAGACTTTACACTCCATTTAAACCAAGAAATATAGTCTTCTCAAGATAGAACCAGTTTTTGCAAGCTCCTCCTGCAAACCTCCCAAGGCAAAGAAAAAAAAAAAAAAGAAAGAAAAAAAACCATGGTTCTATCAGTAAACCTCACAAACCACAGTCTATTCAAAGTACAGAGAGCTGAGAAAGAAAGGATGTTGCAAATTCTAAAGACATTTCTCTCTCACCCTTTTCATCCTAAATCTATTGGCTTTAGTCTCTCAAAAGTGTGAGATGGAAATAATTAGATCATTTTCAGGAGTTCTTTCGGATTAGATTTTGAAGCTAAAAATCTTCCTTGGTGACTGGTAACTTTTAAAAACGTAAGGTGGTTTTACTGTGTCTCTCAAATCAAGAGTTCAGGTTCAGGTCAAGAAAAGAGCAACAGGCCGGGCGCGGTGGCTCACGCCTGTAATCCTAGCACTTTGGGAGGCCGAGGCGGGCGGATCACAAGGTCAGGAGATCGAGACCACGGTGAAACACCGTCTCTACTAAAAATACAAAAAATTAGCCCGGCGCGGTAGTGGGCGCCTGTAGTCCCAGCTACTCAGGAGGCTGAGGCAGGAGAATGGCGTGAATCTGGGAGGCGGAGCTTGCAGTGAGCCGAGATCGCGCCACTGCACTCCAGCCTGGGGGACACAGCAAGACTCCGTCTCAAAAAAAAAAAAAAAAAGAAAAAAAAAAGAAAAAAGCAACAAAAACATTTGACTATTCAAGTGTTAAATTTTTCTTCCAGTTCTTTCTTCCCCTGAAATATAATTTCATCTCTTTTAACAATTTTATAAATCATTTTCCTTTGGGAAATAAAAGTTCCACACCCTCACCCAGTTTTACAGGTCAGGTTTTGTTTGGCCCCAAACCCATCGCTTGGGTCTTGGAGAGCAGACTCGTGTGATCATTTATTTCTGGAGAGACCACATGCTCATCATCTCCTTTAGACATAATCGGCTTCAGCTTTGTAACTTTATGAACTTGAGAATGGGGGTGTTTGGGGTTGTTTTTCTGTCTTCAGTCCAAGAAATGTCAAAGCTTTCTATTCTGGATCACCCAGTAACCCAGATGCTAAGATCTCTGAAACTCACAGAACTATTTTTTTAAGAGAACTATCTTTCTTAACGCTGCAATTCATCATGACTTTTATGATCTTCTACTTTGTGCCAATTTGCCAGGTGTTTGGAGAGCAAACCTAAGTAATTAAGGAGCCTAGCCTAGAAGAACCACCACTTCAGAAAGAGGAACTCAACAGGGTCCCATGGTGACCTTGACCTGGTGTGCAGCAGAGAAAAGAAGACAGTTAGCCAGGCTGTTGCAGAGTTTTCAGATACAACTTTGGCTTGCATATCACACCATCCCGTCTGTTCTCTAACTCCCTGAAGAGGTTTCCCTTCTTGCCCTGAGTGTGTTAAGCAGTGTGGGGGCTGAGGGAACTAAAAAAGGTTGATCTGTCTAGATATTTTTAGGGGAGTGAGTTTTCAGAATGTGATCAGGAACAGATTAACACCTTCCATGCATATCTTTAGGTTTCATCCCCATTTTGGCAAATAAAAATCACCCCTCAGTTGTTTAACAAAGGAATTTCTAATCTTTAAAACAGATAGCTGACCCTGCTTCTCTGAGTCAGTTTGGAACTCAAGGGCACGTGGTGTCATGGAAGCTCAGCTGTGTACACATGGTGGGGGAGGGGGTATCAAACTGGAAGGTTACTACTCCCTTTTGCCAGCTCCTGCTTCTCCCTGTATTACTGGAATTTTGCTGAAAGGCACACCAAAGCCATTCTGATTGCCCGAGCTCAGCAAAGAAAGAATGTAGAGAATGAAATCTTGTCTCTAAAAAAAAATAAAAATAAAATTTAAAAAGTGAAACCGCAAAAGGCAGGAAAAGAGTGAAAGAAAAAAATATGAACAAAGAAAAAGGACAACAAATTGAAAATAATATGGTAAATGTTAATCCAACTATATTAACAATGATTTTAAACATCGGTGGTCTAAATAAACCAATTTAAAGAAGAAGAAGAAAAAAAGAATGTAGAGAAGGAATAAAGTCTGTTTTCAGGTGTTTTTGGTATTATCACCTCCAGGAAGCACCAGGCAGCTGGTTATTCATAGTTACTGCTAAACAAACCTGATGATTGACGTGGACCAGTGGTCAATAGGAGACTAAAAGGAGCTGCTTTCATCAGTAACATTCCTCTTTCCCTAGGATTTCAGAATGCACGGATAGTGAAGCTGAGACCGTCATGCAGCTCCGAAATGAGTTGAGAGACAAGGAGATGAAGCTGACGGACATCCGCTTAGAAGCTCTCAGTTCTGCCCACCAGCTAGACCAGCTCCGGGAGGCCATGAACAGGATGCAGGTGAGAGCCCAGTAGCATGGGCTGAGCTCAAGGCTGTCTATGAAGGAGCTCCCAGAGGCTGCTCTCCACTAAGCCCTAAGGGCTACATCAGAATCTGGTGGCAGCCCTCGCTTTCCCAGCCTCTATCTCTTTTCATTCCCTCCCACACATTGCTCAAAGACCAATCTTTTGGAAGAATAAGAGTACCCATGCCCTTCCTTTACATAATGCTTTTAGTGACTCCCCTGGTGCCTGTGGCATGTGGTGCAGTCTCCTTCACCTGGCCTTCAAGGCCTTCTACAGGGTCCTTTCCACTGTTAATCCACACCACCCTCCCCAGCTCCTCTTCCCAGAATCTACTCACCAACCAGATGGAGTCGCTGACTGCCATCTTTGCATCCCTCTTTCATATCGTTCCCTCCACTGGGAATATTCCTCTGCACGTCCAAGTTAGACCCTTCCCTTAATGCTCGGCCTGATGCCTGTCCAAGTCTTGCAGCTGGAGAGTTAGTGCCCTCATCTGAATCTTCTTGTAGATTTGTTCTTACAGCCCCCCCACTTTCTGCCATGGAGTGAAGACATTTGGGTCTTCTGGGCTTTTTGCATACCTTTCTCTGGACATAGCACCAATGCCTTGCACATTGTAGGTTCTTCATGAATATTCATAGAATGAAAGATACCTCTGGAGTCTGCCAGGACCTTAATGGAGTCAGTTTTCCCAAAGGAGGTTCCCTGAAACACTCATTCCGTGAGAAGCTCCATGAAAGGAGAACTCCTTGATCAAATATATTTGGAAAATTCTGCACACCATATGCCTCTGTTTGATTCATGGCGTAGAGGAACTCATTAAACGTTCTGAGAAGTCCTGCAGGAAAGAAGCCTGTAAAAGTCAGAGTTGCACAAACCTCTTAGATCATAAGACTCTTTTTTACTTAATCCTCAAGCAGCAGACTCTGGGAAGCATTTCAGAGGTCTTTTCAAAGGCCTGTTCTCTGAGTGGATGGACCTCCCCCGCCAGCATGTCTCGTGTCTACAGCAGGGGCAGCAAACACTGCTGAATCTCTCTGAGGGTGTTGTTCGCCTTGGGTGGGAGACCAGCCTGGTTTCTGCGGGGAACTTTCAGATCCTTCCTTCCGAAAAATCTTGTTCACATTACTTCTGCCTACTAAGTGAGCTTCCCCATTACTCTTTGCAGAGTGAAATAGAGAAGCTGAAAGCCGAGAATGATCGGCTGAAATCAGAGTCTCAAGGCAGTGGCTGCAGCCGGGCTCCTTCCCAAGTGTCCATCTCTGCCTCCCCAAGGCAGTCCATGGGCCTCTCCCAGCACAGCTTGAACCTCACTGAGTCAACCAGCCTGGGTGAGTGGCCTACAGGGTTTGGGGGCGGGACTGGACCTAGAGCTGGCACCCTGATCTCTAAGTGAGAACCCCAAAATAAGCAGACCAACAGATCAAATGGAGAGGCAACAGGCGTGTGTGCACTTGGGGTGTGTATGTGTCTGGGTGTGAGTCTGCTACCAACATGAACCCAGCCGTTAGACTGCTCTCATGCTTTGCTCCAGCACCCCAAATTCTCCAAGCCCTGAGCTTGGATCCCCTCGCCCACCATGCTGAGTTCTGTTTGATCCATTTTAAGAGGCTGACCTGCAAGCTGAATGCTGTACACAAACCCCATAGTAGCAGGTCCCAATCGGGGCAGTGGCTTGGTCTATGATCTTCCTGTCTTCAGGATGGATTCCAGGCTGGCACAACCATCAGTGAACACAATCTAGGTTTTCTTTGTAAGCATATTAAGGCTGATGCTTTTATTTTGTATCCATGATGCTGCTGTTGCTGTTGTTTTGGTTGAGTCTCTCCCTCGCACTTCCATCCGGCAAGGTGCATTGTCAGCCTGCTGGTTCCTTGGTTGGTCCACCATTGGTTTCTGTGACTGCATTCTCCATTTTGCCCTCTCCTCTTCCCCTACCCGCCCACCCCCTGCACCCTGACACCTGTTTGTCCCACTGCTGTGCCAACCAGCAACGGGGGTGTCAGGAAGCTGGCTTTGCTGTCCCCATGTGCCTAAGGCTGTTGATGTTTTCCATTCGCAGACATGTTGCTGGATGACACTGGTGAATGCTCGGCTCGGAAGGAAGGAGGCAGGCATGTTAAGATAGTTGTCAGCTTTCAGGAGGAAATGAAGTGGAAGGAGGTTAGTTGGATCCCTTTCCCTGCTCTGCCTGTCCCTCCCCCAGGTAGAACTACCTAGCTTAGTGATCTAATTGTAAAACCTGTATCACCTCAGAGCCTAAGGTGATTTGGAAATACTACTAACGCTTCTCTTAACTAACCATAATTAATCCCTTGCAGCATTTTGACACAAGTAAAGTGTGTGAATGGCATTTCCCTTTCTCGTATGCTTGAAAGTCTAATAAAGAATACTAAAAATGGTCCCACGTTTCACTTCCATGTAATTAACTAAACGCTAACATCCATTGGAAAGGGCCTTTCTGAATGTAATGTATTCCCAAAGCACTTCAGAGGCAGCTATGCACATTTAGCATGTAAGGTACAGAAATAAGCTGACCACATGCAGCAGACCAAGAGCAACAGTTTTATCGGTCATCAGTCATCAAGAGTAGACATCTTGGTAGACATCAAGAGATGGAGATGCCAAGCCCTGGGAGCTTGCAGGTGGCCGAAGATAGAGCTGGTGGGACATCCTGACTCACCAAGGCTAGAGAATCTGAGTTTTCCTAGTATGGTTTCTGTTCACTTCCAAAGTCTATACCACTGCCAGAGACTCTTTTGGGGTGGGGGCTAGAGTTGACATTGAAAGTTGAATTTTAGCCAGTGATTAAAGCCCAGTGATGCTTTGAATGACTATTTCTCGAATAAATGTGGAAAGGCCTCATGAGTCACCATTTCAATTTCCCTTGAGTTTTTTGTTTGTTATTTCTTAGTATTTCTAGCCAACATGCTATTGTAGTTTCAGACAGCTAGCGAACCCGCAGAACAAAGCTTGTACAGCCAGAACTTTCTTAGGGGATTCCACTTTGTGGCTGGCTTGCTAGCCTCACAATAGGGGGTAAGCTCAGGATTTTGGCACTTCCATTAGCGTCATCTAGCCTTGAAAGATACAATAGATAGTTCCATTTTCAAAACGTAGCTAGTAGAGTGATGGACTATCAGGAGAAACTCATTCTTTTTTTTTTTTTTTTTTTTGGAGGCAGAGTCTTGCTCTGTCACCTAGAATGCAGTGGTGTGATCTTGACTCACTGCAGCCTCCGCCTCCTGGGTTCAAGCGATTCTTCTGCCTCAGCCTCCCGAGTAGCTGGGACTACGGTGCCCACCACCACACCCGGCTAGTTTTTTTGTATTTTTAGTAGAGACGGGGTTTCACCATATTGGCCAGGCTGGTCTCGAACTCCTGACCTTGTGATCCACCCGCCTTGGCGTCCCAAAGTGCTGGGATTACAGGTGTGAACCACCATGCCCTGCTGGGACACTCATTCTTATAGTAAATGCAGGTGTACCTTGTGGACTGTTTATTCTAGTGATTGTCAATATGAACAGATAGAGCATACATTTTACAAAAGTTTACAAGTCACCTTCAAAAGTTATATTATTCTGCATCACTACAGTGTCCAGGTGAGGTTGGTTGACCAGGGATTATTATCCTCATTGTATAATTAAGAAACTCAAGACCCCAAGCGTTACTTATTTGAGGCCAGGGACAAGTGGTTGGGTCAGATCATCTCACTGCAAGACTGGTGCTCTTTTCTCTGCTGATTTTGCTTAGCTGCCATATGTCACCTCCCCCACCCCTGCCCAACCACACTCCTGACTCTGCGTCCTTATGAGCATGTAAGGTATTTAAAACCCAATAGAATGGCATGTTCTATCAGCTTTTCTTTTATCAGTGTGATCTCATTAGCTGCCACTATGCAAAGCCCTGTGAACAGAGGTGCAAAAGAGTTAGAAAAAGATTGTTTTGAGAGTATTCTTCCCAGAGTTTTATTAGTTTTCTGAGTTGCACGTTTTGAGTTTTAACAAGAAGAAAAACAGTAAATGTTATTTAAAAACAAGAAAGAAGAAAAAATAGAAACACATTTTGTCCTGGCAATGTTTAAGATCTAGTAAGGAGATAAACTTGATATGCAAAAATAAGACAGAAATACCTAAAACTAAATATAAATTCGTACCGGATATATCATTATATAAGTTATGTACAGAATTGCCGAAGCAGTTTAAGCTCTGAGCCTGATGGGGTTAATCACTGAAGTCTTCCTGGAAGAGGTGAGTTTGTAAGCAAGGTTTGAAAAGACAAAGATGCTAGACAGGTGTGGAGGGTTCTGGAAAAGGAATATGTGATTTATGCCCGGTCTGACACATTTACTTAGCAGAAGGTTCCATATTCCAGAGAGGAAATCCTCTCTTCCTGACTCTTGGTCTGCTGTTTTAGCAGTAAAGCAGGGAAAGGTATTAAGACTATTACTTCCACCTAAGTTATACCTGGTATTAATACAAATAGGCCTTTTATTCCCCTTTCAAACCATTGGCGGAGTTCTAAGGCAACCTGAGTCCTCTGCTGAACTGAGTCAGAAAAGATCCACCTGGTTTTCACCTGTGTACATTTCCTTACCCTTAGGATTCCAGACCACACCTCTTTCTTATTGGCTGCATTGGAGTTAGTGGCAAGACGAAGTGGGATGTGCTCGATGGGGTGGTTAGACGGCTGTTCAAAGTAAGTGTTTCAAGATGGCGGCTACAGCAAAATACCTAACACGGGCATCCGGGCCTGGGGAGGCAAAGAGAGGTTGATGTCTTGAGCTTGGCCATTTCTCAGACCTGTGCCCTTCCCTACATCTTTATGTTGCTGGAACTTGTTCCCTGGCCCTCAAGGGAATGGAAGGACGATGGTAAGTACAGACTGGTGATCGGCAAAATTCTTTCCATCTGCCCTTTGCAGTGGTGGGCCAGCTAGTGAGTGTGATTTGAGCAACTCTTTGATCCTCTCACAGTGAATTGCTAATGTCCAACTCTTCACCTTAGAATTGTGTCTTAGGACATATGTTTTGGAGTATGTAATCTGTGGCCAGGGCTTAGACATCAGATTTCTAGCCTTCATTTCGGGGGATTTGATCTGATTTGCCTGGTATGCTGTGCCACCGCTTCAGAGTCTTTGGTTTGTTTGATGAGTGACATTAATGTCTGATCGATGGCCAGGCTCAAGGATGTTGCCATACTTATTTCTCTATTCTTTTTAATGACATCATTAGATTGGGTGTTTGCCACAGGATAAATAACTAATGAGTACCAAGGTGAACCTTGAAACACATGGTGATTTGAAGGAAGCTTTTGGTACATTTTTTCTATTGTCCTGAAGTAAGTCAACAATTATAAGTGCTCATTAATCATATTCCCTGAGTAGTAATAGTAGCCCACGTTTTTTGTGCCAGAGACTATGCCAAGCCCCTTATATTACCCCATTTAAAGGTGAAGAAAGTGAGGGTCAGGTTGGGCTGTTCAAGGTCATGGATCTAGAATTAGACCACGTTGGTCTAGGTTAGTTGGTCTGACTTCAACTCCTAACTTAACTATTACGTTGGTGCAAAAGTGATTGCACCAACATAGTTACTTTTGCAACAACCTAATAGTACACTGTAGTTTCTTTCTAATAGCTAGATCCAAGTAGCCTCATATGGAGAAAATTCTGTTTTTTGACTGGAGATTGTTCCCCATCCTGGTAAGCCAGCCTGTAGAAATGAGACCAGAGAAGACGTATGAATGGCTTAGGATGGACCGATTCTCCTACCTAGGCCAAAAACATATCTCTGGTGATGGGCAGTTGGGACATCCTTGGATTAGAATACCAGTTTGGGCTGAAAAGAGGCACATTGGCATCATAGTAAGTGAGGAAATGAGACCATGTAAGGCCTATTACTGGGATTCCACCGAAGTCCTTGTGCAGTCACCTCCTAGTACATGGACCTTAGTTCTACATTTACTAACCTAAAACCTTTTGTTCACTCAACTAAGAGGGAACACTTTCCAAATTAAACACACATTTTCCTTCTCAAAGATCTAGAGCTGACTTTTGCAAGCAGCCTGCATTTTAATCTCTTTGTATGATCTTTGAGCCAAAAGAAGGGAATGGAAGAGAGATTTCCTGTCAAAATTACTTTTTCGTGAATTTTCCAGCACCATTCACAGGCCCTGATGTCTTCAAGATTTCAGCCCAACTTAGGAAAGCAGCCTGGCTTTTCCGTGCTTGGTTCATCCAGACTAAACGTTCACAACCTTGTTAGGGTTTTGTTTTGTTTTGTTTTGTTTTTCCACTCCTAACCAAATAAATCTGTATTTTAAGAGGCCTGTGGTACTTGGGCATTATCCCCTTAGAAAGTCAGTTCTTCTCCCCCTCATCCCACAGCTCAATTTCAACTCAGACATCTGAGAAAGAAGAGAAGATGATCATAAATCACCCAATGAAAACATGAGTCATGGGCAGATTTTAGCCACATCTTTGATGGAGTCTTTATTTTTTATTTTTTCCAGGAATACATCATTCATGTCGACCCAGTGAGTCAGCTAGGGCTGAATTCAGACAGTGTTCTTGGCTACAGCATTGGAGAAATCAAGCGCAGCAACACTTCCGAAACACCGGAGCTGCTTCCTTGTGGCTATCTGGTTGGAGAGAACACAACCATCTCAGTGACTGTGAAAGGTAATTGAGCTGGTTGCAGAGGTCGGAGCTTTCAGGAATTACAGTTTTCATTTTGTGACTTGGCAGAGGCACTTGTGGCCACAGTTTTGTTTGTGCATATGTTTGTGGGCTGCTTTTCTCCCTTCCAACAGTTAGTCTACAAAAGTTGAACCGTCTTTTGCTTTTTGAACCACCTTAGGAAACAAAATCATTTTAGTTTATTGCTGCAATTATCTAACAAAAGATCCCATTAGCCTTATGACTCTGAGATGATGGAATCTTAATAACCCTGTTGCAATAGGGCTTTACCAATACTGATGAATTACTCTTGCCAGCAAGCTTTGGACACAATCCCATTCTACAGATGGGAAAACCACGACTTGCTATAGGCTGCAGGAGTCACTCTGAGCATCCTGATGAAACTGCTAAAGCTTGTGCCCACGCATGGTGCTGCTAGAGCTTCCGGTTTCTCATTACCTAGCGATATTAAGCCCCAGGCCAGTGCATTCCCTAGAACTCTAGGCCCACAAAGTTCACTCAGGAAAAAAAAGCTTCACTGCCAAGCAATTCTGGAAAGCTACATCGTTATCCCCATTTGTGTTTGGGGGACAGGAGTGTACTGGTACATCAAAGGCTCTGTCATTCAGTGTCCTAACTCCTGCTGTTAAAAAGCCTGTTTAGGCTGGGCGCGGCGGCTCACGCCTGTAATCCCAGCACTTTGGGAGGCCGAGGCAGGCGGATCACCTGATGTCGGGAGTTCGAGACCAGCCTGACCAACATGAAGAAACCCTGTCTCTACTAAAAATACAAAAAATTGCCCAGGCATGGTGGCACATGTCTATAATCCCAGCTACTAGGGAGGCCGAGGCCAGAGAATCACTTGAACCTGGGAGGCGGAGGTTGCGGTGAGCCGAGATCATGCCATTGCACTCTAGCCTGGGCAACAGGAGTGAAACTCCATCTCAAAAAAAAAAAAAAAAAAAAAAAAAAAAAAAAGGGCTGTCTAATCCAATCTGTCCCAAATTTATTTGATTGTAAAACCGCATCATTTCCTATATGTTATGGATCACCTGAATATAGACTTTCATAAATACCGTACTAGGCTCATTCTTTGTGTTGTCCCATTTCTTTCTTCCCTGAAAGGCCCTCCTCTTGACTGCAGTTTTGCAGTTGTTTGACACAAGATGTATTTCTTGGTTGGTAGAGTTTCCAGAAGCACCCCACCATTTTCCATCAGCAGGAATTAAGATCTTGCTCTGCAGGTGGCAAGTGGTACATACTGCTTGAGCCTCACACAGCCTTCTCCTGCTGGCAAGTGAAATGCCACAATTGTGCCCTTGGGCTATAAGTGACAGAAACAGACTCAAAAGTAGCTACAGGTAAAAAGGAAATGTATGGGCTCATGGCCCTGGGCAATGCAGGAGCATACCTCAAGCACAGCTGGATCCAGGTGCTCAGACAGTGAATCAGGACAAGGCCTGCCTCAGCGTTGCCCGTCACGGCTGTGCTTATTTATTGAACTCTTTGCACGTGGTTGATGAAAGGGCCCCTCGTAGCCCAATTCCTTCTTCTAGCTTAGGAACCTGAAGGAAAGAGGGATTTGGGGAAAAATGTAACAGATAATTCCTAGGGATGACTCTGGCCCACTATAAGTCAAAGGCCCGTCACTGAATTGGTCATTGTGACTAGGGAGAGGATTTGTCCGAGCCTGCTCACAAGCCTGTCCCTTTGGGTGGATGGAGGAGCTGGATTGGTTCCACTTGAACCACCAGGAATGAGCTCCCCATGGGAAAGAAGAGTTCTACCATGAGGGGAAGCAGGAAGGAGTACCAGACACACTGGAACGATCGTCCTCAACAAGAACCCTTTCAGGAGAGCCTTTTATGTCCTGGGTTCAAATTGCATTTCATCACTCCTGCCAAGCGTGCCTTGTTCACTTGCTGGTTTTACAGGTGAGCATTACAAGGGACTGAGGGGTAAAGGGAATGGCCTATTGCTGAGACCAGGCCAAGCCTCTCTAGAAAGTAACAAGACCACTTGCCTCTATGGAGCATGCCACCCCTCTGCAGACCCTGATCCGTCGCTGCTGCCAACACATCAAGTTTCAGCACCTCAAGGGATCAGCTCGGTTTATTTTTCAGTGATACCTGACTCTTCTCTTTCCTAAAGTACTTAAAACTTATGACTTCAAGGCACTAAAAACCACTCAAAGATTTGAGCTGAAAGAGTTGTCTCAGCTGCAGTGATTCACTTCAGTGGTACCAGGGGAAGGGGGTTCAACTTTGCATTTCCTGAAGTGAGCTCATCGGCAAAATAGTCACTCCCTGTGGGGTTTATGGCAGAAGACTGAAACAGAGCAGTATATATGTACAGAGAGGGTGTTCTAGTGGGTTTTTCCTGTGTTTATTAATATTAAATGTAGAGACCCTGCACTCCATACTTTGCATTGAGGTTTGAGCAAGTGTACGCTACATCAAGCTCAGTAGCAGGAAAATGTTAGACTTGTCCCTAGCAGATAAGGTATCTGGGGGCCTTTGTCATGTTCATTATGGAAGAGTCACTGCATTTAGGGGTTACGTGATTGCGGGAAGACTGGAAACAAACATATAGATGCTTTGGGGGTATCTGCTAGCAGTGACTGAGTATGTAGAAGGAATTTGCTATTACAAAACAGTAAATACTCTTCAGTTTACTTTTCATTAATTCTGCTGGTTTCTTGAGAGTGGCTTTTAAACAATGACCTGAGGTTCTGGACAGCCAACCTTGGATGGATCTTCTCTTAGAGACAGTATCCAAAAGATACCTCTTGTGAAGCCAACCACCTTGATTGATGACATTGTCCCAGATAGGAAAGGGAAAGGATAAGTTTCCACTTGATGTTGTTGAGGACCAAGAGTCCCAGCTAACAATATTTCAGGCTTTCAGGCTAGGTCTGCCAGTATTCACATTCCAGAATCAAATGATCCCGCCTTGCATTCTTCTTCCTTTTAAAAACAAAAGTGCTGTTGCCTTCATGGCACGTCTTAGTGTGGATAGCAGTGGTACCTGGCATGTGGGAGGGAGCAGGGTGAAGAGGCAACCTCAGGGTTGTGATAGACAGGACTCAGGTTTGGTTTGGGCAGATGCCATAGGTATAGTATACATAGCATATGTATAGTAAATATATATATATATGTATATATGTGTGTGTGTGTGTATAGTAGAGGTGTGCGTGTGTGTGTGTGTGTAGTAAGTATAGTAAATCCAGACAGGCAAAAAGAGCCCAGAGCCTTATGAATTCTGCAGAGGACAGATGGGGACTGAGAGCCCAAATGTTCAAGGTGAGTTTGAGTCTGGGAAGTTAGCCAAGACAGGAGACAGAAGCATGTGGCATTGATGAACAGGGAGGTGACTTCCTAGAGCAGCAGCACTTTGCTGTCAGCTTCCAGTGTCCCTGGGTGTGCAGGAATCTCAGGTGAGTAGACTGCCGAGGAAAGGAATAACCTCAGGTCTTGGCAGTCCCAGTTAGGCAAGCACAGAGAGCTACCTTTTCTACAGGACTTCAGACGCTTCCTGTCTCTCCCAAATGCAGGGCTCGCAGAAAACAGCCTGGACTCACTGGTGTTTGAGTCCTTGATTCCCAAGCCCATCCTGCAGCGCTACGTCTCCCTCCTGATAGAGCACCGTCGGATCATTCTCTCTGGCCCCAGCGGCACTGGGAAAACCTACCTGGCCAACCGGCTGTCTGAATATATGGTGCTTCGAGAGGGACGGGAGTTGACAGACGGGGTTATCGCCACTTTTAACGTGGACCATAAGTCCAGCAAGGTGAGGAGGTCATTCTGAGTCTGCTGTATTTTTAGGCCCTTTCGAAACTGATGATATCATCAGGCTAGTGTCTGATGGGAAAGCAACATTTCCTATCAGCTCTCCTTGGATGGTTTTAGAAAGCCCAGTGAAGGAGATCCAGAGGGGGCTAGCAGAAAGGAAGGCTCCACTCCGATCCTCCCAGTAGGAAGTTCCATCTGTGGTTAAGCCGATCGAGCTCATTTATGATGCTCAGTCCTGGTAGTTCTTTAATGTTATGCAAGATACATCTGTTGCAGTTTACCAAGAAGTTATCATGTGTGTACTGGGTGTTACTGATTTTCCAAAATAAAATATGTTTGGAACAATAATGACACCATTAACAAAAATAACAATAATAAAAACAATAGAAGCCCACATTTATGGACTGCTTGCCCCATCGCCAGCAAACACCTTCTCGCAGCAATACCTTCAAGGGAGTAGTTGTCACCATCCCCATCTTGCAGAGAAGGAAACAGAGGCTTAAAGCAGATTGGTCCTGCGCCTAAAACCACTCAGATGGTACTAAGTGGTAGAACTGAAGCTCAAGTCAAAGTCTTGGACTCTAGAGCCCTGTGGCCAGCAAATAGGTTGGATCCTGCTTCACAGTGAGCAATGGAAACCAGTGTGAATGGAGCCCGACCTGGTCCCTGCTGAGAGTTGGAAAGTGCTTTCTCAGACCTGTTCATTCATGCACTAGTGAGCACTGATGGATAATTGACTCTAGCTGGCCCTGTGCAAAGGGGCCTGAGGATCAAAGGTGGATTGGAAATGACTCCTTGGCCTTAAGGATCACCTGGTATGCTTGAAGACACAGGTTCCTAGACCTCGCGTGATGGTCTATTTCCCTAGGTTGTAGATGGCTGCACCATCTACAAGCTCCCCAAGCAACTTGATGTAGGTGCAGGACAAGAGAGATGTACCCAGAGCCCTTCTGTTGAGAGCCTTTGTGTGAGTTAGGGAACTTCTCCTGGGACCAGTAAGTGAAGGCTCTGCAGGTATGGGGAGCCACGTGCCTGGGGCCCAGAGATCACGGTGAAGAGGGACTAAAAGAACCAGTCACTTTAAAAGGTGGGCTTTTTCTACTGCTAACAAGTCATATTTTGACTTAAAATGGAGGCCCAGGGTGGGTGGGTGCTGGTAGGAGAGGGAGAAGATGTTAGCCCCTGAGCAAGCAGGCTGGCATCTAAGACAGGCCAGTGTGGTGAAGATACTGACTGGAGCAGGAACCCAGGTCTGACCCATGCCCACTGCTTACCCACTGTGCACTCAGGCCAGGCACCCGATCGTACCATGCCTCAGCTTCTCCATCTGTAAAATGGAGGTAATCATACTACTCACTTCTAGGTTACTGTGGGACTACAGAAGTTCCGGTGTGTAAGGCTCTTAAAGCCCTGCCTGTCTCTAAGTGATGCCAGCTATCATGATGATGACAGTAATGGCAGGCAGCCATCGTAGGTTCTCTGCCAGCTCCTTACCTTGCCATTTCAGCCTTTTCCACAGATGCACCATTATTCTTCCTCTTCCATTTTTGACATGCATCCCTTACCCCAGGCATGCAGGGCTGTGTTCTAGTCCCTGCTAAGCCAATGCCCCACCCATTCGCCAAGGTTAAATCCAAAGCCTGCCCTTTCAGCAGGATTTCCCCAAGCCCGGTGCATGTAGACTCATCTCCCCTGTGCTGTGTGTTGTGTCTGCCACAGCACTACTCAGCCTGATTTAAGTGTGTGTCTGGCTCCTCTGCTGCTCTGATGTGTAGAGGGCTTCTGTGTATATAGCTCTCAGGCCACATACATACAGAGCACAGTGCTGTGCTTTTACCCCAGGCTCAAGGTTTTCAGTCACTGGGTGAATACTGACTGTAAGGCAGGACCCAGTCCTAACTCATCCCATGCCCACTCTGCATCCCCTGAGCACCAAGCCAATGCCCTGTAATAGGCAGACACCCGGAATATGTTCACAGCGCAGCATCATGAAGGGCCTTTCCGCCTCCACTGGCCTGGGTGAGGCAAAGACCCTGAGCAGTGTGTCTTCACTGAGTACATTCACCAACTTGTTCTCCTTCGGCCTTCCTGGCCACCATAGGAATTGCGCCAGTACCTGTCCAACCTTGCTGACCAGTGCAACAGTGAGAACAATGCTGTGGACATGCCCCTCGTCATCATCCTGGACAATCTACACCACGTGAGCTCTCTGGGCGAGATCTTCAACGGGCTGCTCAACTGCAAGTACCACAAATGGTAAAGGCTGGTTCTGGACCTCATAGCCCCCGGGAGAGAGTGCTGCCACCTTATGGGGCACTGTGCACACAGGCGGCCCAGGGCCGGTGTGGGAGTGAAGCCGTGCACACACACAGGGTTGGGAGGGGGAGGCGGCTAGCTGTCCACCGGCCTAGAAGCACAGGGCCGCGGGCCTCTGTGACCACCTTGTTCTCTAGCTTGGCTTGAACTCACAGCTTTCTTTTCTTTTATTTTACCCACAGCCCTTACATAATTGGCACAATGAACCAGGCTACCTCTTCGACTCCCAACCTGCAGCTTCACCATAACTTCAGGTCAGTTTTCCCTTCCCTTGTCCAGTTACCCTATGGAATCACAAAGAGGGAAAGCAAGATGGCGCGAGTAGAGACGCCTGCGTTGAGTATGCGTTGTACGCTACTTAAGCATTTTTCTCAGCTTAATCCATTTAATTTTAACTTCAGCCTCAAGTAATTACATTTACCACTCTCCGTTTACAAATGGGGAAACTGAGGCCCAGAGACTTCAGTGACTTGGGTGAGGTCACACACTGGTCAGTGGCAGAGTGGAACTTGCACTCAAGTCTCTGCGTCTGAGTCCTGCTGTCACAGAGTCAAAGGGGCAGCTCTGGAAGGGACTGCAGGTGACCCTGCTGCCCTCTTGTTACCAGTGGCGTCTCTCTGTCCCAAGTGAACATGAGCAATGGCAGCTTTTACCTAAAACGTCCCCACCTAGCTGGGCCTGTGGGCCCTCGAGTCCCAGCTGCTGTGACTCCCTGCCAGCTCGTCTTCCCTGCCCCGCTGCCACAGCACCATGCTGGTGCTCTCTCACGGCCAGGGTGTGGGAGGAACTGTTCTCCTCGGTTGTGCTAGGTTGCATTACTGTCTGATTGACATCGCCAAACACCCCTTCCCCGTATAATGAATCTCAGTTGACTTCACCTCTCCTGCCTGGGTCCTTAGAGGTGGATGTGAAGCTGTCTCCTGGGCTGGGACCCCCGGCTCATTTCCACTGGCCATTCTGCAGGTATCTCTGAGGGAGATCTATTGAAAGTGGATCTGAATGTAATTACTAGAGAAATGTTGACTCCTCCAGCACCCTGAGAGCATGGCTCACCTCTGCATTTAGGCTGTCCTGGTCTTGTTCATGCTTTCCCCTAACTATCCCTGAAGTCCATCGTCCTCCTCTTCCCCCCATCACTGCCCCATCATCACCCAGCACACCATTGCCATCACCTAGTCAGTACGTCTGCTTGCAGCCTCCCCCCTGCACCCTGTAGCCAATCCTCTACACTGTGGCAGCCAGACCAGAGTGAGCATTCTAGAGTGCACATCTGACCATAGAACTCTCGTGCTTAAAGTCCTTCAGTAACTCCAGCTCCCTATGGCCTGCAGAATGAAATCCAGACTCCGTGGGTTGGCAGGTCAAGTCTGAACTTCAGTCACACTAAACTTCTGGTAGTTTCTGCAAACACCCATGCTGTTTCCCATGCCTTTGCGAAAGCTGCAGCATCACCCCACTCCTGACCCTAACACCTGCTCCTGCCTTTCCTTATGTTGCTGCCCATTAACTGTCCAGTCTCAGCCCAGACATCCCCTCCTCTCAGGAGCCCTCCCTGATTCCCTTAGGCTTCATCATATTTCATTTCTCTCTTTGCCTGTCTGCCTCCTCCACCAGACTGTGAGCTCCTGGGGACCAGGACTGTGTCTTAGTCACAGTGATAGTTCCATAGCATAGCACAGAGTTCCACACCAAGCACAAGAGGCAGTTTATCTCAGTGGGTACAGCCTAGCCGCTGGAGCCAGGCTTCTTGGTTCCCATCTTAGCTCTTCAATTAACTAGCTGTTTGATCCTGGAAAAGTTACATGACCTGTCTGTTCCTTAGCATTTCTGTCTGTAAAATGGAGGTGGTGATAATATCTATGTTAGAGGGTTGCTATGAGGAACTGAGTTAATACATAGTTACAATGTTTAGAACTGTTCGGTGCATCGCTAATCCAATTTGTTGCATTAGCATATACACCTTCTGTTTCTAACATGCTTTGGTTCCTGAGGTCAGCCATCATTTGGATCACTATCATCTTGAAAAGTGTTTCTGACTTCCTCCAGATGGGTGCTTTGTGCCAACCACACGGAGCCTGTGAAGGGTTTCCTTGGCCGGTTCCTGAGGAGGAAGCTCATGGAAACAGAGATCAGTGGGCGGGTGCGCAATATGGAGCTGGTAAAAATCATCGACTGGATTCCCAAGGTCTGGCATCACCTCAACCGCTTCCTGGAGGCTCACAGTTCCTCGGACGTCACCATCGGTGGGTGGGAGACTGGGTTGAGGGGGTGGGCTGGCATCCTCAGGTGCCCATTCTCTGGGCCCTGGCCAGGACAGCACTTTGCAGGCACAGTCAGCAGAAGCTGGACTGTCCATAAAGATAGAAAGGGGGCAGAGGGACAGTCACAGTCCAGGCAGACCCCAGATTGCTAGTGGTCTGCAGAAGAGAAATGTGTCCATCCTGGCCCGATGTAGAAACTGCTAGCTCACTAAAGAGCTCCCACCTCAAGGTTCCCCCAGGCTGAAGCTACCCTCAGGATTGGCTTTGCTTGAAAAATGAAGTTTTACCAGCATTTCTGAAAGCTGGACATTTAGAACAGAGAAAAAAAGATCACTAACCATCCCACCATCTTGACATAATTTTCATTATTCGAACTAAGATTTCTGTCCTTGTTCATATATACATATATATATATATGTTTACACTTTATGTAGTGGCAATCATAGCATACATATAACATGTTCCTTTTGGTCAAGCATGGTGGCTCCTGCCTGTTATCTCAGTACTTTGTGAGGCCAAGGCAGATGGATCATCTCAGGTTAAGAGTTCAAGACCAGCCTGGCCGACATGGTGAAACCGCGTCTCTACTCTAAAAATACAAAAAATTAGCTGGGTTTGGTGGCATGCACCTGTAATCCCAGCTATTCAAGAGGCTAAGGCAGGAGAATCGCGTGAACCCAGGAGGTGGAAGCTGCAGTGAGCCGAGATTGCACCGTTGCATTCCAGCCTGGGGAACAGAGCTAGACTCCAAAAAAAAAAATAAAATCCTTTTTCATTTAGCACTATCTCATGAGCATTCTCTGTTGCTACTCAGTTGTTGTTTTGTTTTTGTTTTTGTTTTTTGAGACAGAGTTTTGCTCTTGTTGCTCAGGCTGGAGTGCAATGGCGTGATCTCAGCTCACAGCAACCTCCGCCTCCCAGGTTCAAGCAATTCTCCTGCCTCAGCCTCCCGAGTAGCTGGGATTACAGGTGCCTGCCACCACACCCGGCTAATTTTTTTGTATTTTTTAGTAGAGAAGGGGTTTCTTCATGTTGGCTAGGCTGATCTTGAACTTCTGACTTCAGGTGATCCACCAGCCTCAGCCTCCCAAAGTGCTGGGATTACAGGCATGAGCCACCATGCCCAGCCAATTACTCAGTTTTTAAAATTATTTTTAAAGGCTACAAAATGATCAAATGCAGATGTACCCTCATTTGCTTAACTGTTTCTGTTCTTTTGGACTTGTAGTCATGGGCTTCTATTTTTAAAAATCAAGATTAGTAATGCCACAGTGAGCATCTTCCCCATCAAGCCTTTCCTGGAGGAGGGAGACCCCCAGGTGGAATCAGGGATCAGAGTGTCCTTCTCTGTGCCCACCATCCAGGGCTAGTGTGTCTGTGTACAGGCCTCAGCCCTGCCGTCAGAACGTCCAGGGTCCCTCCTGTGAAGGGTGCTCGGACCATGGCTTCACCCGATGCCCCGTCACCCACGCCCATTTGAGTGCTAATGTATTTTCACTGTGGTCTCCAGGCCCCCGGCTCTTCCTGTCATGCCCCATCGATGTGGACGGCTCGAGAGTGTGGTTCACCGACTTGTGGAACTACTCCATTATCCCCTATCTCCTGGAAGCTGTCAGAGAAGGACTCCAGGTGAGAAGACACCCCTGCTGGCTTCCTCGAAGCTGAAGGGGACTGTTCTGGTGACCAGATGAGTTGTCTTTATCTCCTCCTCCAGGAATCTGACTAACATGGGGTGACAACCCCTCGCCTGGGAAGTCATCAGTCTAGCACAGTGTAAGGACACCTGGCTGCAAGTCCTGGCTCTGCCACCCATTAGCGCTGTGACCCCAGGCCAGCTGGTTAGCCTGTCTGTGCCTCAGAGCCCTCATTGATATTCTGCCACCAAGAGTTTGTTGCAAGGATGAAACAAAAGTGCATCGTGAGTGCATGAGAAGTAGAACCATATACATGTGTAGTGCTGCACAGTTTGCAAAATATTCTCCTATCTGCCTTTTGGGTTAAGCCTTGGATTAGTCGTGGAACTTGGACAGAAATTTGGTTTTTTACTCCATTTTTAAGAGAAAAAAATGAGGCTCAAAGAGAATAAATGATGTGCTTAAGGTTACAAAAGGGAAACTTGAAAGGTCTGTGATTTGAATCCATGCCTTCTGGATCAAATTCCAGGTTCTTAGCCCTGAGGCTGGTGGCACTCTTTCCCTGACATCAGCACCCCTACCCTCTTAGGTAACTTCGGGGCCCGTAAGGCTGCCAGTTCCTCCTGCCTGGCAGCAGTTGGAAGGCACAAATTCTTTTTTTTTTTTTTTTTTTTAGACAGAGCCTTGTTCTGTCACCCAGACTGGAGTACAGTGGCACAGTCTCAGCTCACTGCAACCTCCACCTCCTGGGTTCAAGCAGTTCTCATACCTCAGCCTCCCAAGTAGCTGGGATTACAGGCATGTGCTACCAGCCCGGAAAGCACAAATTCTTACTTCTCACTTAACCCAGGGTTTAAATGGAAGCTTACCATTAATTTGGAACTTGGGATAGTTTTATTGTTGAGCCTGGAGGCAGCTCAACAAGGCTGCCTAAGAAGTTCTGTAGGCTTTTAATACTCGCAGTGCATAATTAGCAGACATCACGTGTGGCTGAATAATCCAGAAACCAGTTTGGTAGCCAGGTTTCCAAGAGCTTCTTTGTTTCCTTGGTACTGGACAATGGGAGACACCAGATGCTATCGTAGGCCTGTGGAGGGCGCAGGGACCGGTGTGCACCCGCAGGCACGTGGGTGACAAATGCAAGTTAATGGCTGCAGTCAGTGTTTGTCATTTCTCTATATTGGGCTGAACTGAGAAATATTGAACTATTTTCTGTCTATGATTAATAGCAGCAATGATGGTCTTCAGAGGCATTCGGGACAAAGGGAGCTTGAAAAGGAAAATATTTTGCCTCTTGTGATGCATTTCATTAAACTGGAGCATACGCGTTGCAAATTCAAGTCAGCATATTTAATACAAGTGTATTGTGAAAGCAGGAAAAAAGCAAGAAATTAGGCAACCTTTGGCCAGCCCCAAATCATTAGTTAACAGTGCTCTGTCAACTGTTGCTTTCATACAAGAAGGTATGAATGACTTTAGATCTTTGCAGTGGAATCTCCCTAGGTAGGTAAAGTCACTGGCCTGGATTAAATTGACCACAATTTAGTCCTGAATCAAATAGTTTTGTTAGTACCACAGACCCAAACAACCACCCAGTCATTTCTACTTTGGGGCCAGTAGAAGCGTCTCCTACCTGCTGGATTCTTGCAGTCTGTCTCATTTCAGAGGCCTCTCTCCTCTGTTCTCATTGGTGGCTTCCAGGGAGTGTGATACGCCCAGCACCTCTGGGAAACCCAAGCTGCTTAAGAAAAGCAAAGAGAATTGCAGGCGGATGAGGTGGACTGTTTGCCCCTAATTCCACCTCACTTTCTCCCATGTGCTTCATCTTTGCTCTAAATATTGTCTTCTGGTATAGGAAGGGGAGTGAACCTCAGAGTCACTGGGAAGAACTCATGGGCTCTGCTGAATAAAGGCCTCCTCTGCCCTGGGAGGCATTAACCCGGAAGTAGGGAGCCTGTCTGTGCTCCAGCCTTGAGCTGCACTTGAGCAAGCTCCTCATTGGTTACCAGTGGATGGCGGTGCCAAGGCTCTGCCCCTTTGGACCAGAACCTAAAAGAAGGCTTTCTGGGCATGGCTGGAAAGGAACTCCCCTTCCCACCTAGGAGAGGTTGCTGATGGAGCTGATCATAGAGGAACGTTAGGTGCCTTCCCAACATGAGAAAGTGAGGCCCCAGCAATCTGGGGCAGGAAGCAGAGACATGTTCCAATCTCAAGACTCACCAGTTCAGTGTGAGGCAGGAAAAGTCATCACTGCTTTGTGCTTTGAGGTCATTTGAAGGTTAGTCTTTCAAGAGTACAGAGCTGCAAAGGGAGGCGGCCAGAGTTTGCATCCCACTAAGTGGCTCAAAAGTGAGTCACTATGCCCCAAACCTGTGACCTTGCCATCCTTATGAGCCCAGGAGACCATATAGACTCTGTGGATTCCTGGGGAAGCTTGCTGTGTTCTTCATGCCTCTGGTTTTGAATAAACGTTTGGTGATGTTTTTTTGAGGGCCTGCTACTTGCCAGGCACTATTAGGGGCCTGACGTGCATGATCTCATTTAGTTCTGACAGCCCAGTGAGTCTCTTACAGATGAGGAAACTGAGGCTCACGGACGTTCTTGCCCGTTACCAAGTCCCCTCAGTGGGGTATGATGGAGGGAGCGTTGGTGCCCAGGACTAGCTGACCCCTGGCTACTTCTGTTATTTTCAGCTATCCTGAGGACCCCCATCACTCCACTGAAAAGCCTCAGGTGGCTTGGGGAACCAAATACTGAATTTTATAGAGTGGAGTTCCCCTTATTATTTCATTTGACAAAAGGATTCCTTTATTTTTAAAAAATTAAAATTCCATACTCTCCTTTGTGTTACTTTGAGTACATGCCTACTCTAGGGTCACCTGCCCCTCACCTAACCCGGGTAAGTGGCCATGAAGTGAGCATGTTGCAGTTCAGAGTGAGTAATCCCTTGGCCCAGGTTCTAGTCTGAGAAGAGGTGGAGTCCCTCGAAGGGGTTCTGACAGGGCTGCCGCGCACCAGGAGCTGGGATGCAGGGCTGCCCATGGTAGTATGGATTTGGTGGGAACATAAGGAGACCTGCTGTCTTCAAGGGATGAGGATGACTTCCAGGCAGCCCCTCCCACAGGTACACCCGTGCCAGGAGGAGACATGATATCGCCCTCTAGTGAGCATAAGGTAGCACTGCAAGGGTGTGTATGTGCAGATGCACTTGTGGAACTCCTTGGAGGAGCTTCCTGAATGTGCAGCTGATGCATTCTTCTGTGATGTGCACACGCTCCCAGGAGCCCCCTGCATCCCACAGTCAGAGGGCTCACAGTGGCCCAGGTTTTAGTTTTCAACGTCTCAGCTCCCTGTTGTCCTGCTTCCATTTTTCCTGACCCAGTAGGGATGCCAGATTTCTTCCCCTGCCTTAGGGAAAGTGAATGTCCTCCCCTCTGTGTCTGTCTGTCCAACTGTCTCTGCTGCTACCCTCAGGGCCTGCAGTGGAGCTGAGGAGCTTTATGATGTTTCCATTGCTTGCCATGGTTCTTACCCAGCCATTCATCACCCAGACTTGAACATGTCCAGTGACAAGTGAGGAGGCTTGTAAAAATATTTTCTGTTCTTGCAGATGATGTTAGCGTGTACCTAATGTGCATTTGTCTTATGACTCAGTCCTCAGCCCTGCTTCCCTTTGGAGCTGTCATTGGAAACACTTGCCAAAGTGTGTAAAGTCTACAGGGTAACTCAAAAGACCTCTCTGTGCCTAGGGCAGGTCTGGTTCCTGCAGGGAACAGGAAGAGTGCAGGGTGAGTGCGGAGCCATTTATCAGATTATCCAGCCTCCTCTGAAACCCCAGACAGGTCTCCTGTCTCTTGGCCTTGGGTTCTCCATCTATAAATTGACAAGTTTGGACTAGAAGAGTGTTTTTTTCAGGCTGGTTTTTATGAAGCCCCCAATCTACTCAGTTGAGGACCAGAGATGAAGAGCAAATGTTTGAAAACCACAGTGCCAGGTAATCTCTGAGGACAGGTTCAGCTCCAGGAGTTCTAGCCTCTGTGATTCTGCAGCCCTGAGCATGTCCTCATCCAGGCTGTAGGGTGGAGACAGAAGCAGTAGCCGTCATAAAAGCAGTAGCTGTGAGGGTTTGGTTCAGCCTCATGTGAGGTCTGGCTTGGGAAATGCAGCCCAGTTTCCACAGGGAAAGACCTCAGAGGGAGAAACTTCTCAAAACTGCACAAATGGTTCTAGTCTGGAGCAGCCTTCTTCTGCTCCAAATATCCCACTTTTGTGTTCTCTTCTGCCCTGAGACACATGCCCACGTACACACAAATGCATGCCCCTCACACGATTCCTTCCTGCTCACGCAATAATTGCCTTGCAAATGCCAGAGTGAGTTCCTAGGCCTGAGACTCACTCCTGCTAAGGAAGACTTAGCAACAGACTGGGCCAGAACATGGGACGGGAGGAGTGCTGGTGTCTGGGAAGGCAATGAGTCATAGGAGGCCACGTGACTTAAGCAGAGGGGGTGATATCCACAAATGCAGAGAGATGGGCCCGTCTGAGAAGCGGCTGGATGGCCAGCTTCCCTGACAGAAATCATACCTAGAGGTCCCAGTTGGCACAGACGGTCACGGGAGCATGGGCACCGCTAGCGGGGACAATGAGCCAGCAGGCTGGTACACTGATATCTGGCCAACAGCCTGCTCCGCGTCTCCCTGCTCTGGGTCTGGCTGAGTCACGTGGCTCTGACTGATAGAGTTGTTCCAGGTGGTGTCAGTCAGGAGGGGTGGAGAGGAAAAAGGCCTGGCAAAGGAAGTTGAAGTTCTAGGTTCAAATCGGGCCCTGCCCGACAACCTTTCTCAGCGGGCTCTGCTCTTTGGGCCTTGATTGGCCCATCTGGTAAATGAGGGGGTGGGGCTAGGTGGCCCCAGCTCCTTCCCCTTGGAAAGAAGTGGTTTTGTTGGTTGAGAGCTCAGCTTTGCACTGTTGTCAGCACCTTGCTCTCCGTACCCTCTCCACTGCAGGATTCCCGGGAGGGCAGGGGGAGCAGACAGCCAGCCAGCCAGCCATGGCCACCCTAGAGACACACTACAGCCGTGGTGGCCCACAGGACTCTTTAGTTTCTGTGCCTCAAGGCCCCCTGCAGAGTCCTCTTTGCAGAACTACAGGCGACACTGCCCTGGCTGTGAGCGTGTCCTGCCACATGGACCAAGTGGGCCAAACTGGTGGGCCGTGGAATTGAACACACTTAGTTTCCAATTCTGGCTTCTCTCCTCCCTGGGCCTGTTTCCTCATCTGTAAATCATGGGCAGTAGTACTTCCTCTTGGAGTTGCCTGGTGGTTAAGCAAGGTATTTGTAAAGCATTTCTCACAGTACCTGGCACACAGTCAGCTGCAAGATGTGGTGGTGTTAAAGGAGAAAGATACAAAGCCTATACGTAGCTGTGTAATATGCAGAGCCTCACATTGGGAAGGGGTCCAGTCTAGGTTTCTGTTCTTTAAGGAATGTATGTATTTCTTCAAATTGCTAGTAATGGTCACTAAAATGATTTTACCATTAGATAATTGAGGCTTAACAAAAGGAGCTTGGAGGCATGGTGTTGATCTTACTATAAAATTAAGTGATAATATAGTTTACTGTTTTAAGAGCCAATTAGCTATTATGGAATTTTGAGAAACACATGACAAGGGAGAAGTCCTCATAATTTCACTGCTTATGTGCAGCGTCTTTTAGCAATTTGCTGTTTTGAAAAGGAGCAGTGCTTCTATATAGGGGCTGTGAGAGTCAGACCCATTTCAAGAAATGGGGTTTTATTGAGCCAGGACCAGCCCAGCACAGTGGCTCACACCTATAATCCCAGACCTTTGGAAGACCAAGGCATGAGGATTGTTTGAGCCCAGAAGTTTGAGACCAGTCTGGGCAACAGAGAGAGATCCCATCTCTTTAAAAAAAAAAAAAAAAAAGTTTTAAAAATTAGCCAGACATGGTGGCATGCAAGCAGTCTCAGCTACTTGGGAGGCTGAGGCAGGAGGATCACTTGAGCCTGGGAGATTGAGGCCACAGGGAGAGTGATCATGCCACTGTGCTCCAGCCTGAGCAACATTGCACAACCTTGTCTCAATACAAAATAAAAATAAATATTGAGCCAGGGCCATTGTGACCTCTGCCTGCAGTGTTGATGCCCAGCACCCAAGGTTTGTAGGTGGTATTCTTTGGGTAGATGCACCTAGTGGAGTACTAGAGCTGGCTCTTAAAAGCTGGTAGCACCTCTTTCCAACTCCACATCCAGTGACATCATGTCAGTGATTTGAAATCAGTCATGGTGGGATTGTACCATGGAAGTCAGCAAATGCTTCAAATCAGGTCATTGTTTTTCCCCCAGAGCCAGTTTTCCAAATTGGATTACCAAGGCTCAGAGTTTAGGGTCACACGGTGAGTCAGTGGCAGAGCTGAAACATGAACCCAGATCGCCCTGACTCCAAAGCCTGTGCTCTAGACCACTGGGTCATGCTACCTTCAGCCTTAGCACCTCAAGCCATCTGCATCTTGGATGACTTCCTGAGGATGGAATTCTAGAAGTGGAATTACTCCATCAGGGAAGGCATGATGCTGGGTTTGGGGAGTTTTTCAGAAAGCTGCAAAACTGGGGCTCCAAGAGAGATCTCGGCCACTTCCAGACTGTTCCTTCTTTGCCTGTTTTCAGCTCTATGGAAGGCGTGCCCCCTGGGAGGATCCTGCCAAGTGGGTGATGGACACATATCCATGGGCAGCCAGCCCGCAACAACATGAGTGGCCTCCCCTGTTGCAGTTACGGCCTGAGGATGTCGGCTTCGATGGCTACTCCATGCCTCGGGAAGGATCGACAAGCAAGCAGGTGCCCCCCAGTGATGCTGAAGGCGATCCGCTGGTGAGTCCTCAGCTGCCAGAACAGTTCAGCATTCGTTGAGCACTGACTGTGTGTTGGGTATGATGCAGGGCCTCTGGAAATACAAAGGTGACTAAACCCAGCCTTGCTTTGGAAGGCTGGACTCAAATGACTGGGCCATTTGGAAAATGACCCCAAGATTAGGGCCATTTTTGCCAATATTTTCTTCCATGATTTGTGTTTATCCCTAAAGACTTTTCCTCTAAAATTTTTTCTGGTTCTAGATAAAAGGTTAAGAATTGATTTTTCCCCTTAAATGTTCTTATACCTACTGTCTCTGTACAACTCTTTGCCCTCTGATTTGGGATGCCACCTCTATTACCTACTATCCTATTACTTTGATCTCTCCTACCAATAACAGAGCAGAGGAAGAGATTGCTGAGGACCAGAAGCCCAAGGCAAATGATCAGGAGAGTAGACAGGGAGAGGTCTGAGGGCAGGAGGGACTCACAGAGGGGAGGGGGCCTGAATATGAGTCCCATGGTCATTGCGATAAGCTCAGTCTTTAACACTGTTTAAGCTTCTTATTTATTTGGCTGTTGCTAAAACAACAAAGGCCCTTTAGGAAGCACCCAGGCTGGAGTGGCTCACGCCTGTAGTCCAAGCACTTTGGGAGGCCGAGGCAGGCAGATCACGAGGTTGGGAGATCAAGACCATCCTGGCTAACACAGTGAAACCCTGTCTGTACTAAAAATACAAAAAAATTAGCCAGGCATGGTGGCGTGCACCTGTAGTCCCAGCTACTTGGGAGGCTGAGGCAGGAGAATGGCGTGAATCTGGGAGGTGAGCTTGCAGTGAGCCGAGATTGTGCCACTGTACTCCAGCCTGGGCGACAGAGCGAGACACTGTCTCAACAACAGCAACAACAACAACAACGAAGCACCGGGCTGGGTGCAGTGACTCATGCCTGTAGTCCCAGTGCTTTTGGTGGCTGAGTTGGGTGGATTGCTTGAGCTCATGAGCTCGAAAACAGCCTGGGCAACGTAACAAAACCTCTTCTCTACAAAAAATACAAAAATTAACTGAGCATGGTGGCACACGCCTATAGTCCCAGCTACTCAGGAGACTGAGGTGGGAGGAGGGCTTGAGCCCGGGAGGCAGAGTTTGCAGTGAGCCAAGATCATGCCACTGCACTCCAACCTGGTTGATAGAACCAGACCTTGTCTCAGACAAACAAACAAACAAACAAAAGAAACACCTGGGCCAATCACAGTAGCATTTCTAATTAATTGTAGTACTCTACCAATATAAGACCCATGCAAAGTCATACTGCTAAATTAGACCTAACAAGTCAAAAGCCCATTAAAATACAGAGGAAGCAAATATACCAAAACTTCCCATGGTTAAAGGACGATTATCATGCCTTAAATTTAGGCCCAAGCTTTCTTGGCAGGCATAGCTAAAAGAAAACATAACAGAGAATATTATTTGCATTACCTAAAAGAAAATATAAGACATGTAGCAGGATTAAAAGACAACTGATTTACTGTTCTATTCCTAGCAGCTAATTAAGTCCCTAGATGATGATAATAATAATAATAATAGGCAATTCAGGTTGTCTGCCATCCTGCTGTTTGGTGGGATGTAGCTGTGGTTCTGTTGAAGATTTTAGTGGGAACTGTATTTTTTAAGGATTTATTATTTGTATTGCCATGTACAACCTAGTTTGCAATATTTATAACAGTAGTCTTACAAAGGAAAGAGGCATACTTTAAACAGCCATTTGCAATGTTAACCATTGCCGAAAGCCAAGGTCATTTTTGCGGAAGCAAACTCATGAGGTCTTAACTTACATAGAAAATATAATTTAGTATATCTAGAGGAAAGAATGGCCAGCCCATCCCTAAACAATCTTTTCTGAGCCAGTAACATTTGTATCACTGGTTGGACACAGAAGGTGTGTAGGTAAGACTCAGGATTCTTGGAAGAATTCTCCTTCCAACCCCAGGCCCCCAGAAGTGAGCTGTACCAGTCCAGTCACTTCTATTATCAAGTTAGATATTTGATATTTGTCCCAGTTCTCTTTCTGCCCAGGGCCATGTGTCTCTATTATCATAGCTCTCTTATGTGTTAATCCTTCTCACTCACGAGACTGAGACCTTCATGAGAACAGGATTTATTTGTTTTTGTTCCAGAACCATATACTGTGGACATATTGGGAGTGTTTAATGAGTGAATAAGTAATCCCAGTTGCCAAGGATTGTCCATTATACTTCAGCTCTGCCTCTTCCCTGGTTATGGCTGTGCAGATGGACACCAGGTGATGGTGCTTCTGCAGCCTGGCACATCTGGGTAGACTCTGCAAAGCATCCTGAGGGGCAGCTGGATTGTACACCCAGCTGCACCGCATCTTGGCCTTAGCTCAGGCCCCATATTCCTGACTTACTTGCTATATAAAATATACAATACATACACACAATTTACAGTTATAAATAAAAGTAGCCTTTATTCCCTCTCCCCACTCCCAAACAAGTGACCCGTAAAACGTAAACAAGGGCAGATTCAAGAACGCTGTCGCTAAACTCTTTTCTTTAAGTTACATGGTGATGACAACAGATGACATTTATTAAGCACTTACTATATGCCAGGCCATCCCCTCTTCTAAGGGTTTAATACACATTATATCATTTTATTGCCTACTTCAACCCTATGAGAAGTGTTGCCATTCTCCCCATTCCATAGATGACGAACTGGTGGCTCAGATACCTTAGGTAACTTGCCCAGAGATTCCTGAACCACAAGTGAAGGCTCTTTGCACTCGGATGCTTTGCTTGTAACTGGCACTTCCCCTCACCTCCCTGCCAAGGCTTCCACAGGAGCTGGAGCACAGTTGGCTGCAGTCTGACCTGGCCAGAGCAAGGAAAAGAGACGGGTTTGATGCCTGTCGAAGCGGGAGGGGGTCCGTGTCCTTCAGATGTTGGTGACGCTGACGCCAAGTTCCAGGAGCCGGGACGCTCAGCCACACCTTCATCCAGGCCGAGGGCTATGCCTGAAAGGTGTGCCCCTCCTAAATAAAAAATAAATATAATATGTATAGAGAGCATCATTTTGTTTTTCAGTGCTCTACATATATTAACTCAATCCACTCCATAACGTTATAGGGCAGGTACTATTATTATTCACATTTGACCAGTAAAGAAACAAGTATGAAGAGGTTAAGTAACGTGTTCAAAGTCATGCAGCTAGTAATTGGTGAAGTTGGGATTTGAACCCTGGAAGCCTGGCCCAAAGTCCATGTTCTTGTCCACTGCCTCCACTGTGGGCTGTTATCCCAGGTGAGTCTGAAGGAGGTGGCATGACCTTCTAGGGGTCCAGGGTGGGCAGCCAACTAGACAGAAAGCAGCTCATGCTTCCCCACTCTTCCCCTAGATGAACATGCTGATGAGGCTGCAGGAGGCAGCCAACTACTCCAGCCCCCAGAGCTATGACAGCGACTCCAACAGTAACAGCCATCACGATGACATCTTGGACTCCTCTTTGGAGTCCACTCTGTGACAGGGGCCCGGAGCCCAGCGCCCTCCTCTTCTCCTCGCCCCGTTCCACCTGCATCCCCAACATCATCCTGAAGTTGACTTCCTGAGCCAGCCCCCAGCCGCAGCCCTGAAGCTGCGGGAACACCGAGACCCCTCATCCTTCAGCCTCGACCTGGGTGCAGGCATCCTGGGCCAGCTGCCTGCGGACCGCTTCCTTCCACAGCGAGAACTGCACTACCTTCGGTTGTACTTTAATTATTGTTTTGCCTTGTTGCTGTGACCTCCCTAAGACACTGAAGATACTTCTCGGGAAAGGATCATCGCCGTTGAAATGAAAAGAGAGACAAAAAAAAAAAAAAAAAAAAAAAGTAGAACCCACATGAAGCTCTGAAACCAAACAGCATCCTGACATAAGCTTCCCAGGGACAGAAGAGACTGGAGCAAAGTTGGAAACACAGAGAAGCACGGCTTCCCCTCAGCGCAGACCCTCCAGACTGGGTTTCAGAGCCACACCACCCACCCTCCCACACAGTCGGCCACAGGGAGAACTGGTGCTAACCAGGGTGCTTGCTTTGGTCACGTTCAACGCACTACAGAGCTACGACACAGGGAAACCTTAGGAGAAAATAAACCATGCTTTCATGTTTTTTAAATGGTGCTTTCCTTACTCGAGAGGTATTTTGCCTGTTCCAATCCAACCACCCCATTCAGGTCCATCAGCCTCTGATTAATCCGTGAGAGAGTGAAGGAGTGAGAGTGTGAGCGAGTGGATGTGGCTGTCAGTGCAGAATGGCATGCGTCTGTTTCCTTCTGATATATGAATGAATCAGGTGGTGGTTTTTTTTTTTGTTTTTTTGTTTTTTCCTGCAAACACTGTGTATAGTGAGACTTGTTCTACTTTGGAGAACAGATTACCTTTTGAAAATGAGGTTGAGTTTCTTCCTTTCTGATGCATTGATTTTTGAAGATTTTTTCCCCCTTCCCCTCTTGGTCAGAATCAATCCTTTGGTGAAAGTAAGAACCGCAGGAGTTGAGTTTCGGTTTGGTCCTGCTCAGTTTTGGTTTTTAGTTGTCCATCCTCACAGTCCTACACACTCGCCTCCTCCTGCTAGGGCTGGGGTCATCTGTGTCCTTTAAAATGGATGAGGACCCAGTCCTCGACATGTGGGTGAGCCATGGACCTTGCCTTCCCTTCTCATCCTTGAGGGTTTAGAACACACACCAACACCTCCAGCGCCCCCGCCCCAGCTTCCAGTGGAGTGATGAGGTCACCCCGCAAAAGACTTGCACTTTCCTCAGAACCAACATGATGCAGCTCAACAAGGGTGAGTGTCACCCCCTCCCAGAAGCCCCGTCTGGACGAGCCTTGCCTGACCTCTTCGGTGCTGACCTTCCCAAAGTGATGCCTTACTGGTTTTGTACTAACTGTGTTCATTTTACATAAGTGTCGTGCCTGCCCGGGGTTTGTTTTTTTGTCATTGTTTCCCCCATTGAAACAAACAGGGCTAAAGAGTCATCTGTTCATTAGGAGAACTCAAGTTGCTGTGACTTTTCTCATCCGAAAGACTCATTCGTGTGGATGCGTGACCATGGGAAAAAGAAAAAAAAAAAGATCCATTTTTTAGGTTCTTATCAGTCTCCAGCTGACAACCCAACTGGACAGGGATCTGTCTGGTACAGGAGAAGGCAAAAGCTTCTACAATCTACATGACCTTGCTGATACTTGCTCTAATAGAAACCCAGTCTGCTGTGTCTTCAACATACTGGTATTTTCGTTACAAAGTATGATACATTTTTGAGTTGTTTGTTTCTGTTTTATAAAGAGAATCTTTATTGGACACCAGTGAAGGTGTCTCTGTTTTAATGATCAGGGTTTTTATTCCATCTTTTGCATTTCTATTTCTGAAGATTTGTCTCTTGGCATCTTTTTTTAGTTTCTTACCGTAAGAGTTTGACCCGAAACTGCTCACTTCGTATTGGATGACACCATGTTCTTCCTCTTTAAAAAGAAAAGGGGAATGTGTCCCACTAGTGAAAGGAAAACTTTTCAACACTGTCCCTGCTTTAATCTCAGCAAACTCAGACTATTCTGCTTAGCCTTCATTAGTCATCTGGGAATGAGTGTGTCTTGTTCTGTTTTTGTTTTTAATAAAACTTTCAAACCATATATTTAGCCTGTGACCAGGGGGGCCAAACCTTAAGATTTCTGGTAAACCTGAAGGGTGGCCCTCCTTAGACAATTTATCTCCCAGCAATGACCCTACACTCGCGTACTGTGAATTTGGGAGGAGGTAAAGTTGACTTCTCCTTGTGGGCAGTTTTCCAATCACCTTGTGAGTAGACACCTGCCAATATTGTTTAAAATCTTTTTTTAATATGACATCCTCCCTTGTCATTCTCTTCTCCCCTCTCCCACAGACTTCCCTCCCACTGGGTCCAGGTTCAGAACCAAGACTTCTGTACCTGGTGCTGCCTGATTGGTGAACATTGACTTCAAGTAGCATAGCCCTTGTGTGACTCACAACTCAGTGTCCTTCCTAAAGTTTCGGGAAGCAGGGTTGTCTAATATGCACATTTCTTACTTTGGTCATATTTTTACTTTAGTGCCACTCACCTTTGACAAAGTGACTTTGTACTCATTTAGGGCTCTATTGGAAATGCTTCCATTTTGCCTTTTCTACAGTTAGGGCAATTTTGAAATGTATAAATTCTATGCAACATTTATGTTGAGTTACCAATGGAAGCCAAAAGTTCTCTTCCCAAACTGCCAAGAATGATACAGGCCATAAGTGAAATGGGAATACCTTTTAAGTTTCATTAGGGGTGGGGTGGGAGTGGGACAGGAACAAGACTTGCCTAGATCTTTGTTGTATCTTGGGGACTTTTACTTTGTTGTTTGATGCTTAAACTTCAAAATTCTCTGTATTCAAATTTGATTGTGGCGAATCTACTTCAAAAAGGAAAAATAATCCAACTTTGTGGATATTAAATGGAAGGTTTGCTGTTTTGATCTAGTTGTTTCCAGTGGAGCAGTTTATGAAATATGTTCTATAAGATGTACATTTTTTCATTGTAACATAGAAATTGTAAATAATTGATTAAAGTGCTGCATTTTGATGAATTTTTTCTAGCCATTTTTAAAGAGAAAACTAGGAATTGAGTATTTTGTGTACGGTATGTTTCCATCCTCCCTCCCCTTCCTCCTCCTCTCCTTTCTCTCTCCTCACCTATTTAATTTTCATTTGTCATGAGGTTTTTGGATTTGCCAATGATCTGCTGGACATCATGCCCCATGTCATAGAGAAGAAAGCTGATGATTGTACCAGTCTTAAATTATTCATGATTCAATAAAATTGATGCTTATTTATTCAGATTAGTGGTTTGGCTTGTCTGTGCTAGAGCAAGTCCTCATAAGAGTTTAATTTCATGCGAAGAGCAAGTCTTATCTGGATGCAGCAAATGCAGGGAAAACCCAAAACCTTTGCAAACCCGTCTTGGCTAATATGCCATCCATATCCCGACTCTTCTCAGTTTCTCAGGTCTTTTTGCCACTCCTGTGGAACTTGTTAGAACTGTAGAATTTCAGATCCTCTCAGACTTTATGAATCACCAGGGATCTGGTGGATCCTCAATTTCTAACAAACTCCTAGGCAATACCAGTGCTCTAGTGCCTGGACCACACATTGAGTGGCAAGCAACATCAGTGTCCAGCCAGCCCCCTAAGTCGACCCCTTGGCATGAAAAGGATTTTTTTTAATGTATTGAGTGCCTACTAATTTCCAAATGCTTTCCCAAATACTCAATATAATGCAAAATGATGCCAGAGAGGTATTCTTACTCCCATTTTACAAGTAAAAAAAACGGAAAATGATGTGCCAAGGAACCTATAGCCAAGAAGTGAGTTGAAGTTTCAGCCCCATCTTCTGACAGTCCTGCCTTGCCGGGCTGCCTTCTAATCTTGGGGGCCTCCTGCCACATCGCAGCTCACATCCATAACAGACATAGGCAGTGGGAGATGACCTTACATCTCAGCATTCACTTTAAATAGCAACAACAAAAAAGGCGCGGTTTGGAGTCCTGTGGGTTCGCAGTGAAATTGATCCCACATGGTTGGCTCAACTGCTCATGACATGAAGTGTCTCACTCTTAACATACAACAGTGGCCCAACCAGGGAGGAGGTAAAGAATCCAGATATTTAGCATAGGCAGTTTTAATCCCTGTCAAAAAAATAATACAGGAGGGGTAGTACAATGGTTTGACAACTAGATGTCCTGAATTCCAAAATTCCACGTCAAACATTCTATCCCATTGCTCCATGATATATTCTGAGGTTACCTAGGAAGTATGACCAGCATACATAAAGGGCATGGTGGACAGATGGCTTTTTAAAGAGAAGGGAAGAGCCAGGTGTGGTGGCGCACGCCTGTATTCCCAACACTGGGAGGCCAAGGCAGGTGGATTACCTGAGCCCAGGAGTTTGAGACCAGCCTGGGCAACATGGCGAAACCCCGTCTCTACAAAAAATACTAAAAATTAGCCCGCATGGTGGCACGTACCTGTAGTCCCAGCTACTCAGGAGGCCGAGGCACGAGAATCGCTTGAACCAAGGAGGCAGAGGTTGCAGTGAGCCAAGAATCACATCACTGTACTCCAGCCTGGGCAACAGAGCGAGACTCTGTCAAAAAAAAAGGCGGGAGGAAAGACAGGAACTGCATTTACGTACTCACTGGGTACCAGATATACAGAAAATTTCACTCTATCACATATAATTACAGCAACTCTAAGAGGTAGGTGTAATTATCTCTATTTTACAGGTAAGAATACTGAGGCTGAGTAATGTTAAATTAATACATAGTAGAAATGGAATTCTTGGTATATCTGATTCAAAACCCATGCCTTTTCTGCTACGCTAAGCTACACTCAGCTTAGGTTGGGCTTTGATGGAGGATTACACATCCCTTCTGCATTAGCTCTTTATTGCTTGTGTAACAAATTAACCCCAAATTTGGCAGCTTACAGCAGAACATTTTCTAACAGCTTCTGTGGATCAGGGGTTCAGGTATGTCTTGTTGAGTACTGTGCCTCAGGGTTTCCCACAGAGCTGTAGTCAACGTGTCTGAAATAAAATTTGCAAGGAAAAAAAATATTTAAAAGCAAGAACTACATAAAGCATCATATTTAACGGTAAGATGTTCAATGTTTTTCCTTGCAGATTAAGAAACAGATAAAGATGTTTCTTACTACCACTGAATATCGTGGTAGAGATCCTAGTCAATACAGAGAAACAAGAAAAATAAGTTATGAGGATTGGAAAAGGAAGAAATTCAACAGTCTTTATTCACAGGTAACACTTTGTACTTAGATTATGCAACAGAATTCACTGGTAAGTTATTAGAAATAATAAGATAACTAAGTTTTCAAAGTCAGTACACAAAAATCAGTTGAACATCTATATGCAGCCAGAAGTTTTAAATTTTTAAGAATGCCAATCTAGGCCGGGCGCGGTGGCTCAGGCCTGTAATCCCAGCACTTTGGGAGGCCAAGGTGGGTGGATCATGAGGTCAGGAGATCGAGACCATCCTGGCTAACACGGTGAAACTCCGTGTCTACTAAAAAATAGAAAAAATTAGCCAGGTGTGGTGGCGGGCACCTGTAGTCCCAGCTACTTGGGAGGCTGAGGCCGGAGAATGGCGTGAACCTGGGAAGCAGAGCTTGCAGTGAGCTGAGATCTCACCACTGCACTCAGCCTGGGTGACAGAGCAAGACTCCATCTCAAAAAAAAAAAAAAAAAAAAAAAAACCAATTTAAGAGTGAAAATATCAAATACCTCAGAATAAATGCAATATAAAGTGTTCAAGACTTCTATAAAGAAATCTATTAACCATTGTTGAGAGAAATTAAACCCCAAATAAAAGTAGGAAAATATTACGCTTATGCGTTAGAATACATGTTGTGAACACATCAATCCCTGCAAGATGGACTATAGATCTGATGCAATCTCATTTAAAAGCTCAACAGGGTTTTTATCGAATTGACAAAATGATTCTAAAACTTACATGGAAATGCAACAGGTGAAGCACAGCCAATGAAGAAGAACAAGAAGAGACAAATTTTTCTACCAAAAATCAAGACTTATTATAAAGGTCGTTAAGACCTTATGGTATTGGTATAAGAATTGACAAATAGTTAAAAAGAACAGGATAGACATCCCTGAAGTAAACCCAACACACACTTGCTTTGCTATATGGAATCATGAATAATGTCTCAGAAGCAAAGAAAATGTGACAAAGAACACATGACAATGGGATCCACTGGTTTTTACTCCAAAGCTGAAGGTTGGACTGACCTCTTAAAGGTCAGGAAAGACATTTTGTGTTAGAGCACTGTCATCTAGGAAACAGTATAAATTTTCAACTGTCAGCCATTATTTGTTGTTTGTTGGTTTTTGTTTTTGAGATTGGGTCTTACTCTGTCACCCAGGCTTGAGTGCAGCGGCGTGATTATGGCTCACTGCAGCCTCCACCTCCTGGGCTCAATCGATCCTCCTGCCCCAGCCTCCTGAGTAGCTGGGACCACACTAAACCCAGCTTTTTTCTTTTTTTTTTTTTTTTTGAGATGGAGTCTCACTCTGTCACCCAGGCTGGAGTGCAGTGATGCAATCTTGGCTCACTGCAACCTCCACCTCCCAGGTTCAAGTGATTCTTTTGGCTCAACCTCCCAAGTAGCTGGGATTACAGGTGCATGCCACCACACCCAGCTAATTTTTTTGCATTTTTAGAGGAGATGGGGTTTTGCTATGTTGGCCAGGTTGGTCTGGAACTACTGTCCTCAAGTGATCCACCTGCCTCGGCCTCCCAAATTGCTGGGATGACAGGCGTGAGCCACCATGACTGGTCCCAGCTAATTTTTAAAAAATATTTGTGTAGAGATGGGGTCTCACTATGTTGCCCTGGCTGGTGTCAAACTCCTGGCCTCAAGTGATCCTCCAGCCTCAGCCTCCCAAAGTGCTGAGGTTACAGATGTGAGCCACTGTGCCTGTGGTAATTTATTGTTGAATGCCCAATAGCTGGAATACATGTGTCTGGCGTATAACAGATGGGTTGTAGCAGACATCAATAATTCCTTAATTTGGTCTGGGCCCAGTGGCTCACACCTGTAATCCCAGCACTTTGGGAGGCCGAGGCGGGCAGATCACGAGGTCAGCAGTTCAAGACTAGCCTGGCCAACATGATGAAACCCTGTCTCTACTAAAAATACAAAAATTAGCCAGGCATGGTAGCAGTCTTCTGTAATCCCAGCTACTCAGGAGGCTGAGGCAGGAGAATCGCTTGAACCCGGGAGGTGGAGGTTGCGGTGAGCCGAGACCGCACCATTGTACTCCAGCCTGGGTGACAGAGTGAGACTGTCTCCAAAAAAAAAAACCCTTAATTTGTACTCCTTCAGCCTGACTTCACCCGAATTTCCAGTGGACAACTCCCCAGTGGACAACTCCTGACACGCTCACAGTGGCCCATCTCAAGCACCTGTGTCTCTCAGCTTCTCTACCTGGGACCTTTCTCCAGTGCCGCAGAAGCTTGTCCAGCCCCCGGCCAGAGCAGCCCACAAGAACTAGGGACTTAGTGGCCCAGGGGCAGCCTATGCCCAGCTTTCTTACCCTTCTGTGGGACAAGTGGGAGGCATGGGAGGCACCTTCCACCAGGTGCATTAGAAGATCTCCAATGGGACTGAAACCCATGTTGCCCACAGTCTTAATGAAGGAAACTCGATGGGAATTTCTCCCTTCCTTCTCACGTTTTGCCTACTCCCTCCCTCAGAGCTGGAATGATGATGAGTTGAGTCAGGCACCGAGGACACAGCCCTGGGAGTCCTCTTTAAATTTTGCACCCACTGGCCTCACTTGCCTCAGGAGAGCCTAGTCCTGGGCCCTACCCTCAGCCATGCTTCCTGGCACCACAGCACAAATGATCTGCACTCAACTCCTTTCTCAGGATCTGCTAAGACAACTCGGCAATTCCTCTTAGTTATTGTTATGGGTTAAGCTGCGTCCCCCAAAAGGCCAGGTTGAAGTCCTAAACCCCAGCACAAAATGTGGCCTTATTTAGGGACAGAGTGGTTGCAGGTGTAATTAATTAAGATGGGGTTTCACTAGAGTAGGGTAGGCCTTTCATCTAATCTGACTAGTTTCCTCATAAGAAGACAATGTGAAGATCCAAGAGACAAATGCCATGGGAAAACGGAGGCACAGAAAGGAGTCAGGTAGAAGCAAGGATTCTACCCGAGTCTCAGAGGGAACATAGCCCTGCTGACACCCTGACTTCAGACCTCCGTCATCCAAAACCTCGAGAGAATAAGCTTCCATTGTTTGAAGTC